GGAGAGTCGCTATCGAGCTGCGGGACCCTGTAAAGAGGCGACCTGGGATGGCTCCTTGAACTTGATGGAGAGTCACCCGCTTCAATACTTATTTCTCCAAACTCGACATCTCTCTGAAATGCTGTCGTTCCTTCAACAAGTTGTAAAGTATCTGTATGCAGACCTGGCGATAAGGAGATGTCTTCATTTGGTAGATTGACACACGACAATTGTGATAATTCACTGTTTAGTGACCCCGTTATGATACCGCCAGGCATTGTTGGGCAATCTGACTGTGAGGCATCGTGATGGACTGCTGGCGCTTCGAAGGAATCAAGACCGGCAAGAATTTCGTAGAGGTCGTCCAGATCTTCGGATACATCGAAGGACATCTCCAATGAGAGATCATTGATCTGGGGGCCATCAAAGTCGGTCCCGCAGTCAACAAACTCGTATCGAGACCTTAGATCACCAGGAGTTTGGGCAGTATGGGATTGCGGGAAGGCTGGATCTCGTGGCAGGAATTCGGATGGGCTGAGTAGACCGCTTATGACTCCATAGTCTTCAGACTCACGTCTGTCTGGGAGTTCGGGTTCGTCTAGGTGGAAAGCTCGCGTTCCAATATGAGCCCGGTCCGACCTGGGTTCTCCTCCTCTGCCATCTGGATAAAGTCCTTAGCATTGTACCATGAGCCAGGAAAGGATCAGGTTGCTTACTATTACCTGACGAAATATTGTTTGCCCCGGGCTTCTCGAACTCCCTCCACCTAAACTCTGCTTGATAGCCTCCGCATGTCGTTTTCCGGCGAAGGCATTGGGAGCAAGAAGGTTTTTTCTCATCGCATTTCCTTCTTCTTGCCTTACACGTAACGCACCCTATACTAAATATTAGCACTTTCCTCCATATAGCTTTATTTGACATGGGTTTTTGCACAACCATTCCGGCTTTTTTTGTTCGGTGCTCGTTTTTGCGGCGCTGTATGCACCTGCTTTCCTGGGGAAGCTGGCAACAGAGGACGCAGCTGAGATGTCTCGGGAGGTGTCATATCTAAAGTTTTGCGGGTATTTTAATCATCTCTGTATGTTTCCTTCACGCAAATTCAGTCTTTCTGGCGGCTTGCTTGGTGTATCAGGATTAGATGTTGTGCAATGCTTGTAACGTGCCTGAGGAGATGGGGACTTTGATCGCTGTACATGTAGACCAGACGAGACAGTAGATAAGAAAGCGGGGGAATGTGGGGAACTATCCATAATAGGTCACAGTGGGCTGGGAAGGCCTTTTCTAGACTAGCCTTGACCCTCTACCACCAACTGACACCAGATCGACCAATAAGATGCAATTGATTTGATTAGCTAGGTGCATGTCCATGCCCCAGAGGCAAAGGGAAACTGGGCGACAATATCTCCTACATGTGTTCCATAATCTCTAACATTTAATCAAGGCATTTCTCTACTATAACGGTCGAAATAAGTCTCATCGTGGGGATTTAAACACAGACCAAAGCTGTCCGCCACTACGACTCCTCGGGTCGCAATCAGGTTATCTAATCCCCTGCATAGCTTGTAAGCTTCTTCTACAGACCAGACTGGCTGCCAGCAGGGCCAGAATAGCCATGGCATAGCTTCTGTCTAGTAGTCTTCATTTTTGTGCATTGTTAGAGTGTTCTTATACCAATAGTTCAGTTTCCCTTCATGATTGCAATAAGCTCACAAACAAAATGATGTTGATTATATCTCTGCACTATCGAGGTCTTACTGGGACTATGGGGATGACTGCAGCTTATAAGGTCAGCCTTTAGGCTGCAAACACTGGGACTAAGTTCTCTCTGCTGATTTAGGCTCTAAGCCATACGTCTCAACTGCAAATTCTTGCTGGGGCATTGCTAGATAACCCCTTCAGCAGCTGCTAAGCTGACATTCGAATCCAGGCTCGAATCCAGCCTTTCCCGTTCGTGGTTCGCTGCAGTTTCCTTGTTGAACTCGGCCAGGCACATTTCGAGGACCCGCTTCTGATAATCTAATACCCAACACACATGAGTACGATGAAAGCATTTGAGGTGCCACAATATGTTCGACTTACGGATCACGCCGTTTTCCTTGTTTGGATTCAGTATGCCCTCAGTATAAATCCCCACATTCAGGTTCATCTGAGCCATTTCGCAAAGATCGTTATCTTCCGTTGCGACAGTTCGGGCGAATTTGTAGTAGTTCTGAAATTCCTGCGTTTCGACAGGTGACTTGTTATAGTAGTCAAACTGCATGATAGTTTTGGACGGATCATCTGTCGGCCAGGTACGGAACGAGGAGATACCACCACCATACAAATTCAATGTTGAGTTGGGAAAGAAGTAAAGAAAAAGACCGTCGCTTGGACTGTCGCGTTTACAGTCTGCTTCTGCGAAATGACGTGAGAAATGTTTCTCGTTAAGCACTTTGTATGTAGTCGGCGCATAAACCTTGGAGAATGATGGGTGCGCAAAGGAGCAGTGAAGGCACTCTTGGAACCCATCAATAAGAGTCTTCCAATTATACTTGCCGGTATATTTGAGGCTTCTTCTAAAAGGGAATGCGGTGAAGTCAACTGTTGAGATGAGCTCTTCGAGGCCAGGAAAGTATTCGTCGAACTCAGGCGTCGAATCGGAGAAGGTTATAAAGAGGAGGCCGGTCCGGGTGATATGGTGACGCATTTGAGTGCCCTGAGAGCGTTAGTGTTCAAGTTGAAGGTATAGGAGCCATCTCGTACGTCACTTGTGAAAACTTGAATGCTCTTCCAGTCTTCTGACTCGCGTCGAACAGTAAATTTGAACTGCTCTAGATCGTAAAAACAGTCCTCGCCGTCAGCGGACCATCGTGTGACAACACCGAGATAAATCCAGGTCTAGAACACATCAGTGGCTGCCCCGATAAATTGCCGACATACGACCATACCTTGTTGAATATAGCACGTCTTTCTAAGGCAGCAATGGCCTTGCTGGTATACCATGAGGCAGGGAGTGTGTTTGGACAAGACATTTTTGATAGACAACTTTGATAAGGCGCATAAATCAATGTATCTACAAGGCCTCTGATGTGATGAGAATTTGAGACGCGGACTTTAGATATGTATCCATGCCTCGACAAACATGCGTTGACAAATGGAGTGCATGTATCAAAGTCACGGTCTTTCTTTGACTAACAGCTCTGCTAACCTCAAGCAGTGAATCGTGTTCCTTACCTCGATTAGGAAAAGCGATCCGCTGCTACTGGCCAATGATATGTCCAAGCCTCCGTTGCCTCAATTCCGAGCTGGGCAACCCCGCCTTTATCTGTGATATTTCTCTTCGTGATTAACAATCTCTTGAGAATTGAAAGAATTGATAAGTTGAAAGCTTATCATAATGTAGAATCCATGGTACTATAACAGATGTAGATTATTAGTTATGTCCTGCCGTTATTGCTATCCTGCTCATACCTCGATGAAATCTCGCCTGCCATCACTCTTCAGCATTGGCAAAGTTCTTATGTCACATTCGCGACCATGACTAAAACCTCAAATATCCTACTGATTGGAGGCGGGGGGCTTGGTGTTATTGCTGCCTTGAGCCTCGAGGCCAGTTCAAGGGCCAAAGTGACAGCTGTATTGCGTTCAAACTACGAAACTGTCAGTGCGAATGGGTACAAAATCAGTTCATGTGACCATGGTGAGATAGAGGGATGGCGCCCTACCAAAAGTAAGTGTTAGCCATCAAGATATCCCTTCAACTACCCACACCTGTTCTGTAGTCGTGAACAAAATTCCTCATCCGTCTTCGAATGACCTGGTCTATGATTACATCGTTATTACTACTAAAAATATACCTGGACTTGGCCGAAGTATGGCAGATTTAATTGCACCTGCAATTTCACCAAGCATCACCGTTATCGTCCTCATTCAGAATGGATTGAATATCGAGAGAGATTACATCGAGCGGTATCCTAGCAATGTCGTGCTATCTGGCATCAGCTTTGCCGGTTCGCAAGAGACAAGACCAGGCTGGATCCAACATACGAGCCACGATCATTTACGTGTTGGCGCCTTTCCAAGTACAGAGGTCAATATGGCAGATGGTGAGGCCGCGGCGAAGAATTTTGTCTCATTATACGCGGCTTCAGGAAAGGCTTCGTGCTACTACACGGACAATACCATGAGACACAGATGGAGAAAACTTGTTTACAATGCGACAATAAACCCACTTTGCGCCATCACCAACCTTGACTCTGGTTCTCTCCGCCAAGGTAGTCCAGCGATGAGAAAGTTAATACAGGCTGCCATGGAAGAGATCATGGCTGCTGCAGCTGCAGCTGGACACAGGCTCCCCTTAGAAACTGCCCAGGAGTTATTAGATGACGACGCTGTGGACGATAACTTTGAACCTAGTATGCTCCAGGACATCAGAAAGGTGTGCACAATTCCTCATAATCCTTGAGGACTCAGCCTGATGATTAAATAATTCTAGGGAAACTCAATCGAGTACGAATATCTAGTAGGGGAACCAATGCGTGAAGGGCTTCGACTTGGGGTTCCTATGCCGACTATCTCGATGATTTACTCGCTTTGCCAAGCTGTACAGAGCAGAATAATGCAATAACGTAAATCCGTTTAGGAATTCAAATTATTCTCGGGGTTAGAAATTATATAATCTCAAACTGTTTGTGGATATATAGGCAATAGATCAATAGAGTAAATCTAACTTAATCCTAATTCCTAAGTTGCAGGAGCTAATTCTTTAACATCCAGTTATGTAGCTAATTTATTATTTATTGTAGTTTAAAGTAAGACTCATCTCTGTGATTTTAGAATGAATGACACATAATGGCGATGGCTAGCTATGCAACATAATAAGAACATGGTTTTTTTCTTCAATATTAGCCTTCATCGGAGGCTTTCTCAGCAATCTATCAAACCTCGTTAAGGCTCATTTACAAGATAGTTTAGGATGCAAAAAGCCAGAAAGAAGCAACGGCAGATCATGTGCCAGATTTTTAATTAAATCATCTTAGTAGCTACCATTCCAAATCCCCAGAGTCATCAAGTCCCTCCAAAGCCATACATACTGTAGAGATATATTAGCCCTGCCCAATTCAATCTACTAATAGAAGCGCAGTGATATCAAACTTACACCCTTCGGCTTTTGCATAGCCATTACTTCGACACTGATTGACTGCCGCTGGCTTGACCTCTGCTCCTTCGCTCTTCTCTCTTTTGGCGTGTTTATCCACCATATCGGCCAGCGTAGCATGCTCATCTGGACATGTTCAGTCTTCTATAGTTACTAAGCGTAGCCGTGCGACCTACCTCCAGCATGATACAGGGAATGGACAGAGCTTGCGAGTTTCTCATAACTCTCTTCATGTCTTCGAACGATTGAATTGATCTCAGCCTCCAGATCGGGCTTCAAATGTTTCTCAAAGTCGGAGCTATCTTGCTTTGACTTTGAGTACACGTCACATCGTACGGTGGTTTGTCTAACAGATTCCGGAGAATACGTGAGCTGGTACCAGATGGGACTTCTCTTCTGCGAATAAACGGTGGTGAGAGGGCTGAATCGAAGCTGTCCGGCATCAGACCGACCAAACAAGCGCGATAAAGAGCTTTCATAAGGTGCAGACGACGTTTCCCGATCAAAGTCATGCCCTAGACCTCCGTAAACATGCGTCGCATTTGGTGCTAGCGAACCAAGGTACTTACCAGGAACCTTCCAGTTGAACTTCCCTTTTACTTCCCAAGATCCAAGATATTGTTGGGTCTGGTAAGTAGGTGCTGGCCTTCTCACAGCCTTGGCTCTCTCAAGCTTGGTATCGCCTGCTCCAGGGCTGTTGTTCAGGTTAATGTGTAGAAATCCATCATCATCCATCTTGGTGTGAACAGGGAAAAGACCATTTTGGCTCTTATCAAAACCAATCACATCCTCAAAGTGGGGAGCCTTCGTAAGTTCCCCCTTATTATTATAACTCCACCCATGATACTTGCAGCCAAGTATAGATGCTGAGCCAGAAGCCTTTCTAGTGACTGGAAATGCGCGGTGCCGACAGACGTTATGAAATGCTCGTACCACATCATCCTTGCCTAGCATAAGGAGGAGTCTAAAGCCCGCAATTTCAAATGCGATATAGTCGCCAGCCTTCGAGAACCGACTGCGATGACTGACGCAAATCCAGCTCTACTCTTGTCAAATTGAATCTAACATATATGGTCTCAGAACATACCTGGCTGAAGATGGCACGCTGTTCAACACCAAACCGTTTGGTGTCAGTCCACCATCCTTTTGGTAGCTTGAAAGGCCTGGCAGAGACTTGGCCTGCTCTAGATTTAGAGGGGGAAAATGTTTTAAGTAATAGGACAAGAGGCAACACTAAGGCAAAGAGAGTGCCAGGAAGAATATAAGGGGACACATCAATGAGCCTAGACATTGCTTGTGAGGCTTGGAAGCTGGACAGTGTCGTGGGGTTAAGGAGATGGTGATTACTTAAAGCATGTACTGGCTGAGTAATTGTTAGATTTTATGTCAAGTATCATATTTCTTCTCACATCGACTGAAGATGCGCTGTTTTGTATACGTATCGTGGTTATCACATGAGTAATCCACTTGGTTGGTCAGCCGATAAGATCTACTTCTGGATATCCTATCCCTTGCAGAACGCAAAATGACAAGCCTCAGATTTGAGACCGCCATTGCCAATAGTGTTACTTACTCAAGTGGGTACAATCTACTTTAAACGATATGGGAAACTGGTGTTCTGATAATAACACTACTAACTGTAGCGTTGGCCAATTATAAGCACTGAATTAAGGGGATTCACTTTCCTAAAGCGGGTGTATTTTACGCCATGGCTGTTATTGGCCACAAATGTCTGGCTTTATCTTCAAAAGAAATTCGTCAGATAATGCCAGAGACAAGCAGAAATAGCCACCTAGACAAGGTACCAGTAGCTACATAGAACTGTTCTCTATTGGAAGGGTGCTGGCATTGGTAGAAGCTCGTTGAATTGTATGTAGCCCCTAATGAGCTAGCAGGTAGGGAAGTGGAGGGGAAGGCGGTCTAGGACAATACACTGCGCTGCACACTACGTACTCTCTTGCAATAATACAGTGTATTGTAAGACAGTTATTTACGTGGTTTCGTTTTAGTATTGTGTTTCTTTTACAATGTAATAATAGCTTGTCATGCAATTGTCCTGGTGACTACTGTTTGTACCAAGCTGGGTCTGGTAATCTATAGAGATGCAAGGGCCTCAAAAAGTCAATAGCAGGATATGTACTTCACAGGACCGTAGCATCCATCTCTGAAATTGAGTAGCGCCCAAAGAAAACAACTCTGCATCATGGTATTTGTTCCCTCCTCGGTTGCTTCTGTTGCCACCAGATGCTCGGAGGATCTGCAAGCTAGCGGCGGAGGAACTCAAACAGACCATGAATCTTCCGAAAGGCCAAACCCAATTTGAAGCGTGGGCCCCGCATTCAATGCTTTGCGGTGTCTGCTACCGGGGACATTTCAATGGAGTCTCGGGTATCATTACCGAGGATCATGGGCATAGGCCCATGGTACCCCCATCGGACCATTGGGCTGGCTGTCGTCCATATAAGTCCTGCAAATGAGATGTATAGTCCAACTTGCACGACGAAGGGCATATCTCTCCCATAACACAATGCATGAAACTCAAGTAATCATTGTTGGTGGCGGACCGGCAGGTCTTGCCCTGGGACTCTCACTAGCCCGACTGAAGATTCATGTCAGTAGCTGCTATTTCGATAAGTACAGCACCCTCATGTTCAGTACTGACGATGCACTCTCGGCAGTCTGTCATTCTTGAAAAAGAAGCAGAGATCACCACTGACCCCAGAGGCGTGTTTCTCACTGGAGATGCGGTCAGAATACTACACAGCCTCGGGATCAACAACCTGACGGGCATAGGTCATGGTAGGTCCACAACCTTCAAGAGCAAATGAATCTGCAAACTGAGTCAAATCATGTACTCATCTCTATTGATACAGAAATGCCACATCTTAATTTCCATCGTGGTGCATTCAATACTCTCCCGTTCTTCTCAGTTCGCATCGGGGGCATCAACAGTCTTGAACAAGCTTTACCAGAAGGCATTTTGCAAATGCAGCCCCGTCTAGGTATGCCTTCTCTTTAGTCAAAAAGACAAGTGTCTTCCATGCTAACTGTAGATGCAGAAGGGGCTTTGAGGAAGGCTATTGAAGAGTCAAAGTTCTGTTCACTACGTGTCGCCTGTGAAGTGGTCTCACGATCGGAACAAGATCCACCAGTGATCGACTTCAACGATAGCCAAGGCACACGACAGCAGATCAAAGGAGAATGGCTCATTGGCGCCGATGGAAAGCTAGGTATCGTACGAAAACACTTCCTTGAACCAACTATAGGCATAAAACAGCAAGACGGTCTTTATCCTTACAGCGGCACCTGGATAGCCGCCAACTTGAAGATGAAGCTTCCTACTCCAGAGACTCATCCGGACTTTCCACTCTGGAAGTTTCGTTACTCGCCGCAAGAGGTTTATGATCTCTTCTGGCCTGTTGGATGGCATTTTTGCACCCCGCCTGGAAAGGCGACTGCTTCTGGAAGATTTGGCCCTTATGAGGAAAGACTCTGGCGTCATGAGTTTGCACAGGAGGAAGCACTTATCAAGGACAACTCGGAAGAGCTACTCTGGGAGCATATTACGCCGATGATCACTCTTGAGGAAGACAGCAGCCGCAGTCACAAGTTCGGCGGGCCTGTGTGTTACCCACGAGACTGTATCGAAGTTCTGCGATGTCGACCATTTCACTTTGTTCATAAAGTTGTTAACCGCTGGTTCAGTGGTCGAACTATCCTCATTGGCGACGCAGCTCATGTCTTTCCTCCTTTCGCCGGTCAAGGTATTGGAAGTGGCGTTAGAGATGCTCACCAACTTGCATGGAGGTTAGCCCTGATGCTCCACCCAGACTCCAAGCCCGAAAACCACGACAAGCTGCTCAAGTGCTGGGAGTCCGAGCGGCGTCAGAGCATCGATGACGCAGCGCAGTTCTCTATGATCAACGGCCGCATCTGCAATAGTGAGCCCTCTTTATGGTTACGGTTATGTCTCCGGCTTTTGATGTTTCTGCACGGCACGCCTGTCTTTCGGTACATAGATTATGTATCCCGTAAAGAGAAGAAGGGTTTTTCGAGTGTTGGAAGCGGGTTCTTTGTCAAGGAACGAAAAGGTGGCACTCGTCTTCCACAGATACATATGAGATCGAAGAGCCTGGCAGAGTCATTCTTATCGGACGAAGTATTGCGAAAGGGCAATACGATTTTCACTCTAGTGGTTGTGAGCGACGGAAACCCCGCTAGCCAGCAAAGTTTGCACGCCGAAGCAAAGGCTGCAGTCCAAGAAGCTGGACTTTCATCAATCATCTACAAGGAGGCCATCGTTGTTTACGATGCCCATTGGAGCGACTCATCACTAGGTCAAAAGACGCTTTCAGACACTAATGGAGAGTTTGGTCATCTCACAGTCTGTTCACCTTCGGAGATCGCCGCAGCTGATGGGCACATGGCGAATAGATATGACAGCTCGGTCTTTGGCAAGCGTCTTGGAAGAGGCACGAAGTTTGCGATTCTCCGACCCGACTTCTTTATCTTTGCTTGTTCTTCTGACTACGCTGGGCTGGTAAGCTCTCTGGAATCGTTGAGAGCTTTTGTTGGGTTTGGGGATGAGAAATTGTTGATACGGTAAAGCGGAGGAAAGAAAACTTGGGACCTTGATCCTAAATAAGGAAAAGATTTAGGTAAATTGTACAAGTTTAACCTAAGTTTAGGATACCTTTTACTAAATTTATTTTAACACCTTATCTAAGGCCTAATATTTTCTTACTTCCTAAGGCACGTCTAGCTCACAACCTAGATATTTATTATATTTCTTAGGCACAAAGTAGACCTTTAGATATAACCCAATGGCTCCAACTCTCCACAGATGAAGCGTCTCAAGGACACCAGGTTGGCCGAGCGCTACAAGCATCACGTTTCTGTTTTATCAAATGAAAAGAACTTCTCAAGAATGGAATTTACATAATAGCCTGAAGCGCGCAGACAAAATATCTATTCACATCGACGACAAATGTCGTAAGTAGCTTCTACATGAATCTACTGAACAGGAAGATAGCAACTCTCTGTAAAGAGACTATCAGACGCGTCAAAAGTCCAACTCTGCATAATGCGCAGTTAGCAAAGCTTCTTGTTCTAGGCTCACGTAGGTGAACGAACGATGCTTACTCAAACTTGATCACATTCCTCAATGTCCCAACCCGCGCCATGGTGACTTCAAGGACATCACCATCCTTGAGGAATACCTTGGGACTATGAAAAGCACCCACTCCAGCGGGTGTTCCCGTCATGACCGCTGTACCAGCCGGTATGGTTGTTCCTGTAACAAGTCTGTTAACATTGATCCCCCTCGTAAGTAATGGTGAAGTACCTTGACTCATATGGCTGAGAATCTGCTCTGGCGAGAAGACCATGTCTTTCTTAAACTCTGCTACTTGCCGAACCTCTCCATTGACTTTTGCTTCTACAGAAAAGCCTGACCCATCACCAAATACAGTTGGGCTAATCAACGCAGGTCCGATAGGTGCAAATTTGTCGAAAGCCTTGGCGAAGAAGAATTGACCCGCTGAATGCTTGGGAAGCTGATACATGCGGCAAGAAATATCATTGCCAACGGTGTACCCTAGGATGCAGTCCTTAGCTTCCTTGGGAGAAATGTCACGGCACTGTTTGGAAGTAACAAAAACGAGCTCTCCCTGTACGTGTAATCAGTATAAACTACCGTCATTTAAAGCAAGGTTTTATGTCTTACCTCATAGTCTGGGAGACTCTTTGCGCAAAAGTCATTGAGTGGAATGTCTTCATTTGGGTTTGCAAGTGATGCAGCTGGCTTGGTCCAAAGAGGAGGAACTGACGTCAAGGTGAGCTACAGTCTTGTTAGCGATTGACTCAGAGCCGTCTGTCTATTTCGCTTTGGCGTACTGAAGCTTCTTTGGCATGGCTTCGGTAGTTCAACCCCACGCAGTATAAAGGGAGGTCATCTCTTGGAAGTGGTGCTAAGAGCTGTATTCAATTAGTAAAGTGGATCGGTCAGAGCTTGATCTCAGTAAAGTTATGACACGGAAAGACTCACACGACGAATTGTCACTGTTATGGGCTCGTGCTTGTCGGCCAAGCCCTGTAAAGACTTGACCGCGCTGACCTTGGTGCCGAGAGCAGGCGGACCTTGAGCATCGGGACCCAGGTCGGCGAAATATGTTTCCCCGTCCTCTTCAGACTCGAATTTGATCAGTACTGCGAAATTAGCCATCGTGTAGGTATGTCACAGGGTATGTTGCCGGCCCGTGGATCTACATCGACATCAGTGCTTAAATACATTTTCTCTATAATAACACTCATTTGTAATGTCCCAGGATGTAATCCAGAAGAAGCTACTTTTTCTACGATACTGATATGAGGGGGACAAGAAACTACGGCAGATCTCAAGCTTTGACTTTTGAGATCCTCCGACGTGGGGTTAGCTGCAGTGAAAGTGCCGAGGTCGGTTAGTCATCGGAAATACTACATAATTCCTCGGAGCATCTTGCAAATCCACAATCTCGACCACTTCTCTCACCTCCGATGGTCTGATTACACCAGACAACGACCCAGCATTGACGTTTCATATGCTATTGTACACCTACAAGCGGCGTATCTAGTGATATTATCCGATAAATAGTATTTCCGATACCAAGAAATGTCTGCGTCACCGTCTTCAGGCGGCGGAACATCCGGCGCAGCTCCCTCTGCTCATCGGCTGAGCACCAGAGTCTGCGACAACTGCATTCGGTTCGTAGACCTCGCATCAATTCTCGGCACTACAGCATCTGACACTCTCCATGCCTCAGCTCCAAAGTCCGATGTGAGATGATCCGGCATTTCCCTGTTCCTAGTACTGATGCGACCGGCCTGGTACAGGCGATCTAGGACAGCCGTCATGCTCACGGTGCCTAGACCGCGGCAAGACATGTAGCTACTCTACGACGCGTCGTCGGCCAGGGCCAGCTCCTGGCTCCGGTAGGGCCCCACGGGCAATCCGTAATCGAGAGAGGAGGCATTCTGGTAAGAGCCGTCTACTGACTATTCAAGCATCACGCTATCTAATCACTCGCTTTGAAGACATAGAGGATACCACCCTGCAGGCCGATTCTACCCTTGAGGACATCACTTCTTCGGTTCCAATTGTTTCGGATCTACCATCTGAAAGCCCTGAAACCCCTGTCACTTCCCACACATCTATTGGCAATCAATCAACACAAAGTCTAAACATCTTGCCCGAAGAGGAAACGTACCTGTAAGAGACGATATTGCATGGTCATAGAACCTCATTCACTAACCATGTCAGGGCCGATGAATACTTTAAATCCATAAATGAAGCCATACCACTATTCTCCGAGGCCGCAGCATCAAGCAGCAAAGACGCCCTATCAGCATGCAGCCCCGAACTCGCTGAAGCTCTACTTCTCATCACAGCCAAACTCCTCGGCTTTAAATTTTCATCCCCTCATTTTGACCTCGACGGTCGTATAGACCTAATCCTAAGCAACACAACTCTTCAAGAAGACACAGCCGGTGATTTCCCAAGTCTTGACCTCTTTCGCAAGTTCTGCCTACTCGTCTTTTATGAATTCCACCAATTCCCTGGGCAGCAAGCCTGGATGCGCATAGGAAAGATCGTCCGGCTAGCGTATTGGATGGGCCTTGATCGTCTGGACATAATCCAATCCGTCTCCCCAGAATGGTCCAATGTGAGTGACGCGGACCTTCAGAACTGGAAACTTGTCTGGTGGTGTGTGTATCGTCTTGACTCGTACGCCAATCTCTCATCCGGAACACCGTACCAAGTTGATGAACGCCTTGTCAACACATCTTTAAATCACCAGGATCAGCTTTCTCAGGGTTTCGTCGCTCCTTGCAGGTTACCCCACGATCCGCGTGGTCTTCCTGACCTTCTCTTGTTCGTCAAGACCGGGAACGAAAGCAGTGTCCTCTTCAACATCCATCTCATCACCGTCACTGTCCTGCGGCAATTCGGTCGGGCAATGAGCATGCGCTATCTGGTTCCTCACGAGATCCTCACGGCGAATTTACTCGACGCAGAACGTACACTATCTGCAATACGTCTAGCCTTACCGCGAAACTTCTTGAACCCTGGAAGAAACGCCTTCATGAATGAGTCAAACACAAATCACCATGCGAGATTAGTTCCAGTACTCCAACTACATATGGCACAACTGCTGGCTGCCCTTGCGAGCTGCTACTATCTTCCCGAAGGCGATGATTGGACTCTTAGCTGGCAGCGTGTCCTGGAGACCTGCCAGAACATAGCCGGGATAGCAGAGAAATGGGACAGCAATTACACTCTCACGGTAGATCCAGCACTTTCGCTCATCAGCTTGACTGCGCTTGTCTTCTTGGATATTCACAAGAAGTATACTGAAAGTACAAACACACATCTCATATCCGAGATTGAGAATTGTGAGCTTCTCCTGTTGCTCCAGCTTGAGCAATTGTCGGTCTATTGGAAGCTTCCAAGTTTATTAATTTGTGAGTCTGACCGTCAACGCTATTCCATCTACTCAATCTCGCCTCTAACTATTTGTGTTAGTGTCGTTCAAGAGCTTCAAGGAATCGGTGACGGGTCCTCTTTCTTATCCACACATCCAACTTATCCTGTCCCGATTCGAGAGTCCGTTACATCCGAGGTGGTTGCAGTTCTTGTCCTCCGCGCAAACGCATCTCGAGAACGTGATATGGCTACATGGCACTTGAAGCCGGATTCACAGATATATAAATCTTTAAAGTCCCTACCTCATCACATCAGCTCTCTGACTCGACATCTTCTCGTATTGAAGTTCTTTGTGGGAGGACTTCAGGTTTAGGTCAAATGCATAGTCGACATTAACTACTTATCATACAAAAGCCGCCTAGGTCGCAGCTTAGACTACAGTAATTACGAGAAATGGGAGTATTATCCGTTAATAAAGGTATATAGCATTAAACTCATTCAGCTAGCTCATAAGACTAGATCAAAAACAATTATCGTAGACGGGCAGATGCGCGTTTCCTAACTATCGCAGTGCCCTCCTCGTGTGAATGTGACAAGACGTTACTTAGACCTTGCTGGGAGCAACCTCGTGGACCTCCTGATCCAGAGAAGAAACTCTCTCGGTCTCCTTGCTGAGAACCTCCTTCTCAACGTGTTCGAGATCGACATCGGCCACAGCGGCGTTGTCACCATCGATAACCTTGGCCAACTCCTCAAGGGTAGGTCCACGAGTCTCGACATACATGAAGAAGATGAAGAGAACTTCACCAGCGACCCAGATGGTGTAAATGAGGTAGAGTCTCCAAGTGTTTCCCCCGTATCCAGTTTCCTTCTCGCCCTCGGGAACGGCGGGGGCTTGCCACGCCTTGAAAGCAAGAGGGTTGAGGTAGTTGTTGAGTAGAAGAGCGATTTGGACCGAAATGTTGAGGAACATCAGACCCTTGGCACGGAGAGAGTAGGGCAGAATCTCGACAGCGTAACCGATCAAGAGACCAGACCAACAAGTCGAGTAAAAGACACCGTGAAGCCAGACAAGGAAGATCATTGCGTTGTTGGCGCCCGGGGCCTGGTGCTGCTCGTGGAGACCGCAGGTCAGAGTCCAGAAGAGCAGAGTCAGGCACATACCGCCAGTGGCGAAGAGGAAAGAGAAGCGACGGTTGAGGCGTTCGACGAGGAGAGCGCAGCCGATAGAGACAAACAGATCGAGAATGGTCTTTCCTGCAGTGATGATGAGACGTTCGTTCTCGCTATCGAGACCAGCATTGATGTAGAGACGGGCAGAGTAATTGGAGACAACACCATTGCCTGACCACTGCGAGAAGAGACCGAGGGAGAAGAGGACGAGGAGGCGGTAGCGGTTACCCTTGGTTTTGAAGAAGTCGGTATATCGGGAGCTGTTGTTGGCGAGCTGCTCAGCCTTGATGGTGTCGCGAATCTCGCGGTACTCGAACTGGACAGTTGGGTGGTTCTCGTTGCCGTTGGCGTGGTACTTGGAGAGGATATGAAGGGCTTCGTCCTGGCGGTCCTTGGCGATGAGGAATCGAGGGGATTCTGGGATCCCTAGAGGATGTTCGTTAGCAAGATCGTTGAATGGTTATATCAGAAGATCAACTTACACCAGAGAATGGCGAGCTGAATGAGACCGGGAGCACCCTGGAGGATGGCGGGGAATCGCCACGACCAGTCACTGTTGCCGCCGCCCCAGTAGTGAGTACCGAAGCAAGTCCAAGAAACAAGCAGAGAGCCCATGTTCCAGAGACAGTTATAAACAGTGGTGAAACGAGCACGGTGCTGAGGATGACACAGCTCAGCGAGAAGCATAGGAGAGGCAATCTGAGCAAATGAGTTGCCGAAACCTAGAAGAACACGACCGCCAGAGTAGGTAGCGTAGTCGGGAGCTCCAGCCTGGAGACCAGCGCCGATAGCCATGAGGATGAAGCCGAGAGCGATACAAGGGCGACGGCCCCAGCGATCGGCGATGACAGGGACAAGAGGGATAGAAGCGACTGAACCGATTTGGTAGAGAGCGACCAAAAGACCGAGTCTGCTGCCCTCGGGCTTATCGAAGAAGTCGTTCCAGGTGTCAAAGTTTTGAACGACACCCATGTACATACTAAAAACGAGCCATGTCAATAAACTGTGGCTGGAATTACTAACTCTGGGGTTTGCTTACCCATCCCAGCCAGTTCCCATGGATGAAACGCAGAGAACGCATGCATAGAAGGTCAAGACCCTCAGGCCGGGGTCCTTGTACCAAGTAACATGCTCAAACTTGGGAGCTTCCTCCTGAAGCTTCTTCGTCTTCTCATCGACGCCGAGGCCGATGATTTCCTTGATGCCCATGACGATTTCTCAATCGAGGGGAAAATGTTGAAAAGAGGCAATAGAGTGTAGTTTGTTCTTCTTCTGCCAGAAGCACTCAGTGGCCTTAGCAGATTGTTATTGAGGTGGAGAGTGAAAGGGAACTGATAAAAATGGGGGGAGATTCCAGGATAGATATAGAAAACGCGTCGAGTGAGGCCAGAACGAAATCTGAAATGCGACGGGCGTGCGGACCGGGTGGCAGACCCCAGATTGTGCGGAAGAACCGAGCAGGCAAAAGACAAACAGCGATTGAATCAAATGACAGGCGTCCGCTTAACGTGCGGTTCCACTCATTTGTTCGGAATGGGCGATCTTGTTCCACCTTGGCTGTCTTGGAAGTCTTGGTAGTCATGAGTCTCGAGCCAAGATGGAGGCCGGGCCGCGCTCATTTAGCAGGGGTGAAGAATGGAGAAGAGTGAAATCGACAGTCACAAGCTGGGGGATCTCCACTGTGCACTTGTTCCAACTGATGTTGTTGCACGGAGCACCCCGTAATTGAAGCATTATTATAATGGGGCTCTGCGATTAAGCCGCCCATGGGGGTGATTTTCGCTATTAGCCTGTTACCGAAAGGGGGCCCTTTCATCTCGCCACGGGGTTTTTTCGCGAGGAACGAACACCATGCTACAACATCGTCTTTTGTCTGTCGTATTTCTGCCATCTGATCTGATCTTCTGTCTAGAATCGTCGGGCCAAAACGTGCGACAGACATAACATCATGGCCATCACCGATGCTTACGCTTACGGGCTTGGGCTCTGAAGATCCCTTTTTGCCTGTTGCCAGCCCTTCTTGGGGCAGCCATCAATGGAGCTGTGCCTCTAATATTTGCCATCCTCCAAGACCATATTCTTGTTGTAGATGAGCCATTCAAGATGGAAAAATGAAGAAAACACAGCAAAAATGAAATTCCTCGTGGGCGGAATTATGACCCGTGACTTTTTGCTCAGATGGCTTCGGGGATATTCTCCAGTCTTGGCTTAGAGTGGCATTTGGCTAAATGCGGATAAATGCGGGTAAATAAACAACCTTAATCAGTCCGCCAATCACAAGCCGTTCCCAATTCTTCTCCTGATCGATTTCAATGCGATTTCTCTCGCAAAACCCGAATATTAAAAAAGAAACATGCAAATCCCGAGCTATTTTCGGCATATCAGCTGAAATAGCCACGATCTGTTATACCTAGCTTCAGAGTCATGTGCATGGAATTTAGCCGATTGACAGATAAAAAGTCGGCCTAGAACCTGCGCGTCGCATAATGATCCCAGAACAGCCCAGAGCCAAGAGTCTAAACTGGAGACCAACACAAGTTCTTAACCGTCGACCAAGACCTTGGCGCTCACCGAACCCAATTCTTTTTCGCGACGGTATCTCCACTCAACAAGATTTGTCCTGAGCTCGACCCGCCCTTGTTTGACGTGGAGCTCAGGAACCGAGGGCCGAAATTCCCCAGGCCCAGATTCTGAGACATCCACTGTTTTTCGGTCGAGCGTGGCTGATCTGACGGACTTGGATTGACTCCGCCATGAGGAATAGGCCGTTCAGCTGACGACGTCGCCGGCTTCCGATCGTGTTGTGTCAAGATGCACTCATATAGAAATGGATTCTACCTTTGTTAAGCGACTGCAACAGCTGAAATCTGTGGGCATCGTGCGCGGTGTGATTTCGCTGTCTACGCCTGTGCACAGCCGAGAAGACCGTGAATTTTCATTATTGAGAGTTAAGACACTTGGAACGTCGAAGAACAGAAAACCCAGTGAATCCATTAGATATAAAATAAATACAAGAAACTTAATTGTTTAATTTCAATTGCCATAATACTCCTACGGGGTAGTTGCAAGCTCTGTAAAGTAGTAAAAACCTCGAAACCTAGGGTAGGTATATCTTTGACGCGCTTTAACGCGTGGAGGCTACGCGAATATCCACTCTTGAGAAACGGTCTTCCAACATTCCCTAGGCTGAAACATTTTAATTTATCCATTATAAGCCACTGCCACGGTCCTCGATGCTTGATGACTTTCTGTGCGTGGCAATTACCAAGACTCTTGGCTCTCAGAAAGCTAGGAATTTACCCAGGTGTCTCACGCACACGGTCAGAGCATCGTCATTCAAGGCTGATGATTGGGCTTTGAACTTATCCAAAATGAACATCGAGGTTGCCAAGTAGCCAAGCAAGCTTGTGGATAAGCTTGTGGACGTGAAAAAACTACTTGGCGTGGAGAAAATATCAACCCCAGGGAGAATGAAGATCGGCAGACGCGATCCACATGGATCTCTTAACAAACATGAGACCTGAAATGATTCTGTTCAACGAGAACCTGGGGAAAAGACACTGATAATGATAATCAATAGATAGACAATATATTGCTATATACTTTATATCGAGAGATATAGTAGTCTTGAATGTCCAATCAGCTATACTAGAAGCCCCCTTAAACAGGACAATTAGCCTAAATTCACCCATCATTTCGCGTCCATCCCTTATCGATAGCATCAGGTATTCTTCTCCGTCCAAGGTCTCAACCCATCTAAGAATTTGATATGAACGTCTCCATCACCGGTTATTCTCAGCACCTCCCTGTACTCCTCCTCGCCAAGACACTGGAAAAACAGCAGAATACCCGCCCAGATGAAATCAGCATAGCTCACCACATCGCCCAGCAAAAACGGCCCTGACGCGTTCTCATTGAGCAGGGCTGTGATCTCACGTGCGAACGGCTCCGCTCTGTCAAATGCACCCGGGGAGTTCTTTTCTCCGTACTCGTAGAGAGGCATGCCTACATCTTGCAAACGCGTTTCGAGGAAAAAGTCGATGCTCTTTTCGCCGATTATGTTTTTGGCGACGCCAGGGACGTAGACTGGCACCATTTCTGTCATGAATTTGATCATTGATGCGCGGAGACGGTCTTGCATTGGGTTGTTTAGGTGTACGCTTGGCTCAGGGTACTTTTCCTCGATGACGTCGACGATTTTGTAAGAGTCCATTATGTATGAGCCGTCTGGAATTTGAACGGCTGGGCATGTGAAGGGTGCGCCTCGTTCATTTGGGGATACACTGAGAACCGCACTGTTACTGGAAGCTCAACTGATGTTACTGGCTTTACGTACTGCTTGCTCAGACGTTCCTTGATCTCAGGATACTCGAGCTAGACAAATTAGCAAAAGCGCCTTATCATAGCTTCGAGAACTTGCCCATTCCGTTTTATAATCAAGGCCTTTATAATTAAGAAGCAATCTCGCTGTAAGTCCTGTTAGTGCTGGGTGCAGTTTGTTAATTATGGGGACTGACTTCTCCAGGTATTCATCGACCAGCAAACCTGAGGCGACTTGCTGGGGATATCGAAAAATGTGATCTTGTATTCAGACATGCTGCTGTTGGTCTCTGGTTTCAGTATGCGATATGATGTTGGCCTGTCTGCTCAATGCCAATACAGATTCACGGGTATAATTGAGGGAATTGACTGGCTGATAAGGTACTTCAGGATATAAATAGTAACAGGGTCGTTATCGTCAGATTAATCAGCAGGTCGGGCCCGGACCAATAACATAAGGGCATCATATCTTCCCCTCACACGATGGATGTTAGCACAATCCTTCATTGCCAAAAGCAGAAGGTAAGAAGTCTGCGATGATGAAATAGACACAAGGAGCGTCTCGAATTATGAATCTATTTATAGAAGTATTTAATTTATAGGTATATAGCCCTATGTGTATGCCTTTGTTCTACTGTGTAATAATTCTCATTAATTGTTTTACCATCTGCCAATGTTCCATACAGCCATTGTGGACATTGACATCAAAGTCGAAAGCTCTACGATGCCACTATGGTCAAAGTTATTCGCCAAGAATAATGGAGTTTTCTTCACAGAGATGGAAGGGTACTCTATCATTGATATATGGTAAGCCAGAGTTAACTGTCTCGGTCTCAATCATGAATCCGACAACCCCCTTTATGAAGAAATTCTACTGCTTGAGTAGACACGTGGGTTAAGAACTCTGGCTATTCGTATCAGACTAGTTACTGGTTAAATAAGACCTGGTTACCTTGGCATGATTACGAAATGTTGCATATATGGGGACTGTTATTTCGATATTGGGTTTTATTTTTGGGGCCTGCCTGGTTAGTTGTGAGCAATTGACTAGCCGCCGACGCGGTGAGTACTTTGTCGTACCAGAAGATATGAGAGATAGTTAAGGTCAGACGCCGTTCATGTAAGCCGCCGATAATAGACACAGAGCATTCACGGAACAATAGAATGTCGTCTAATTCAGTCCTATTGCTCCAGAATCGCTAACCCTAGGATGAAGCCCAGTTCGACGGTCCAGATAATGGTATAGGAAGATACAGAGAGGATACGGTCTGCAACTTCTAGTCATGCAGCAATATAGGCTCGGCTTATGAGAAATCAGTGGAAAATGAGGACCAAATTTCAGACGAATTATATCACCAATTGGTAAAGGCGAGGGTTTTAAATTCAGTAGCTATCTAATCCATGGACTCCAGCGGGCTTGGCTTGTCAGGCTGTAAGGAGGCATATATCTGCTAGGTTCCAGATAACCATGCCAAACGCAGTTTCGAGACAGCTTGGTGAAATGGTGATCGTATAGTCCTGATAAGTTCCCAGAGCCGTTATTTGCTATTCCCGGTGGGCCGACCTCCATACTGAACTTACATAAGTCTTTTCATCATCTATGAGAAAAGTCCTAAGTTTCCTAGCCTGCTCTAAGCTGATTAATATAAAGTCTATAGCACCAGAATAGCAGGTCTTAGAAATTGTATGGCCTTAAAAGAATGATTATATTGTCATTAAAGTCACCAGCGATATAGCCTAGGTGGATTAACCTATAATCCTCCAGGCAGGAATGGTAAATACCTATTTACTGTCAAGTACACCTCCGCAGGTTGTAACCGTAGTGAGATCAAGTCTTCGATGTAGATATAAAAACGACAAAGGCAGTATACAAAACAAGTGAATGTGATTGGGATGATCACCCGAAGAGGAACTTCCATTTCCGGATCCTGGTCCTCTGATAGATTCCTCCAAACCCTAGCTCGCTCAACAAAGCGCAAGAACCTACGCCGTCCAAAGGTGACTCGGCGCTGGGACTCCATCTCAATGGACTCCATACTGTTGGTCCTGAGTTGGCTGCTGAGCTGAGCTATCGGTGCTGTCTTTTGTCTTTTGCTAGGTTTGAACATCTCAACCGCATAGTAGGCTCCTCCGTAGATACTGAACGCAGCATGGTAAGCACTGCAGATCCTCCACAAAAGCTGCTCTGAGGCAGTTGGGAACTGAAAGTTCCATGCGAGGACGAATATGACGCTGAAGCCGATCAAGATCAGTGCCGCTCCTGGGGCAAACCACGGCTCGGGGATTAGCCAGATGTCTGAAGGTACTCGATCCCAAGGCGTTCGGGAAACGGGTCGAGATACAAAATTTATTCGCAGCTTATGTGCTAGTGAGACATAATATCTCCAATGAGCGTCTATGCCGAACTGTCTTCGGCTGATGAAGTCCAAAGGAGTTCGATAATAATCGACTTGAAGCCCAGGATGGGTCTATTTGTTATGCCGTTAGTCTTCGTTTTCAATACTCATCGGAGGTCAGATTAACCTACATTGCATCTAGCATACTCACGAATTTCCTCGACAGTGATATTGTCTTTTGTGGTGATAAATTGAGGTTTGGAAATAGAGGGTTTATGATACCAGAGAACCGATATCACGAATGTGATAAAGCAGAAGGATAGTGTTGTTAACTCCAAGGTTGAGATCGGATACCCTTTATGGATACGTGCAAGTTCCTTGATAGTAAACCATGCGGCTTGAAACACCGTAATAATGCTAGAAGGAATGAGCTTAATGCATTAGGACAACTCCAACGAGGTAAGACGTATGACAAGCGTCAGTTTCATCTCGCGCTTCTGTGGTATACTTACCGTGAGAGTGTATCCACCGAATTACGCTCCTTGATCTCTAGCTTATCTATGTCTGGGAATTCGACAAAACCGTGTTTAACGAGGTAGTGGAATTGTTTAGCGTCGATTGGGAAGCTCTTGCAATCGGCGGTAGAGTAGTCAGGCGCTGTGAGATGAAGACAGCCCATGTCCACAAAGAAACCATGTATGAGCTTCCATTTTTGACCCCTGCTCAAGTGACTGTCTCTCTTAAAAGCCTGTCATGAGAGTGTTAGTTACAGCGTCTTGGATTGTATAATTTGCCCGTTGTACCTTGACACTTAATCGAGCACTAGAGAATTGCCCCAAAGCGATACCGAAAAGAAAATCCGGACCAAGAAACGTGATAATGGCGAGATTAAACTTATCGAGAAGCGGGTGGTACCATTTGTCGTGAGGCGAGCCAGCATTAGGGTACGTAGAGACCCAGGCGCATAATAGCAATGTAACAAGACAGGACCATAAGACGTCGAGAGATCCTCTGTCATCGCTGCTATCTTGCCAACCAACCAATGGCTGATGGCCAGATGTGTTTGAGCTCATGGTGACTGGCCAGAGGCACCACGTGAGCTGTGAATAATTTAATTGCTATGATGTGACGACATGTTGACTGGCACACATGTATTTATCAACCAGCCTTTCCGTTCAATCTGTCTACCAGGACGAGTGGACGATCCATGTTTTCTCGCCCTTGGCCCCCATGGTGCAACATCTTCAGCAGAACCAACATGCATATTTGCAACCAACAATCACACCCTCTGAAACAAATTGTGTGATAACAATTGTCAGGCCAGGAGTCTCTCAGTTGCCAAATCCGTCTACCTGATGCATGTTGGTTACTCGACTTGATATTTACAAACAATAATTGGCTCTCACACATACTCGACACGGATGTGTACTGTTCTCCTGCAACGCAATCACATGCAAGTAAACGCTTGGGGCGAGCAGGGCGCCTACGTATTCGTATGTACGTACTTTTGAGGGGCTGAGCGCTAAACGTGTCGTGTTGAGTGGACGGTTTGATTTAGCGGGCCGGGTCCGCAGGACGGCACAAGAGGCTACACCCGTTAAATTGAGGACAATTTGGCCAATCGGATTGAGAAGACATGGTCAACGGGCGAAATTTGCGCCCCCTGAAGAGCTCCCGTTGAAACCAGCCTCTTTTTCAAGTCGCCTGCCAACCAAGCAATTCGTTGCAGAACGTAAGACACACACGTGTCGTTTCGTCGTGGACATTTCCTGTTTCAATATCTGCATTGCTCCCCTCAGCTCGTCACTTTCGAATTCTCAGCAATCATCCCACTCGCCTCCGCGTCTTCTGCCGTCTACTTTCAGCCCACGACAGCTCTGGTGCTGCCCCCCGCGCTCCCCGCCTCGACCCGACCCGACCTGCCCGACCGACCTGTTTATACAACCCAAGACGCTGCTCAAGATGGCGTCCGAGTCAGAGCCGTTGATCAATCACAATCCCAAGCTCCAATCCTACTACAACACCTTCGAGTCGAGAATTGGTTATAAGCTGTTCCTCGGCGATACGCGCCATTTTGGCTACTACGAACACGACACACGATGGCCATTCCCAATCGGCCGCGCGCTCCGGCGCATGGAGGACAAGCTTGGTGAAGCCCTGAATCTCCCCCCGGGGGCCCAAGTTCTCGATGCGGGCTGCGGTGTTGGACACGTCGCGATACGAATGGCGACCAAGTTCAAGTACCGTGTGCAAGCATTCGACGTTGTCCCCCATCATGTTGCCAAAGCCAAGCGTAACGTCGCTCGTGCTGGCTTGCCAGACGGTCAAATTAGCGTGCGGCGGATGGACTACCACCACCTCGAGTCTTTGGATGACCAGTCAGTCGATGGCATCTACACTATGGAGACGTTCGTGCATGCTACAGACCCAAAGGGCGTCCTTGCTGGCTTCTACCAAAAGCTCCGACCCGGTGGTCACATTGCGCTCTTTGAGTATGACCACGAGTTTATTGACAACTCCACCGATGAAATGGCCAATTCGATGCGAAAGATCAATGACATTGCTGCGATGCCAACAAATGATCTTTCACATCCTGGTGTTTTCAAGGACATGCTTGAAGAAGCCGGCTTCACTGATGTCGTCGTGAGAGACTACTCGGACAAGATCAAGCCCATGACACGACTGTTCTACTTGGTCGCCTACATTCCGTGGCTGTTGGTTACTTTGCTGGGCTTGGAGAAGCACTTTATTAACACAGTGGCCGGTGTGGAGTCATATCGTGGCCACGGACGATGGCACTATGTAGCTATCTCGGCCACAAAACCCGGAAACAAAATTGAGAGCCCGAAGGAACGATAAATCATCTGCAAGGAGAAATGAAATGACCAACGTCTTGAGTAACTGATGGCGACAGGCGATATGACAGTATTGAGATGTTGATGAACCAGAGTTTTCTAGTTGGTCGGCAAAGAACATTTGGCATGAGTTTATGAGGCATAGAAGGAAGCAGTGCACTCTTCAGTTTCTCAAGAAAGAAATCACAAGGGAGTTTTCATGGGCAGCATATATTTTCGTCATGACCAAGTACCGCAATTCCACTAAATTAAGCTTAAAAAAAGGCTCAATGGATGATTAATTGACTAGGATGAAATCGAGATCGTTTAATGACCCGCCTGATTCAGACGAGAAATTTAGCCAAGATAAGTACACGATAGATCTACGAGTGATCATCTTGGGTAAATCGACACTTATTAGTTACTCTAAACATCGCAATGAATATCATTGACTTGAGCTTTTATTCAATCGCAAAGGTTAGATAAAATCTAGAGGTCGAACCATTCATGTCTAAGAACCTTCTCTGCACTAATCCGTTCTCGAGGATCATACTTGAACAGGCGATTTAGCAGATCCGCCATCAACGTTTGTTCAGCTTCAGAAGTTTGCAATGACTGCTTAGGCCCCTCTTTGTACTTCTCACCTGACTCGAAGATCTCGATTGGTTTGCTTAGCGCCACCTCCAGGCACCAATCCTCTTCATCGCGGAGCCATTTCCCATCTGCGTCAAAGTATTCCTCCCGTGCCTCCCATTTCGCCCACCAATCCTCTGGAAGCTTGCCAAAGAACCTTACCATTTCGGCTAATAACTCATCTTTGTCGTAGATCATGTAGAACAGCGGGAGCTGTTCTCTAATTTCGAATAGTGTACAGCCAAGAGCCCAAAGATCGCAGGCGGGACCAATAGCATCAGGGGGTTCAAGAAGGACCTCCGGTGGGAGGTAATTTTCTGGGATGCCAAGGTCCTCTGGTGGTGACGAGAAGTTGAATGACTCGCCAAAGTCAATGATGCAAATCTCCTCTGTGAGGAATTCATTCCCGAGCGTGGAGATGTCTGCTGGCTGTACAAGGTATCTTGGGCTGGATGCTGGGAGGTCTTTCCCTGAATCTATCCGCACTTGTACTTTCTCCGGGACTCCTAGTAGGGAGAGGAGCTTATCTTCAGAGAGGTGATCCAGGTTGGCCAATTTAACTAGAATATTTGATGGTCGAAAGTCTAGTAAAAGCATGTTAGTATTAAAGCTAGATGCAACTGGTGAACTCAGGTCCGGACACACCTCCGTGGCAGATCTGATTCTTGTGCAAGAAGGCTAACGCTTGCGTGGTCTGATGGGCGAATTTCCGCAATATGGTAGCAGGGTCTTTCTCAAGCCGCATCCATAACCGGGGTGAAACACAAGGCCCAAGTGGTGGCAGTGTTAGGCAGTAGTGGGTTCCATTTGGCCCCTCAATGGAAAAGAAGTCGAGCGGAGAGGCAGTGTATTGACCACCGGGCATCGACTGGTCTAGCTTCGCCAAGATGAGATCCAGGATCTCATCGGAGTTCAGATCACTAGCCATGACCTTGAGGGCAACATAGCTGGTTTTTACTGAGTCTCGACAGAGCCATACTGTTCCGAAACCACAATGACCGAGCTTGTGAGTGACTGGATACCGATCCGATGGGCCAAGCACATCTCCAATATGGACTGGGTGATAGCCGCCTTCCTGGTATTCCTCCAAGGGTTCCACGCCCTCCTTTGAACCCTCGAGGAAAGTGCCTTGCGAGGTTGCTGGGGCATGGTCGAGTTCATGGTATTCGAGTCTGATATCATCGTCAAATTGACCTTCACGTTGTGTCGGTGAAGGTCTACGAGAACCCTCTGAGCCCATGATTTGGATGCGCTGCAATGGGTTGGAATGTGAAGAGTTGGGACTGAAAGGGATCTTGGTGTGAGCGAAAGTGCAAAAGTGATTACAAAATGAAGAGTACCAAGTTGCAAGTGAGAAGAGATGATCAGCTGCGCGTTGAGATGGAGTTTGCGGCAGGTCATGTCATGGTAAAGTAGTTGCATCGATTTGTGTAGGAGAGCGGTAATGTCAGGCGCGAAGTGGGTTAAAAACGACTTCACATAACTAAGCCCCAACCAACCAATTACTGCAATTATAGAACAACTCGCATATCTGTTGCAACTCTCAGAGGTAGACGTCATCAGGCAGTGCACTCACAACCACATCACCATCTACTATAGAAGATCTACTAATGCCAATAGGCAAGGTAACGTATTTCTACTTATGGCGAGAGATGGCAAGTGACGGATTATATAGGATTTAAAAAAAAAGGTAAGAAGCATTAAAGCACTGCTACAGTACACTAAATATAACTAAAATTAACAATTTAAAACTACTATATAACTAAAAGACCTTAAGGTATTTTAATTTATAATAGTAAACTTCTATTTAAATTATATTATTAAATTAAAAATAAGGTCTTTTATAATTATATATATTAAAACTATATAAGAAGGTTATTAAAGGAAAATGCAATACTAATCAATATAAAGGAGGCCTAAATACTAGCCTAATACTAGTGATATAAATACTTAGTCCTCAATACTGAAAACTTCAACCTCAGCAATTGCGGTTCGAGCAGGTATAGTTACAGGCACCCATTCTTCCCCCTGGTCAGGGCGGTTATTCGGCATGTTTGCGAATGCTCCGTGTTGAGTCTCATCACCATTGAGCCATCTTTCTGACGTCAGAGCACCAGATGCTGAAACACTTTTCTCAGTAAAACGAATGATATCCGTATAGGCGAGATTTTTGTCATTGGACTTCCATTCGACTTTGAATCCTTTGCCTATCAGGAGAAATGTCGTAGGGCTCTGCTCTATGACTAGGCCATACCCTGGCCCCTGTATCCCCAGAGTAAAGGCCCGGCTGATCGTAAGCTCATATGCTGTCCAGCGCACCTTCACGGCAGGCGTTGGGTCTTTCATGCCCGCAGGAGGAGGGTGCTCGAATGCAATGCCAACTATCTTTTTGGATTTTCTTCGTGCCTCAAGAACGTGTGAGGCCACAGAGCCAAGCAGCTGGTAAGACTCGGCAAGGACAAGCTCGCTTGCAGTTTGAGTATCAATACCAAAAGGACTCGTCCCCAATGCCTTGTGACTACCGATTGGAACCCACAGTCTTCGTCCACCAAAGTCATCTCGGCGCTGCTCAGGGATGAACAAAGCCTGGCCCTTGTGCTTATAGATCTCGCATTCTTCATCGGTTTGAGCGTGATAAAGATCCGGGGCGATGAAATCCAATGTTGGTGCAAACTTTTGCCAAATGTCAAGGACCGTGCTGACACCGCCACCGGATGGATACTCTCCTGGTTTTGCTCCTCCGGTTGCTGGACCGATGCCTTGTTCACTCGGTCCCGCTAACCAGACATTGGTGTATAGGGGCAAGCTGTACCTCTCTCGGCCAGCGGATGCTACGCGTTCAACGTACAGGGCATAGTGGTATGCCATGAACAGTTCATCTGTCCACACACTGACTCCAAAGGTATCCTCCCAGCTCGGCAAAGATCCTTCTTTCGTGAAGTCCGAGGTTTTAAACTTGGCAAGATTCTCTTTGAGGTGCGGATGTAAGGCGTTCCAGTCCTCAGTTAGAAAGTTGACCAGGTCTCGTGGCACACTGCTGGAGAAAAGGTTCGTTGCGATAGCACTGTGGTCACGAGCAGAGTGATGAAAGCCTGGCTCATTTTCCACCTGAACCATAATAACTGTGCGCTGTTTATCGTTCTCTGCAATGAAGTCCAGCATCTTTGAAAATGCCTTCGCGTCGGCTTGAGAGCACTCGTTGCTGAAGACGGATAAAACACCAGAGTTCTTTGGTCGTCCAAACTTGTCTTTGTAGTACATTCTAGGGAACCGTTCTGGATTTCTCTTCACCCAAGATGGCGCATAGGTGGATTTGCCTGTATAGCAGTGAGTATATCATCAGTACGTAGAACTGAGGGGATATCAACCATTCTTCCAAGAGCCAAACCAGAGAAGGATCAGTCTAATGTCGTGTTCTCTTGCGCCTTCTATGACGGTCGACAGATTGGTGAAGTCGAAGGAACCCTCCTCAGGCTCGATTTCTTCCCAGCCCACTCCACCCAAGACAGTATTCACGCCAGTTCTGGAGATCTTATCCCATACCGTATCCATGTAACGATAGGAGCTCAGAGAGGAGTTCTGTAGTTCGCCTCCAAGAATCAGGTATGGCTGGCCATCGACCAATAGCTCCCAGGTGTTGCCAACCTTGTGCAACCGCGGAATTTGAGTTACGGTACTCATTGTTGGTTAGATAGAATGGATTTGAAGTTGCTTTATTCGTGTAAGAGTTGCTCTGCTGATGCATGTCGATTGTTCAGTGGACCTAGACTGTCTCAAATAAACGATTCTGAACCCAACTTGTCCATCATTCCTCACCGCTGGTCTCGGAATAGACTTGAATCAACCCGTTGGCTGACCGTGTCTGGGAAATGTGACAGCACCCAATGCCGACATAGGCGGCTTTTCCCAACCCTCATTCGCCGGAACGAAGTTCTGGGTGCTGTCCTCATTCTGGCTTGCCACAGTACAGTGTACGCCATTCCCTTCATATGTCCTCTGGAGACGCATGGGGAAGTGGGGTAAGACACTTGATTGGACAATCATTGAATTTCCAAATTTGGCACTTACCTGTAGCTAGGCGGATAATTTAAAGTTCGAGGAAGGTGTTGTCGGCTTTCAAAGGTTGGGGAAGGCGGCTTTGTCTGTATCTGATTGGTCATCGTTATCCAGTTCCAATAGTGTGGCGGGAAAGTTGAGAAAGATAGAACGCCAGCGACTGTACATCTGACACTACCAAAAGCCGACAAATTTCCCGCATCAATAAGCCTGACGAATGGGCATCGTCCAAAGCCGACGATATCTCTACCGCTACAAGAAGACACTAGCGGGGGGTCGTGGAACCCTGCCTCCGAGACTCCACTGTGCTACCAGCGCCAGGTTAGTTACCCCATGTGGGGGATTGACGCTGATGTGCAACGTTAGCTCAGAAACAAATCCGGGGCTCTGTAATTGAACTCTCCAACGTTGGTCAGAGGGCTATATTAAGGTATCTGGGGACCCCACATTACCTCCAAGATTCGCACACAAACTAACCCAGCTGCTCTACTCATCATCACCTTTTGTTATCTCTCAGCCTCTTTATAATGTATTCCATGCTGCACAAATGGCGAAGCATGGACCCTCAGCGGAAGAGGGCTTGGCAGTTATTCCCCATATTATGTATGGCGTGGCTGTTCTACGCTTTGGATGGGTCAGTTATCAGTGTTATGATAACGAACCCTGATTTCAAGAGGGTATGTGCTGGCTGTTATCTAAGAGAATTGTCTGACTTGGAAACTAGAAATTCGCGCTCGATGATAGCAGATTGGGCTTATATGTCTTGCTTCCTAGTATAGGAGCTCTGGTCAGCACCGTTGGCTTTGGTGCCGTCATTCCGAAATATACCGGTCGCAAATGGGGATTCCAGATTGCCACCTGTTTTGTGGTTTTTGGTGTTATTTTGCAGACCTTTCCTGACAGATGGGGTTGGTAGTATCATAGCCACTGTGGAAAACTCTGCTGACTGTGTTATAGAAGCTCTCTGCACTGGTAGGTTCTTGATGGGATTTGGTGGTGATCTTAATGGAATGGTTCTGGGATGGTATGTCACAGAAGCATCTCCCAAAAATATTCGTGGCAGAAGCTTGATTCTTGTTCAACAATTCTCCAGCTCGTTCTTTGCTATTATTGGGTATTGGGCAGCGTATGGTGAGTATTGTCCGTGAAGGCTATCTTGACCGTTTGTCACTAAGTCACATACTCTTCAGGCATCGCGTTCCTTGACCAGGAAAAGTCTTACAGCTGGAAGGTGGCCAACTCGCTCCAGTTCGCTCCCGCGCTCGTTTTCTTCCTGCTGGTTTTCAAGCTCGTTGAATCCCCCCGCTGGCTCGCAGCCAAGTATCCCAACGATGATATGCCTATGCTGCGAAGTTTGGCATGGCTACGAGCGAAAAGCATAGACCACCCAGATGTCATTGCAGAAGGTAGAGAGGTACGAGACTATGAGATATGGTCACGTCAGCACGAGGCTACAAACCCTCTCAACATATTCATGGAGAAGCGACTTACAAAACGTTGGCTCTACTCCATGGTGCCTCTTCTCCAGCAACAATTCTGTGGTGTTGGTCTTCTCGGTGTAAGTTTGAACCTCTTTGTGTGGAATACCAAGTACCCATATTAATTTCGGCGGAAGCTCTACGCTGCCATCATTTACCAGCAACTTGGTCTCAATACGCAGAGGAACGCATTGCTTCTAAATGCGTGTCTTCAGATACTCTACGCTATTGCTGCATTAGGATCCTCTTACTTCGTCGAAAGACTCGGAAGACGAAAATGTATCCTGACAGCTTCCATCATCCAGTCTTGCGGCCTAGCCTGCATCTGTGGTCTTGCAGTAGGAACCAAGGAGCGCGCCAATACTGTTGCGAATGCCTTTATCGGTGAGACCCAATATCCACCCAATGTGCTCCGCTAATCATCAATCTAGTTGTCTTTATTGTTCTCAATACGTGCGTCTACTGGCTACTGGGTACAGGACCAACTGTTGTATATGTTAACGAGATCTTTCCCAACCATGTTCGAGAGATTGGGGTCGGCGCTGCCAATGCTATACCTATTGGTATCGCAGTCGCTTTGGGCCAACAATGGCCGTCTGCTACCACCAAGCTTGGGCCATATTCGTACTTCATTTTGTTCGGAACGTGCACCTTTGGTACTATTCTTTGTTGGTTCTTTGTTAAAGAGCCAAAAGGTTTGTCTATTGAGCGAATCGATGTGGTACGTGATTCCGTTTTGGACACCTGGGTGGCTAGTACTGACGCTTTACCTAGCTCTTTGGTGAAACAGACAAAGTTGAGGAGGTGGAAGCCAAGTTTAGCGAGGCTCGTGCTGCCAAGGATGAGCACTGTGCTCCCGCTGCGGAATTACTGGAGTATCCAGAACAGAAACCTTAATGAAGTGGCCGAGTTAGCGCTGGTAGAATGAACTGTATATTAGTGTTCAAGTGGTACCAGAAGTTTATATTAGGTCAGAGCATACGATGTCGGATTTTATGTAGGCCCTAGTTTGATCCCAAACCTTGATGTATTTTAATAGCTCCTAACGTTTAATTGATTAGCAATACTGGGCTTTAGATTTAATATTTAAACTTTACTTAACTATCATTAATTGTAAATAGTTTTCTTAATATAGTTACACTATAGCATTAATTTATATATTAAAACATAAAGCTAGGAATATTTAAAAATATAAAGATCTTTATATCATTTAGCTATTATTTTATTTAAATTATAGCTAGACTTTATTTATAAATAATTAAAGTAAAGTATATTTAAATTAAAAAAAAAATAACGCCAGGTTAACACGGATAAAAATCAGACAATGCGGCGGGATTTAGTTTAACCTGTATACAGTAGTAGGATGCACGGTCCTAAACTACGTCTACCAACAATCTGAGAAGACAAGGGTTTGGTGCTTTAGAGTGCGGGACATTACTTTTCCACCTGTGTAACTGGAAGTGTCGGATCGGCAGTCTGGCATCTCAACCCACCCTTTTTCATAACAAAACAGTTAAGTCCTAGGGTTAGCCTGTTTCAGCTAGACACACTAAGACTGCTGGCTCCGGACAAGCGGTGGCGGCTTTGGATGCTGTTCATTGGTAAAGCCTTTCCATGCCCGTCGAGCGGAGGGATTTTTAGCTCCACAACTTAGCATCCAGTCGGAAATCCAATTGCTCTTTGTACGTCTGTAGTGTACAACAAGATATAAATTGGCTAGGTCGATCCTATTGAATCGAAAAATCCTTTGTTACATCCCCCAGCCTCACCTGAGACTACCAGCTCAAATTTTCTGAATGTCCATCCCCCTCGCCGCTGTATCGCTTTAGCCGTCTCACCATGTCTCAAAACCAAGAACTGGTTCCGACTCCCGGGCCCAATCAAAAATTTATTTCCTTGGAAACTGCCAACATCAATGCTCTTATCGATGCCGGATCTCAACTGCTAGTCTCTCTCAAATGTAAAGGCGAAAGCTTTGATTTCCTCCCTTTGGATATCTTTGTGCATCGTCAGCATGATGGACAATATCACTGGGGCGACATCACCTATAGGTATCGCCAAGGAGAAGGACTATGGATCGATGGAGACTCCGCACAAAAGCGTGTGGCAGTCGAGCCGCTTGATATGGTCCAAAGTTTGGCTGCGGCTAATCTGAGACCAACTCTTCCAGAAAGCCCCCTGAATATTACTCGTGAGTGGCTTGAGGTAGATGGAGACCTCGGCCTACGCTTCACGATTCGCAACACTGGCGACAAACAGTTAGAGATCGGCAGCTTGGGCCTCCCGATTGAGTTCAACAGTGTTTTCACTGGCAAAACTCAATCCGAAATGCAGAATCAATGTTGCCTTTCTGACCCTTATATCGGCCTCGATGCTGGACACCTTCGAGTCGCCCCTGTCAATCCACAAACAGGGTCGTCTTCCGGTTTAGTTGTCACGCCGTTGCAAGGAACAGAAACGCGCTTCGAGGCGTATCGAAACCTCAAGGAGCCCTCTTTCCCTGAGACTGCTTATGGGACACATACGTTTGAAAATCTGTATGAGTGGCAAGTTTTGACCAAAGCCTGGGCGGAAAACGAATGGGCGGCATCTGGAGAGCAGCCATGGCATGATCCTTCTACCAGAATACTCTGTGGCGGCGAATGCCTCCAGGTTGGGGTGCGGTTTTCCGTTTCCAATGGTGTACGGGGTTTTGACGATGCTATCGGGAGAACGGGCATCCCTTCAGTCGTTGCTGTACCTGGATACATCTTGCCCCGAGATCAACCTGGACAGCTTCTTGTCAGAGCACCTTCGCCGGTTCAGTCAATGATCAGCGTCCCAGAAGGTGCTTTGGTAATTGAGAAGGTACGTGGAGAAACCTATACGATTCATCCATCCACATCTCCATCGAATTGGGGACGTGTTCGTCTGGATATAACCTATGAAGACGGCAAACTTCAGACTGTACATTACTTTATCACCAAACCAACTGTCGAGGCTCTCGATGACATGGGTAAATTTCTCTACAGCAATGCATGGTTCACGGATGAAAACGACGTCTTTAGGCGAGCGCCGTCGATAATGAGCTATGACTATGAGGAAAAGAAGATTATTCTACAAGACACCCGCGTTTGGGTATCTGGTCTGAGCGACGAAGGAGGGACCGGCGCTTATGTTGCTGCAGCTCTGAAACAGCTGCTGCAGCCTAAAGCAGAAGAGGTGAGAAAGCTCGATGAATTTGTCAACAAGACGTTGTGGGGCAAAATCCAACTCGAAGACCATTCGGTAAAGAAGTCTCTTTTCTTTTACGAGCCGCATGGCACTGAATTTGACTATGATCGAGATAGTGATTGGTCAGGCTGGTCATCATGGAGTCGCAAGGATGCAGATTGCATCGACCGAGCGTACAATTACGTTCATCCCACAGCTGTCTATTGGGTTATGTACCGTCTGGCACGTGCCTATCCGGGGCTGCTCACGCAAGGCTGGGACTGGTATCTGGGCCATGCGCAAGCCACAGCATATCGAATGACCGAAGCCGATGTGACATGGACTCAGATGGGTCTCATGGGCGAGACTGTGTTCGGAAAAGTGATTGACGACCTCAATCGCGAAGGTCTTTCTGACAAAGCAGAGCGCCTTGAAAAGAGAATGATGAAGCGGACTCTGCACTGGGATTCAGAGGTGGTTCCTTTCGGCAGCGAAGCTCCCTGGGACTCTACCGGTCAGGAAGGAGTTTACTATTGGGCCAGGTGAGCTTTTGTTGATGAAACACCTCTTCCGCTTGGCTAACACTAATCAATGACAGACATTTTGGATTCAACGCCTTGGCAAAACGTACTGTCAGCAGTATCCTCGGATATATGCCAACCGTGCCTCACTGGGCTTGGAACGGCAATGCTCGCCGGTATTGGGACTTCGAGTTAGTATAACATCGTTCGATGAATCAGAGGCCCTGGCTAATGTTACAACAGTGTTGCAGGGAAATTACGCCGCATAGAGCGTCAGATTCACAATTATGGATCTTCCCTAAACGCTCAAGTCCTCCTAGACGCCTTCCGTGATGACCCTGCCGACCTGTATTCACTCCGCGTTGGATACGGAGGAGCTACTGCTCCAATCGCCAATATTAACCAGGAGGGCTTTCCTTCTACAGGTTACCACGCGTGGCCAGATACCATGAAGTGGGACGGTTCTACCGGAGACTACGGCGGCGCCTTTCTAGGAATGGCCCTCAATAGCGGGACGTATGTTGCAGATATCCCTGAAGTAGGTCTTGTTGCCTTTGGTGGCATCTTGAAACAGTCAAAAGAGAAGGTCGTTGTGGTACCCAAAGATGCTGTGCGTCAAAGAGTGTACATCGGAACCCTACGACTGATGATCGAGATTGATATGGGCCAAATCACGGAGTTCCAATTCAATGAAGAGTTGATTACTATCTTCATCAAGAAACCTCACAAAGCTCCGGATCTTGACTCTATTGTGGTCTGGCTCGATTCGAGATCTGAGAATGAATGGCAGGTAACGAACTCGGACGCGGAAAAGAGACGAGGAGGTTGGAAGTGTAAGGTTGATGGAGGCGAGGTGAACATAGCGCGGATGTAGATAGTTTATCATGCTTCCTAATATCAGTCGATAACAAAATAGTGAGCCCGCAATCAGTCAATTTAACAATTGGATTTTGTTCGCGGGAACTTTCTACGATCACTCTTTGTGCTACGCTACCAAAATGTGGCACACGAGCCAAGACTTAGATTCTGACGCAAAACCGTTCTATAAAAATAAAAAAAAGAATGTGGCGTGTGTAGTCGTAATAATTGACCACTTGTTATTTTAATCAGCTTTTATTTTTCTTTCTTTCTTTTTTCTAGCGTGTAGAATGCAACAAAGTTCAAGATAACGGACATGGGTCTATGCAAGTACTGCCTAGGCATGTCTCTGAGAAGAGGCAGAATAAACCCATCGATCTATTTGTCTCAGGTAGCTTACCGGGAGAATGAACTTGGAGATTTTGTAATGAATCAGTGCGCCCCTAATACCACGCCAGTTTCAACAAGCAAGTTAGCAGAGCCAGTTCAGGACTATAATGTAGCGGACGAACTCAAAGCGTGGTACACCGGGCGATCGGGACTGCATAGAACTCAAGTAGATTCGCACCGTGTGTTTATTGCTGCAAGGAAGTACAAGCACATGTAAAGAGCTAGAAAAGAAGGAATAGATGGAAGGTCCACAGGATGTGACGCAACAACCACTGACAAAATACCCGTGCTGTGCAACGAAAGTTGTCCTCCTAATGACCACCAACCCAAATATCTTGGTACAAAGGTGAATCAAAGTCGGTCAGAATTCCACGACCAGCTAACAGTGTGACTACTTCTTTTCAAACTCAATTTTCCACCCTGTATGTTTATCAGGGACGTAAACGTTGAGCTTTGCGACACCGTGCTCGACAGGCACGGACTGGATACCGAGGAGATCAGGGTCGCCAAACGGCTCGAAGATGTCGTCTGAGCCGTGAAAGGCATAGTAAACAGCATCCAAAGTGTCAGATAGGGCATATCCGACTGCCTCCAGACCTTCGAGCTGTAACGTGAAGTTGCCCACAGCTACCCTCGATCCAGCGAGGATACGTACCTTGTCGCCGATAGTCACGAAGCAGTCAAATCTCCCGTCGCTAGAACCTTTCGTCTTAGCGCGTTGTCCAGACATTGAGGTTGCATAATATTTATAAAGCGGAAAGCCTGCTGCGCCGACATAGTTGTCGTTGTTCTCGTCTTGCGGGTCGCCGGGTGACTTGGTCAGGAGATTGGCAAAATTGTCATACAATGGCGGCTTCCACAGGCCAAGCAACCCAGCGTAATTATACCGTTCCAGGCGGCTCAGCCACCACGCGTATCCTGACGGTGTCATTTCCTCAAGGAGAGCGTACTCATTCAAGTTGACAGGTTGAAGAGGGAGATCGTACTGAGACAGGACTGCCAGAAAGTTGGGGTGGTCAACATCCGGGTCGCCGTAATGCCAGGCATACTGATCTGGGTAGGTTCGGTTGCCGGCGATTTGCATAGCCCATAATGTCCAGTGATCGTTAGACATAGATGGCGAGGATGAAGTGGTAGGCCCGCTGATCAGCACATTGTCCAAATCGGAGTCAGATCTATACGGACAGGTGTCTCGAGGTTAGCCGCAGGATCTAAATGACATGTAGGAGGCGCAGTATTTGCTCACCGAAGCTTCTTATGGGTTCTGATGTAGAGATCAACCCATTGCTGGATTGGCCTACCCCAAAATCCGGGTTGGTCAGGTTCGTTCCAAATATCCCAGACAAGCCCTTCGAGGGCCTCATTAGCTTTCAAGTCTCTGACCAGCTCGTCGAGAAAATCATCATAGCTTGTCCAATCGTTGTTATCTCCTGGCATCTTATGGTTGCTGATGCTAGACCGGTAATCGATGCCCCAGATGTCATGGGGCAATATGATGAAGGTCGCACCGAACTTTCTGGTCTGTTTGTAGTTCAGCATGGTGGCATTGAAGCGGCACTTGTATTCTTCGAAGCCAAACGCCCAGCCACGGCATGGAGTGTCGAGTTGTGCACCGCCGGCGCGACCCCATTTGATGTCGATGTCGGTGTAGCTACAAGGAATTGGATATTATCTCAGCCAGATATTCAGAAGAATGCGTATGAGCTTAAATAGTGCTTACAAATGATCCGGAATGTCGTTGGGATCATAGTTCAGTGGCATGCCATATATGAACCCTGAGGCGTTCTTGGACGATTCGCCTTGAGTAGTCGCAAGGTCGACATAAGCAGTCGAGCTGTCTTGTGCCAACGTGTGACTGAGAAGACCAAGGAGTATTCCGTGAACAAACTTCATTATGAACTTCGAAGAATGATTTTTTACACTAACTTGGATGGAATCCGGTGATGAATTGAGGGTGCGATATATCAAGGTAAGGAAGCTATCATCACGAGTGATATTTATACCGTCAGATTTTTGCAAATGTCTCTGGAAGAAGCGGAACCAGGGTGACCCTGGTCTATATCACGTACACCCACTGGCATCCTATCCCGACAAACCGTAGAGTTCTGAATTTATCCACGACCTTTGTGCTTATGCGCATACATCACATAGGAGTCTGGAATTCCTAAGATCCGGCTTGGTGATAGCCGAGGCTGGACAAACAATTCCTCAAACTGGGGGATCGACAAAGCCCCCAACCGTGGCATTGCACGATCATGGAGTCATTGACACTTGAACATCAAACTTTCGCATGTCACGCTGTAGCTGGCTTCTTCTGAACTTTGCGGGACAAAGGTGTTCTATTTGGGCCGGCTACGATCTTTGGCGGGAAAGATAATGGTTGATTGGCCCGGCTAGCGACCCCTTAGAAATGCAAAGGTATTATCAACTGCCTGAGACTTCACATAGCTTTGCTATGCTATGCCGGGCGTTCTCTTCCCCGCGGATCGACACCTTCTCCTGTCATAGCCCCACGCCACAACGCGAGTTAGACTGGTCAGACGATAGTTGCCGCTGCCCAACTCGTTGTTTGAGGACAATGCAAACCTCGATCGGGCCGACATTGATCTTTGCCTTCTCGTGACGACACTCTCCCCGCGCTGGAAAACATGGATTATCTCGCAATACAGACTAAGTCCGCCTGTGCGAGTAAAGAAGGGGCTACTGAGCCGTGGCAAAGACGCCAAAGCCGTCTTTGTCGGAGAAGGGAATGCTTGTAGCCAATCGGGATTGCTCAAAGCCGACAAACCTATCTCGCACGGTTCATGGTCAAAGGAAACTCACGAACTAATGTATGAAAGGTAATCCGGGGACCCCGCATTTCCTCTAAGGTTAAGTGAATGAAGACTTGATGACAAACCTCTCCTAACTCCACCAAGCGCTTTCCAAAGCCGGATTCTATCACGTCATCAATGAGCCGCGTCAGTCAAGTGTTGATTGGCGGCTTTGGTTACACTTGATTGGTAGGAGAGTCGGTCAAGCCCGCCAGCACCGGGAAGATCTGTATTCGGGCCAGAGGAATGTCCAAGACTAGACTTCAGAAACATGAAGCGTCCCAATGGTGAGCGTTCATTGACCGTATATCGATGTGGGGTAGCGCGCGGACCTTAGCCCGGGGATGATTGGGAAGAACTAAGTAAGATGAAGATTCCTGGCTCATCATTTTGGCTGAATAAAACTGGAGCGAAGGATCACTCTACGAACTGGCTGTAGCCCTGCCCCTCTGTAGATCTCAAAACGTTCCCTCCCCTCAACAATTCGCTTGCAAGCACCAACGTGTCTGCTTTTTAGCTACTTTTGTCTTAGTGTTTCTACCTCTGCGATTTCCATTCAATTACCAAGATGTCTTATTCCCAAAATTCTCCCTGTGAGCGACTCCGCGTATCGGGAAATTCGATAGTCAATGCGGCTGGTGCTCAGATCATTCTCAAAGGTACGGCACTTGGAGGAAACCTCAATATGGAGAACTTTATCACGGGCTATGCCGGTCATGAGCACGAACATCGCAATGCGCTTGCGGCTACAGTTGGTCAAGATAAGGCAGACTTCTTCCTGCATCGGCTTCTTCATTATTTCTTTACTGAATCGGACGCCGCCTTCTTATCCTCACTCGGCCTGAACTGCGTCCGGCTGCCTCTAAACTATCGTCACTTCATTGATGATCAAAACCCTGGTACACTGAAGCAAGAAGGGTTCACATTTCTCGATCGTGTGATCAAAATTTGCGGCATATATAATCTTTATATCATCCTCGATCTCCATGCCGTCCCTGGAGGACAGAACCAAGACTGGCATTGCGACAGTGGCATCTCAAAAGCCCTGTTCTGGGAATTTCGTGTTTTCCAGGACCAGGCCATTGATCTTTGGAAAGCCATCGCCGCACGTTATAAGAATAGCCCCGTGGTAGCCGGCTACAATCTTCTCAACGAGCCTGCAGACTCCAAACATATGCGGCTTATTACTTGGTATGAGCGCGCCGAGAAGGAGATTCGTGCAGTAGATCGAGATACAATTCTCTTCATTGACGGCAATACATACTCCTCAGATTTTAGCCGCTTTGAGCGCGTGCTGCCAAATTCCGTGTATGCCTGTCATGACTATTCCATGTATGGGTTCCCCATTGCAGGACAGGAGCTCTATTCGGGAAGCGAAGAGCAAAGAATGACGCTCCAGAATCAATTCGATCGAATGACGACTTTCATGCGTGAGAAGGGAGTGCCTATTTGGAATGGCGAGTTCGGTCCTGTATATGCAGATTCGCGCAACGATCCGGAAGCGGAGACTGTGAATAACTGTCGCTTCAGAGTGCTACAGGATCAATTAAGCATATATGCAAAAGACAAGACCAGCTGGAGTATCTGGCTCTATAAGGATATCGGTTACCAGGGAATGGTGTATGTTAATCCAGACTCACCATATATGCGCCTCGTCAAACCTTTTGTCGATAAGAAGCGTAAGCTTTCCCTTGACTACTGGGGCTGTATGGACAAAGAGGAGATAAGATTAGTGTACCAGCCTTTTACCGACAGGCTAAAAGAGATGGTCCCGAAACATTTGCACAGGATTATATATCCTCACGAATGGCCCTTTGAGCGACACCTGGAGAGGGTCGTGCGAGAGTCATTGTTGAGCGAGTATTTAGGTTGGGAATTTGCTGAGCTATTCCAGGGAAAGACAGAACATGAGTTGGATGAAATAGCTAGGAGCTTCCTTTTTGAGAACTGTATCAAGAGAGAAGGGCTTAATGCTATTCTGAAGCAGGATATTGCGACGAGTATTTGAAACCACGGCGAAGGAGAGCGTATGACGAGCAGGAGCAGATTACAATGCGAACGATGCCATGCCAGTCTACGCTGTACTGTAGGCGCCCGTGAAACTTGGAGGCTTCGGATGGTTCGGTTCAAGATTCAGTTCACACTCCCCAGAGAATCAATTGCTTCATTTTCATGCTATCATGCTGGCGAAATAGGTTGATATATTATGTCGTGCTGCTGTTATAGCATCAACGTCTACCTGCAAGTGCAACGCACCAGTAGAGTATATTAAACATCATTCATGCACCTCTTTTCTCTTAGTAAAATTCATTAATCATCCATTACTGGCAGCACGGTGACTTAATAGTAAGCCAAGTATCGTGCGTACCTTCCTAGTTTGCTGGATAGTCTTAAATGATATTTACGACGTGCTTCAAGCGTCCATTAGGTCCACCCCCAAACATCGTGTTGTAGGCTAAGCTGAATCTTCTAAGACGTGAGGCGTGAGGCCATGTATATCCCACATAAATTGTCAGACCTGGAAGATGAAATTATAATTCAATATATTTGACCTAGCTTTACAAGAATATCCCTCGCGACTACATACTGAGAAAGAAATAACCACATAACTACTTACTACTCACGGCGCTCAATACAGTGTTTTGCCAGTAGTTTGGTTGCAATAGAGCTAAAAGAAAGTTCCTTATAATAATTAATACCTAACTTAGGTTTGTGAGAAATACAGTCCTAGAGAAACTTGTGTTATTATTGCCAATATTCATAACCACAAACATATTAAGCCAGAGAAAATTGGATTTATCTTAATGCTAGTTATAGAGAGTTTCTATAAATATATAAGGTTATTATAATCTAAAGAAATAAAAGTTTAATTAAATTTAAGTATTAATATAAAATTTATAGTTTCATTATAATAAAATAATATAAATAAAAGATATAATACTTAAGACTATTTATAAGATTTAAATAAATAAAGTTATTTAAATTTAATTAATTTATATTTTTTACTTTTTATTTTAAAATAAGTAAAACTTAATTATTAATTAAGGTAAATTAAATTATATTTAATTAAATCTTTTATAGGAATTATAAAGAAAATTCTATATTTATTAAGGTAAGGTAAGAGTTTAGCATTAGCGCGAAATATCTCTTAGATGCTAAAACCCTTTCTAATCGATGCATAAAGGAAACAAGGATAAGGGCTAACGGAAGGCAACCAAAAGCCAGGGTGTCAAGCAAAATCAAAACCGGCACGACTTATCCGAGCTTGAAACGTTTAGCCAAAATAGGCTAGTTAATGCCGGAGAGCGTTAGCACCTGTCACAGCCCGCACAAAGCACGATGTTGATATTATTTGTGGGGGAGATTATCGTTCAAAACATAGTCAAAGTTATGGAGTGGAACACCCGTAACATGTGAGAATGGCAAGACCGCAAGTTGATCATACATCGATGTGAAAACGATAAGCATACCAAAAATTGTTACATGATGAATGGAAGACGCATACAATATTAAAGCTAGTGACTTCCTCAGGTCGATATGGTAGCGGGTTTGTAACAACTTTTTAAAAAGAAAATTAGATATGACTCCTAGTTATGTTATTCCACTTTGAGCCCAGGATACGATCTTTTGTATAGGTCGAATTCCTATCCTTGTTCTCAGCTGTCATTGGCTACCATATCCCAAATTTGGGTTCCATCGTCGTTTTTACCCAAAGACGCTAGCTCCACGTCGATATCTCGATCTTGGACGGATAAATCATATCTGATGAGGAAGTTCGCCATCCAGTGATCCATATCAAAGGTTTTTGAGATGGTACTGACCCGGCAGGCATTGTGAAAGGTTTGGAGTCGAAGAAGAGCAATCTCGGTAGAGGGCCAGTACTTCTGGAGTTCCTGTAGAATCATGAAGTTTTGCTCAAGGAGTCGTTTTGCTTCTTTTGCCTCTGGCCTGTCGGCTCCTAAAAGCATCGTGTGTAGGTGGATTGTTGATGCAACAACAACAAGATGACTGTTCACCGGTGACCACAGACAGTCTAATTCGGGGGACGAGTTAAGCTCCCACATAAGCTTACTTAAAGCTATGGCATGAGCTTTACAAAGATTGGCATAGGTGACGGCTTCTTCGTCTAATGCCGTGACGTCTTGTCCCTCGGGTAACGCGTATCTGTTAAGGAATTGGTAGAATAGCAATTGACATGTGTGGTGATAGATGACGTGCATAACTGCAAATAGTCGACCTTGACCAATGTGCATGTACGTCTTCCAATTCTCCGTTGTGTTCCGGAGATTGTGTGGTAAACCGGTAACCCAATGGTCTAGTTTACTTGCCAGACCGCGCACAAGTTGTCTGACAGTGAACTCAGCGGCTGGTTTGTTTACTATATCGTGATTGAGCTGTACTGCTTCTGCATGCCAGTGACTTAATGGGAGTATCAAACCCCAGATACTCACTCGTGACACATCCGAAACCATAGAGTCATCAGCAGGGCCACCCGGGGATAGACGGTCAAACAAGTCCTGCCTCAAAGGTCTGGGAAAACTCGGATCGTTACGGAGCTGCTGAGGCAGTTCGGCACGGACAGAGGTCCAACAGTCCATCATCCACGTCTGCCAGTATACTAGGATTGAGTTAGCAAGAGAACAAAAATGCTGGTCATCAGAACAGACAATTAATCTGGATTTCTCTAGTCAGTCCGTCAGAGCTTAAATTTGCGGGAAGCCCTTGGGATTGGGCCATCCGGATTGCTTGACAGGTCAGTAGGGCATCTTGATCTGCATCCCCCTCGACAAAGGCACCAAACGCAAGGAGAATACAGCCTTGGAGAGCTTCGAGCGATATAAGCTTAGTCCGTTCATTAAAAGACCTAATTGCATCTTGTAAAAACGACTTTCCTCGTTCCCATGGAGACGTGCCGTCGAATGAGGGATTTGAAGAGAACCTGAGTTGAGTCCAGATTAGAAAGTGTTTTACAAGCACTGAATGGAATGTACCTAGCTGAAAGTGCCATGACGCCCAATAATAGGTAGTCTGGTACAAGTCCCTTCTTCTGATCTTGTATGAAGGATTGTGGGTGGAAAATCAAGTGCTGTTTAAAGTGTATGATGTCAAAGTAAATGCCGACTAGCTCTTCGCATAAGTCCTGATCCTCGAGCGTGGTTTTGACAATTTGTGATTCTATGCTACCCTCGGAGGTCGGACTATCATTGAGAGGGCATGAGATAGAGCCTTCGGCAGGCGGTAAAATAGCTGGGTGTCCACTGCTGACTACATGAGCTTGAATTGGCTGTGGGTTACCTGTGGATGTACGGGGTGGAGGTGCATCGCATCGTAGACCTTTCCGCGAGCATAACTGACATGTCTCTCCTGAAGATCCGGCTATGCACCGCTTCTTTCTGGCCCTGACATGAGTGTGTCAGTCATGGATTTGTAGCCAAGAAAAGGGTACGAACCTACCTGCAAACACTACATGATGACGCCGTCCGCATGTTGAGAAGAAGGTGGGTGAAATTGGAAGTAAACAAGGTTATTCAACGGTACCGATAGACGAACTCAAGAACTTTCTCTGTATCGTTTGCTCGTTAAATATGAACCAGAGCTCGAAAGCCTTAAACCAATTAACAGGTATGAATTCAAGTTCATGTCAGCCAAGCGGGGTCGCGTGAGAAAACGTGTCTGGCCTGTCACGTGGACAAATCATAGTTAATCTAATTTTACTTTTAAGCACTGTAACAGCATTAAGGGAAAATCGGTATTAATAAAAATAAAATCTTATAAAATATTTAATAAGTATATATAATAAAATCTTAACCTTTCAAAAGTTAAAACTGCTATAAAATACAGTAAAGTATTAAATTAATTAAAATTAATAGTTATATTATAAATTAAATATAGTAATAATAAATTAATATCTTTTTATCTTAAAGTTAAAAGAAAATTACTTAGACATTTTAATTAAGGTTTAAAATTTTATATTCTAAAGGTTATTATATTATAAACCTTAATTTTTAGAAACTAATTAATAAATTTATTATTTTTATAATTTAAACTTACTTAAATCTAGGCTTATATATTTATATATATTTTTTAATATATTTTTTAAAATACTATTAAAATTTTAAAAATCTTTTAATTAATAATAAATAATAATTTAAAATTAAGTTTTATAATTATACTTAAACTTTAGCTTATATAGGTATAGGTCGTAATATTAAAGGGTTAAATCTTATATAGCAAGAGATATAAATTCTAAAAGTAAATTCCTACAGTTATCTAGAGGGACTCTAGAGCCCGCTTGGCAGCAGCTTCACCAGCAATAACAGCGCCCTCCATAAACCCTGCCCAATAGCTCGATGCCTCAGTCCCAGCGAAGTAAATCCCACCAACCGGCTTCGTCAGCGCAGGGCCGAACTGAGTCCAGACATTTGGCGGGAACAATCCCGTATGACCACCTCTAGAAAACTCCTCGTTATCCCATCTCTGAAGAACCCACGACTGAACCTCCCTCGCTTTGGGGCCAAAGTATCTAACAAAGTCCTCTCTCACAGCAGTAAAGATATCCTCTTCAGAGGCATCATCGAGTCTTCGCATCTCGTTTGCTTCGAGAAATCCCATCATTGCACCGAAGCTTCCATCAGGTGGGGAACTGTCGAATGTTGACTGGGATACACCTTGAAGACTTGCGACCTCGCCGCTGAGACCTTGGTCACGCCAGAATGGAGTCTTGTAGATTGCGATGACTTTTCCAATTGAGCCCATCGGGACGCGCTGGCAGAGCTGGTCTCGTGCGGCTGGAAGAGGAGGTTGGTAGACGATACGACCTGCCAGCGTGGGCGGGATGGCGATGATGACTTTATGTGCTTGAACGTGGAAGGCGTCACCTACGACGAGATATCCATCGTCGATCTGGAGAATCTGCCGAACAGGTGCCTCAAGTCGGACTCTGTCACTACCAAGACGCTCAGCCAGTTTGATAGCGATGTTCTGTGGCCCGCCTTCAATCCTCTCTTCCAGTGATCCATTCTTGACGTTGGTCAACATCTCCATTCGGCCCTTAGTTTCTGCGTCTCCAGTTCGGGCAACATTGATCACAGCGCTCAACAGTGAAACGTCTTCCCCTTCTGCCGACATGACAGCTCTGTTTGTCAAATCAATCACGCCTCGAGCTACTCCATCACGCGCAAAGCCATCGAGCCATGACGACAGCGTGAGACGGTCCCATTCTTTTGCCTTCGGATGCGTCCAAGGTTGATGCACGTCGATCTCACTTGCCATCTCATTGAATTGGACTGTGATATCAGCCAGAATCGCGATATCCTCTTCAGAGAGCGGTGGTAATCCCTGCGTCTTGACAGGATTATAGAGGAGAGGGCCCTGACCAGGTATCCACATGAGCATATCGCCCTCGATGTATGTCGGGAACGTCTTGATACCCAGGTCACTGGCTAAGGCAAGAAGTCTTTTGTGGTTTTTGCAGACAAATTCAGCTCCGGCTTCGACTTTGTGGCCATTTCCGTCTTTCACCTCCACGTCGTAGACCTTTCCGCCAACTCGATCTCGGGCTTCAAGGACAAGAACTGATTTGCCGGCAGCAACGAGATCTTTGGCAGCCGCAAGGCCACTGAAGCCACCGCCGACAATGGCTACGTCAACATGCTCGTGGGTCCATTGCGTGGTGGGCGAAGAGGTTAATACTGTCATTTTGTGCAAAGGGTAGGAATATGAGATGATGAGAGAATTCGGAGAATAGACCAGCAAAGAATTTTAGTAGATGGAGCTACTCTAATAAGGTAGAAGAAATATATATGGCCAAGTATTGAATTTATAGATCGTAGCAACGCTAAAATGCTATCTCCCTTATTTACAGATGGATCTGGAGGGCTACCTATTCAGTCATTTGTGGATTGCCAGGGAAGCCAGAGTTAGCTGAGTTCGGGTTCAGTATAGTATGATGGCAAAGGATCCCAATTTGAAGCATGATATTTGATAGGAAATACGGACCGAGCTTGCAATGTGATAATATCGTAGCTATTTCCCCCCGAGGATTAGGATGGAGGTCTCAAGCTCCACTCCACCAACTTCTCCCTTCAGGCAGTTCACAGCGAGATCCACAGATTATGCGACTAACCTGTTTGGGCAGCATTCACTGACATGTGCAACTGTGAGTTATGACCATCAACAGCTATTAGTTTGCTGCAGAACCGGCAATTACTCTCCCAAAATTTAAGCAGAGATAAAACTCGGCAGGAATGTTACTATAAGTAGTTATATTCTAAACAAGAACCAGAAACGTAGCCTTCAGCTTCATAATCCGACTTTTATTTCAACTGCACAACTTGTGATCCCGACCATCCAGCATCATGGCGCCTCCGACTGAGAATAGCTTGTTGTAAGAGATTGAGAAAAGGAGTGAGTTCTCTGAATGCACCTATATGTATGACTAGCATTAACACTACGCGTTGTCAATGTTGATGTTGATACGCTCAACCCTGAGTTCATACGATCTCTCCCAATTAGGCCAAATGATCAAACTTGCAATCCCGCATGGTTGTCTCTAGCTCTGCAGGATCCATCTAAAGCAGAGTTGATCAGGACTACAACCCTTGAACTTCAAGACCAGGGCTTTCTTGCTATACTCTCGCGACTTGTAAGACGGGTATTCCCGACGCTTCCTCCAAAATCTAACTATCATAGGCCGTGCATCTCTGCAAAAGAAACATCGATCTGATTAAAGGTCGTGTCTTGGTCCAGACCAGCCCTTCAGCTGCATACAACTTCCAAGAGACACTGGATCATGCTCGCATCTACGTATCTGAGTTTGAAAGGGCTGGGATCCCAAAGGACCGATATTGTATCAAGATCATGGCTACAGGTCCTGGGGTGAACGCAGCCAAGATTCTTCACGATGAAGGAATTTCGACGCTGGGAACAGGCGTGTTCAGCGTGGTCCAGGCAGTGGCATGCAGTCAGGCGGGTTGCTTGTATATCAGCCCATATTACAATGGTAAGAGAGACGAAAGCCTTCCTTTTTGCATGTTACCTGAGCTAAATCGATGCCATCAGAGATACGAACTCACCTGGATCCATCTCTGTGGCCTGATGTCCAGGACCCAGCATTGCAGCATCCATTTTCGCATCGCATCGCCCAGATGGTCCAAGCATACAAGACTTTGTTTGCTGCCACAGGTAAAGAACAGCCATTGATTAAGAATGCCGGGTAGGATTCTTTGTCTCCATGCCCGCCGAGTCCATTGAAGCTTACAGTGTCAGCTTTCGCTCCTACGAGGAAGTTCTCGCCTCGTCTGAACTCGGCTGCCATTCTGCAACCATCTCCCAAGATCTGTTGGAGGAGGTTGAGAATCTTACACCTGAAAATATTATACTACCAGCCCCTCCAAAGATGGCTAGCCTGAAGAGTCCTTATGCTGATGATGTACCTATCCCGTCGCCCAGACTGTCTGCGCTGCTTAGTCGCCACCTGGATGAAGAGAGAGGATGGTCAGCAAAGGATCTGACAGTGGACTTGTTGGCTGATGGAGGAAAGGCGTTAGATCAAGCTCTGGAAAAAGACTCGGAAGCCGCTCGCATGGTTAAGGAGGCTTTGGATATGTTTGTCTTCTGTGAAGAGGAGACCAAGAAGCTGATCAAAGGGACAGCGTTACTTGCAAGCTTATGAGTAATTCCGACGACCTTATGTGTACACGTTGGAAGGTCTCTATTCCCAAGGTGAATTGCATGAATGCCGCATATCTCGCGAAATATTCTATAGTGTATACGCCGCCGCTCGTATAGCTCGATGATGTACTGCTCAGAATGTCTTGTTTGTATTAGGTAGAGTTCTTTCAAACATAATCTCTAACTTATCGACAGCCTGTCCCCGTCCCTATTTCACATTTTACTATTTGTCCTTACGACGTGAATCTATCGTAACTGGAGTTAGTCAGGGTTCCTTAGTTGAAGTTAATGGGACCCCCATTCGATGGCCCTAACTTTAGAGTAGTCCGAGGGTAGCTGCCACCTCAAACCCCGCATCGGCACCCGCGGACATTTTACCCAGCTGACCAACCCGCCGAAAAGCCGAGTCGTTTGAGATTGCCTCTTTCGGAAGGATTCCTCCAGAAGTTGTACCCAGAACACCATTATCCCGCATCCCAAGCAGGCAAGTTGCCTCGAGTGGTGAGAAATATGTAGATATAGAAGTAATGAACAATATATATAAACGAAGTTCATCTCTTGTGTAGAAGATCGAGGAAGTAGGTCCATTGCATAAACGATCTCTCCTATTCTATCAATACCCAAAATGTCTCAACTGGCAAGTATAAAAGCTTGAAAAGGAATATGGCATTGGGAGTAACAGCTAAAACGGTCCAGGAACCCACAAACCGTCCGATCAATCATATAGCAATTTCATGCCCTGATATCGAAGGACTTGTTAAATGGTACAAAAGCGTTCTCGGCTTCGAGGTCATTGGTGACATCCAGCATTGCATCAGAGCAAAAGACCCAGCGCCATTCGAGACAATCTTCGTCTCATACCCAGTGTCACTCCAAGAACTGAAATTCGCCATCCTCACGACTGGCAATGGCGTCTGCATCGAGTGTTTCCAATTCATTGACCCACCGCCAAAGCCGCGAGATGGGGATTTTGAGTATACGAGGGCTGGCTTTTTCCACATCTGTGTAACGGATAGAAATCCTGAGATACTGGCAAAGAACATTGTAGATGAGGGTGGAAAGGCGTTGGGAGGCTGGATGGATTATTCAATATTTGGGCTTGAGGGGCATAAGGGGATATATACCCAGGACCCGTGGGGCAATGTAGTTGAGATCATGAGTCTGAGCCTTGAGAGGGTTTCTTCTACTGGGACCGCGTTGATGAATGCTGCAAAGCCGCTTCCAGCGGGTAAACTATAATCGAAGATCTCCAAATACGATATCTAACATCTTAAGATTGGAACCGATCGAGTAATTTTAGCCAGTGAAATCCTTCGATATCGGGAAAGGCGATACCCCATCTTACGCTAGGTACAGTCCGCGGAGGCCGACAAGCGTAATCGATGAGGGGACTCCGCATCAACAACCCGGTTGCCCCGCGTTTTCTAGCAACAACTCCCAGACAAGCACATCTTCACCTTCATCTGCCACTTCTTGGTCTACCTACTGAATAAGAAAACCTCCAGTTCGCCAAGTGCCCAGTACTGAGTCATCAACACATTCGATCAGTCGTCGATTCGTATCATGAGAAGGAAGTCCAAGACCTTCACAGGATGCTGGACATGTCGGGCCCGCAGGGTGAAGTGCGACGAGGTACAGCCCGTCTGCAACCGTTGTACCAAAGCACGTCGAATCTGCGAGGGCTATGGAGTTCGCCTTACGTGGACGAGCGACGAGAAGGACATCCCATTCCGAGTACTCATCGATCTAGATACGGATGCCATAGAGATATCGCCTGACGACTTGGATGATATGATACACAAGTGCGGCTATACAGAAGCTAGCCATGAGACACAGACATTCGGTCCTTTTTCTGTGTTCTCCGTTGGCCAAAGCACTGATTTGGAGCCCTCGGAACCACGGCACCTTGATACAAAGGAGGGCCAAGAAGATCAACGGCTAGAGGGAGAGATAGCAACCGGGAATCCCTATACGCCCTCCTCTAACGAGTCGTTGATAGAGACATGTCAGCCCTCATCGCTAGAATCAAGTAATGAGACACTATCAGATGTCTCTATATTCGACAACTTTACCCATCAGGCTGCGAGGTGGAGCCATGACTATGTTGATGGAAACGATGATCTGGTACTGGACGACCTTCTCTCTGCAGAATGGTTTTTCGGCCCAAGCTCATTTAAGCTAGAGTCACAGGTGCCATTATGGGCAGAACTCGACGTCTTTCCATTTGAGATGGAAAATGATTTCACTTCCGCCGTCGAGATACCACGAGAGGGTTATTCATCGTCGGATCACTCTAAATTCAGCGATATACCATTTAGTTGTTGGCATGAAGTGCCGTCGCCACAGACCAGTCTCAACCCCATCTCAATGTCGCAGCAACAGACCGAGCTGATCCATCACTGGCTGGTCCACATGTGCAGAAACATGGTCCCAATTGATACACTGGACAACCCATACCGAGGAACCTATCTACGCCTAGCTTCCGAAGGCGTCAATGGCGCTTCCAAGAGTCACATTGCAGTGCTGCATGGTGTTTGCGCTGCTGCCGCGCATAATATAAATACCCTACGGAACGACAAGACGAATACACAACCAGCGTGGAATACACAGGTAGCACTGCAGAACCTACAAGAGTCGATTTCACAGCCCAAAGACATGGACCATGCTTCTGTTTTGGCTGCCATTGCGATGTGCATTATGCAGGACACCATGACGGGACATCCTCGTGGCTGGAGGACCCATATCCAAGCTGCCTTGAGAATCATAGTACAGGAGAAGCTCTACCAAGGATTGGATCCGGGATCTGAATTGCATGTTGTGGTTCTGCAATGTCTTTGTCTCGTCGCGCTAGGCGATGTTGATATGCAGTATGACCTGGCAGATATGGTGTCTCAACTCCCCACCACCGAAGACTATGTCTCTAAGCATCACAGTGTCACAAAGGATGTCGTCGGCATCATATCTCGAATCAACATATTGTCGAAGCAAGATACTGCAAGAGATCTCGCTCTGATCGACCAGCTAGAGCTTCAGATCTATCTTCAAGCCATTCCAACGACTCAAAACAATCGATTTCACAGTGAAAAGGTGAATTTCATCAATCAACACTATGCCTCGGTCTGGCACTACGCCACTATAATACACTTCCAACGTCGGATCCGTCATAAGCCGGCAGAGCAGCTACGAGACCTTGTATCTGAAGCACTAGCTCATCTTGAAGCAGCTGAATATGTTGCAACTGATCTCGATGGATGCATTGCCCTATGGCCATGCATGGTTATAGCCACTGAATGCTATGACGAAGAGCACAAGATGCGTGCGCTGAGCTGGTTTAAGAAAAAGGACCGCCATGCATTCGCTAATGTTAGTTTGGCGAGCATAATCTGTCTGGAGTATTGGAAATGGCGGGACAGGAATCCATCTTGGGCTTTGACTACGTCGTGGCAGGATTTTGTCGCAGGTACTGAGTATGATGTTGTTCCGGTATGAAAGAATTTGATCCATCTCTCAATCCACTTGACCCGAGTCTTTGGGTAAATAATTATCGAGAATCAAACCATAAAGCTTCGACTACAGAGTCTCGCTACTCATATCCCCGAGACAACAATTAAATTTACGTGCATATAGAATGGGTCACGACTGGTCGGTGCATGTCAGCCCGCTCGCTCCGTTAAACGAGCTATATCTCGGTCTAACAAGGTCCGAAAAACCCCCCAGCTAAACGTGGGTCATGCGAGCGCCAACAGATTCAAATTACGCTTAACAATGACTGAGAAATTGTCTGTTTACCCCTCCAAGCCTTAGTTCCTCCTTCGTGGTCATCGCCTCCAACTCGAGAGTATCCCCATCATGGCTGCCGAACAATTCGACACATCTTGGATGTGGAATCCCGCTTTCATCGAAAAAGCCACGTCTACTGCCGGTCGCTTCGTTCATTTCCGCAAGACATTCTTTGTGAACGCGGAGATTCCAATATCGCTCCCGATTCAAATCACGGCCGATACGCGATATAAATTATACGTCAATAAGCAATTGGTCGCTTTTGGACCTGTTAAGGGAGATGCGAATCTCTGGTTCTACGACGAGGTCGACATCAGCCCGTATCTACGCCTGGGCGAGAATCATATTGCAATTCATGTCCTTCGACTCTTCCACGGGACGTCGTACAGCACTAGCTTTCCACGCCTGGGAACAGGTGGTGTCAAGATTGCGACTACTGTCGAAGATGAGGTCTGGACACCGCAAATTCGAAGCAGTGAGCTTTGGCAAACGGCGATAGATCAAAATGTGACTCTCCGTATCGATGAGGAAGAGGATGACTTTCTTCACGTATACGAATTGGTATCTGCATCGCGCGATACGTCGTTGGATTGGATTCCAGCGATACTGCTCCGTTTCCAGAACTCTACTGGTGTCACAGCGCCGTGGAAACTATCACCGCGTCTCATCCCGCCGATGAGAGCCCAGAGATCTTACTTCAGCGCTATTCACAACGTTCAAAGCGGTTTGCCTCATGGGACCTGGAGTGTAGGACTGCTGGGTATCCAATCCGGGGAGAGCAATCTTATTCTCCCCGCTCGCTCAAGTCATCAATTCGACCTTGAGACTCGCGTTCATACAACTGCATTTATCCGCTTCCGTTTCGTCCGACCAGACGTTGGAGGCGCTTGTCTCACAATAACGTATTCCGAGAGCTATGAGGATACTCCAGTCCTTGTTCCATATCTTCGCTGCAAAGGAAATAGATGCGATACGAGCAAGTTTCTTGTCGGGCCCAAGGATATTTACACTTTCCAGGGAAAAGGCGGAAATCCACGTCTGGGCTACTATGAAGATGAAGATACAGAGGAAGTCTATATGCCCTTTCACTGGCGCACCTTTCGCTTCATGAGACTCAACATCGAGACTGGATCATCTGATCTGATCCTGCGCGGCATCCATATTGACGTTGTGAATTACCCATTGAACGTTCTATCAACGATAAGCACGACCTCAGATGACGGGACTTTGGGAGCGCTGTATGATACAAGTATCCGAACATTACAAAACTGCATGCATGATTGCTACGAAGACTGCCCTTTTTATGAACAGCTCCAATACGCGATGGACACACGAAGCTCTTGCCTCTTCACTTATCACGTGTCTGGCGATGATCGTTTGGCCAGACAGGCAATCATCCAGCTCCATAGCTCGTTCCAGCCTCGCATTGGTCTTACAGCCAGTAGAGCACCGTCAACTCAATTGCAGATCATCCCTCACTTTTCCCTCTACTGGATCTGCATGCTGCATGATCACTTTCTCTACTATGCAGATAAGGCATTTGTTAGGCCTCTTCTACCCGTTGTTGACGCTGTCCTGGGGTATTTCCACGAACGCATTGATGACCGTCTTGATCTTGTGAGTCTAAGGGATGAGAAGGGTGTTTGGAACTTTCATGACTGGGCGGAGCAGTGGAGGCCGTATGGTATTCCACCCTCTGTAGAAAAGTCTGGTGTTTCGACATACACAAACAGCTTGTATGCGTATACTCTCAAATTGGCGGCCAAGTTGCAGGGAGAGTGTGCAGGCCGACTTTCCCTTGCAGAAGAGTATTCTCACCGGGCTGGACTAATAGTTGATGCGGTTAAACGCCAGTGTTTTGATGGACAATACTTTACCGACAGTATTGCTGCTTGCTCGGACCCTCAAATTGACCGTAGCCAGCACAACCAAGTCTGGGCAGTTCTCAGTGGTGCCGTAGGTGGCGACAGCGCTCAGGCATTGCTTAAGCGCGCTCTAGGAAGTTCTCAAAGCGGTGCGCCACTCATAAAGACATCAATCTCAATGTCTTTCTACACATTTCGAGCCATCAGCATCGCAGGAGGATCCTTGTATGACGAACTGTTCCATGTTCTGTGGCAGCCGTGGCGCCACCAATTGTCTCTCGGTCTGACTACCTGGGAAGAAGACGATGTTTCACACCGCTCAGACTGCCACGCTTGGGGCAGCGCTCCCATCTACGAGTTCTTGGCCGAGGTTGCGGGGATACGGCCTGCAAAGGCAGGATGGCAGGAGATAGAGTTTGCACCACGCCTTGGTCTTTATACTTCTCTTGAAGCGACCGTTCCATTCTATAGGGAAGACAAGATGATGCTGGCAAAGGTTGGCTGGAGCTCTTTAGATGGAGAGACGCGAGTCACGTTGGGGATTGAGGGGTTAGACGAGTCAATCTCTGTGCATGTCAAATTGCCAGGATGGCCTGCGATGGTCGAGAAGAGCTCGCAGAGCATGGTCTTTACATGGACAAGATCTTAGAACGTAGATTATTATTTGAGAAAATAGAAAGTCAATATCGAGTTTAGAATTAAATGTTACTCCTGCTCTGGAGCGTTGAACTGTTGATATGCTGACGAGGCAAACAATGGCATGCGAAACCAATTATCTTGATCTTGAGACATGTCAAAACACGTATCGTCAGCAAACACGGGTAGAAGAGTATCCAGTCTCTCAACATCCATGTAGGTCGGGTTATCATACGTTGAAACAGACTGCCCCGGACTAATCACCCCATGCAGCATAGAATCTGGTCTAAACTGATCCTCGATATGAGACGTTGGGACGCGAAGATCAGCCATGAGCTGAAGAATCGTCCCTTGTACCACTTCAGTGCCTGCATCAAGATCAGAAGTCGCTCGACGCAGTATCCTTGCGTAACTAGCGCTGATCTGCCAGAAGCGGCCCATGGTGCTGAGAAATGTTGTGAAGAGTGAGACTTTTGCTATGGTCTCGGGATCGGTCTCTCCTGTGAAGTACCTCTGCGCTGTGAGAAAACGAGCAGCTACCCAGACGGACCAGGCAAATGGCCAGCCGAGCTTATCGACAGTTTGGTCGGCTACTTTCGTGACGATCTGGGCCAAGGCCTGTACGCTGTTGAGGCATCGCTCTAAACATTGGCGACGGATGTCGAGATGCGAATCGGACTGGAAGTTGAAATGGCATGGTATGGCAAGGAAGCCATTGAGGTAGATATCCAAGGCGTAATAGTATCCGTACAGCATAAAGGTAGCTGGTCGGATAGCGCCAGGAACACGGTCCTCGATAATATTATGGTTATGCCAAAATAACCGAGAAGGTAGTGTCTCCATCCAGGAATTGAGTTCAGTTGTGATATTATGAAAGTCGCTTAGCCAAGTCGACTCAAGCCCTTGGTTGTTGTACAGCGTGCTGCATTCCATTCCAACCCTATGAATTCTCCGAGATAGATCAAACAGCTCTAGTTGGTAGCTGAACACAGACGCTGGAGTAAGCGATGCATCGTCTGCCTCTGACAGATTCTCCCTCCAGACTTGCTGTCGCGCTGGTAGAAAGTGCTGAACATGATCATTGCCCAAAGTCGAATGATGGTTCGTGGTGATGCAGACGGTGCAGTCGAGAGCGTAGATAGCCCAGAACAACCGCTGTCGGAAAATCCCATCACTCTTGCTCAGCGATTCACTGTTCTCAGCCTCAGTCGAAGTGCGAAACACAAGCCCATCCGTATTCTTGAGCTGCACCGCAAGCTTCGTAGCTACAGCCAACGGGCCCCAGACCTGAGGTCCATGCGTCATGCCCGAAAGGTCCAAAACCAGCACCGTAAGAACTTCCAACGAACTATACGAAGGCTCCTCCAACACATCGACGAATATGCTGCGCTTAGAGTACTTCCAAAACGAATCGCTTGACGCCTGGTCAAGACGCGAGTCGAACGAGTACGGCAGCGTGACTCCAAAGAGAGCATAGTACAGCAGCGCAGGCTCATCCATGGATCCCATGTCGGCGCAGACGCGTTGGACGTCTAGGAAGGGAAACCATGGGTGGATGTGGCGGAAGTAAAGAGAGGCGAGAGAAACGACGAGGTCGGTTGGGGGCCTGCGCTCAGTGACTCTGCGGGTGCGCTCAAAAGTAGGTGATGCTTCACCAACGGGCATTGAACGAATTGCTTGATCATTGGGTGATTTGGTCTCGACTTCGATTGTGTCTTGTGGAGGTGGTTGATCAGTTGATGTGCTCGTTCTCGGCATGCTGCGAATAGCGCGTAGCTCGGACTCCAGCTTCTCTGAACCAACAGTCAGCTGACAGTCACCTTACCTCATAGAACCATAAGATGGGGTAAAAAAATGAGTCGAGACTTACCGATCTTCTCCTCCAGCATCTGGCGATGTCCAGCTGGAAACCCCGGCTTCCGCCTGCCCCCGTACTCACACTCAACCTTTGCCTTCTCGCAGCGTTGACACGCCGGTAATCGGCGGTCGCACTTTGCCTTGCGCTGCTTGCACCGCTCACATCTGCACGATCAGTCATTAAACCTTCTCCACGATCTCTATTTCCGGGGTAACTCAAAAGGAAAGGGATGAAAGTAACATACGAGGCCATGGTTGTCTTTCGGTCTATGTTTCGCCGTCAGGGTTACATTTTACGTGCACAAACTTCGGGGCATGTTGGCCCTTAAATGCCGGCCCAGTCTTCCCACGTGATGGTCCAGAACCCCTTCTGCTAGCGTACCCCAGATTTTCCCCAATAGACCCCGTGGGAATGGACCGAGGAGGGGGGAAGGCTGGTCTCGGTCGAAGTGGTCCCGAGTACAGGGCGTGGCGAGTAAGAGAGATGTATATAGCCATGGGCTGAGCCAGCATGAAACTCCTTCTCTCATCCCAGTCGTTCAATCTTGACCTTGGCATTCTTTTACTGTCTATCTTGATACATCTTGTATGCGCAATGGCTTCACCTGAAGTAACCACCACTATGGCTCTCCCACCATCGCCTGTTGACACCAAGCGTTGGTGGAAGTCGCCCAATCTGCGCACCCTCAACTTTCTCATGATGATCCCACTTCTGTCGATCTTTTCCCAAGGGTCAGTCTACCACCCCATAACCACTCCCTTTAACAGACTAAAGCTAATATGGTATCTAGTTTCGATGGAAGCATGATGAACGGTCTACAGTCCGTCAGCCATTGGCAGACTTACTTCGGCACTCCAACAGGCGCTATGCTCGGCTTCTTCAACGCCGCGTATCCCCTCGGCGGTATTCTGGGCACGTTTCTCATATCCCCCGCGGCCGATACCTTTGGACGAAGATGGGGTCTAGCTACGGGCGCAGCACTCTGCTGCATTGGTGCCGCTATTCAGGGAGCTGCTATGAATATCGCAATGTTCATCATATCACGAGTCATCATCGGTGCAGGCAGTGTCGTCGTTGCTGGAGTTGGCGCTCCGTATATCACTGAGATTGCGCACCCAGCTCAGCGAAGTACGGCTACAGCTCTGTTCCTCACCTTTTACTCTGTCGGATCCATCATCGCCGGCTGGTGCACTTTTGGCACTTTCCGCATCGACAGCACTGCATCTTGGCGTATTCCTTCAGCGCTGCAGGGTCTTCCCTCTATAATCCAGCTTCTCTTTGTCTGGTTTGTCCCAGAGTCGCCCCGATGGCTCGTCAGCAAGGGCCGCAGTGATGAGGCGCTTCAGATGCTTGCCAAGTACCACGGCGAGGGTGACTCCTCTGACCCGGTTGTTCAGTTCGAGTACAATGAGATTCTTGACACGCTGAGTGCAGAGGCATCTGAGCATAACAACATCGTTGTCTTCCTCAAGGACTTGGGAAGCACTCCTGGTAACCGTAGACGCATGTTCATCATGGTCTGGGCAGCTGTCTGCTCGCAAATGTCCGGTAACGCCTTTGTCTCGTACTACCTCTCGCCCATCCTGCACTCTGTCGGACTCAATTCGGATCTCCAGCAGACTCTCATCAACGCTACCAACCAGATGCTGTCTTGGTTCAGCGCCATTTACTTCGCCACGCTGCCAGCCAAGGTCGGTCGTCGCAAGCTTTTTCTCTGGTCGCTGGCTGCCATCTGGGTCATCGACATCTGCATCACTGCAGGAAGTGCCGTATTCGCTAAGGACAACACCAACAAAGCTGCCGCGTACACAGTCGTTGCGTTCCTCTACCTCTTCTCTCCCGCCTACAACCTCGGTTTCAACGGTAACCTTGGTCTTTACATCCCCGAGATTCTCCCTTATCGCATGCGAACCAAGGGACTGTCATTCTTCTACTTCGTCCAGTTCTGCTTCATGATGCTTTCAACGTTTGTTGTTCCTATTGGTCTTAAGGATATTACCTGGAAGTTCTACATCATCTTTGTCGGCTGGGTCATGGTTGAGTTTGTTGGAGTGTATCTCGTCTTCCCGGAGACAAAAGGTCCTTCCTTGGAGGAGATTGCCTGGATCTTTGATGGGCCCAATAGTGGAGTTGACATGCATGCTGCTCGAGCTGAAGGCAAGAACTCGACCATTGTTGAGCATACAGATGGCAAGGAATCTGTCTAGCGCGTTATCTGCTGGAACTGTGTATTTTTTCTGGGTCAGAGGCAGAATGAAGTCGTACAGCCGCGTCACAAATGTTAGCGAGGGACTTGGTCGTAATGTTGAGTGGAGAATGATGTGGAGTGACCAGGTAGTATAGGCAGAGAAGATATTAAAATTGATTGTTTTGATCTCATGTTCAAACTTCGCACTTAGGTGAAAAAATGATTGATGTTTATGGCCAACGTTGAATGAAAACATTCATAAACAAGGTTAAAAGTGTCGCCCTCTTTGGGCAGTGGCGTCGGAACTAAATACCTGTGCATCTCACTAGTGAATCGACAGGACCCACTAATGCCGTTCACGTCAAACTTGCTAAACGATAAACGAGAAAACTCGTTTAAGAGCCTCAGGGGCGGAAGCGGATAAGCACTCACCCTGTACCAATCGTCAACACAGTCGGAACATAACACTTGTTCCAATCAACAAAGGTACATCATGAGAAGGAAATACAAGATTTAATATCTTTATAAACCTCAAATTCAATAAGTTCAAATCTATGTATTTAAGCGATTAGAAAACGTCATAAAGTATTCCTACCCCGTTAGTTCCTGAAATCGTTTGATAACCTGCGAAGCATCTGGGTGCAATGACCCTTGGTCTCCATCCGACAAAGACTCAACTCGACCAGCTGTTACCGCGTCCCTCGCCTTATTCGTCTTCATAGACTGAATGCTCTTATAAATTCCCTGGGCCGGGTACGCGAGCAGTCCAAACGTTGCTAATGTGATGTTAGCTGACGTGTTCCAAAGGGTTATTACGCATGGGTAACTTACCGCTGCCTGGTTTTGCGACCATATTGAGAGACCCCTTTCCAACACCTTTGAAAAAGCCCAAAGTCCCCTCTTCTTTGGCCCCCTTCATTGGTTTCGTTACGATATCAGTTAAGCCTTCGTAGAAGCCAAAACCAAAATTCTAATCCACGTAAGTATCTCATCTCAACTTCGAGGGTAGTGACACGTACCTTTGCTGCAACTGTGCCACCGCTCTTCCAATCCGTGACAGGACCATAATCCGCCACCTTTTCTCCGTACAGTCGCGGTGTGTTGCGAAATCCTTCAGCGAATGCCAACGGGACATCTACGAGCGATCCCTTCACCACAGCGGTCGTCATGCCCTGCAGAGCTTTCCCGCTTGCAACCGCTGTCGCTGTACCTGCAGAACGACGAGTGCCGTCTGGTCGGGCGCGCTTTACGTCTTTGAAGGGATCGATGAATGCACCGCCTAAGGCAGACGTAAAGTCTGTCATGGTGCCTAGCACGGACGATGCTCCAGCTGTTACAGGATCCCAGCGTTCGTTCTCAACGAGGTATTCCTTCGGTCGAAGTCTGAAAAAATCGGTCAGTGAAGGTAGAAAACCAAATAGCACAACAACTTACGGCTCAAAGTCTGCCAACTTGGCTTTCTTGGCATCCAGAAGAACTCTCAAAGCTGCGTTCGATAACCTAATATGGCCCTTGTCACCTTTCTTCGACCTGCCTACGTACTGCCATTTAGCAGCATTGTGCGGAATGAGCTCGCAAGTGAGGTTGTCCACGGGTAGATGCCGATGAAAAGAGTTAACTGCGGTGCTGACGCCACTCTCCTCTCTCATCTGTGTCGCAATCCTGTTGGCAGCATCCTGAGCTTCGGGACTGAGGCAAAACTTGATTGCCGAACTGAGGTTATCCACGGAGATGCTCTTGTAGGCGATAGGTGATGGACCTGCTCCGTTGGAGGCAACGACACTTCCCCAAAAGGGCTGACTACGGAGATGTTAGTACGAATATCTGGAAAGGTGAATGGATATAACACTTACTCGCCGAAGAATGGTACAATGGTGGTTGGTCGACCATTAACGAGGCCACAAGCCGTAGTGCCTGCGCCACCGTGGTGAACAACAGCAGCAACGCGCTTGAACAACCATTCTACCAAAAGGTTAGGTGATGGACTCATGACCTGGGGGTAATTAACTACATACCGTGAGGGCAATCACCCAAGTAGAAGACAGAGTCAGTACTGGGTTCATTTCCACCAAGCTTGCTCCAGCCACGGGATATAATCACTCTGGCCCCTGCAGCCCTACACGACTCTTTGATGATGTTTGTTAGGGCTGTGGGGTCATCGATGACAATGCTTCCGAAGCCGACATAGACTGGAGGTGGTCCTCTTGCCAGGAAGTCTGCGAGGTCTTGAGGAGGTGTATAAGATGGTTCGTCTCGCATAAAGAATCCGCAGATATCTAAAAAGTTCAATTAATCCTCAGTATCCAACAACTTGTGTCTTGGTGGACTCTTACCAATGCTATCTCCCCAGTCACTTGGCTTGGGGACCAGAGCCGGTGACCAGCAATAAGTATATGGTACCTTCATGAGTCCAACGATATCGGGTCCAACAGCGGCGGCTAATGGATCCAGATGCAAATCCTTAACTCTCCATGCATTGATGACATCTCCGAGTCTGTGACGGTCAGCATAAGCATGATAAAAGCAAATCGTTACGGGACTAACCCTTGCCAAGTCATTAGATCAACAACGCCGTAACTGAGATAATTGGAAGCCCTGGGATCCATATTTTGAGATTGAATATTGGCTAGAGGATGAGGGAATGACTTCGTCGCTGTCCAGGGCATTGTGAACATCATGTGAAGAGGGATACCCAATGCTTGAGCGCAGTGGACGTGGGCAAAACTGGGCGGGTTTGCGATGATAGCATCCGCGACAAAGGGACGATTTGATACGGGGTCCGGCTTGACACAAGAGCTCCAAAAGCCTCTCAGCATATCATGGATCATGACGCGTTTTCGGCCGATATCGCCTCCTCGAAGACTTTCCATGGAAGGAATCAAGCCGGGATTTTTGACCATGTACTATAGCCATGCGATTAGCACTCAGGCGCTGTGAGATCAGTTGGTAGTCTTACAGCCATTAGATCTTCAGGGTCTCCTCCGACGGGGTAGAATTCGAGACCAGATGAACGGACGAAATCTGCAAAGGTATCATGAGTGGCTAATCGCACGTGATGGCCGTACCGCTGGAGAGCGACGCCGAGGGCGATGAAAGGTTGAACATCGCCTAATCTGATTAGTCCTGCACAGCAATGAGAAGATGGTCAAACTACCTCGACTACCGACAACTTGAATGACGATGTTGAGAGTAGGACATGGACCGGAGGGAGCAGAGGTGGAGAAGCTGCTGGTTGGTTCAATTTCTTGGGCTTTGTCGGGAGGAAGAAGGCGATTGACTTCGTCGGGCTGCAGCGACGAGAACTCAATATCGACCTTTCCATAGTCTTGGCGCAGTCAGCATCACGATAGTCTCAAAACTCAGATAAAAAGGGATCATACCATTCACGCGCGACGTGCTAGCTAGAACTGACCCGGAGGAATGTAGCTCGTACGGCGGTGGTGCATCCCAAGGAATGTCCAAGACATGGTCAGTGTCTTGCGCTTCCTTGTCCTTGGACGGAGATTGAGATCTTGATTTCGACATGGTTTGATCGAACTTAGCATAGAAACTCGGTAGATGGAGATGCAAAGTACAGGAGATAATATATGACGAGCGGGGGCCAACGGCAGAGGACCTTGAGCTAGTGTAGACCAATTTAGGTGGACAGCTTGGGGAGATGGTCAAAGCTAAAACACCGGGGCTGAGTAAACTTCGCTCTCGGTTAGCGGGAGCGAATTTGGTAGCGAATCATAAGAAGCTGTGGGGAAAAGACCGAGAAATTTCGTACCGCCTCTGCTGATCCTGTCCTCGCGGAGGATGTGGCTTAGACCGGACCGGGGGATATTGGAGTTTAGTGCTGACCTAAAGACCAAAGACCGACGGAGTACACGCTGACAGTGCCGCAAGCAATCATAGTAAAACAGGGGTCCAACATTGGTCCGACTTACGAATATTTGGCAGAAAATTACCAGAATTTCGCATTCGCATACCGATTATGCAGTTGAGTCACGGCAAACCAACTTACTCAATAACGAGAGCTGAAAATTGAAGACTGACTCAATACTTCATCAGAAGGTGGTAAATCTCTGCAAACCCCGCTTTGTTTAGGTTTTGACTAAAGGGAGCGAACCTCGTTCCTCGTTCAGCGCTTCAACAACGAACCTCGCTCTTTGCGAAAACCTCGTTCACGAGATTCACTTCTTGGCCCTCCACTAGAACGGTCACAGCTTAAATGAAAGGGCTAGGTTTACTCCGTACAGTGGCTCATTACATCATGCAAAAAAACATACAGCAATGGAAAATGTAATACCGACTGCGCATGTATATTTAGTTATAAGTAGAGATAGTCTCAATTAGTTAGATCTAATACAACACCATTCTCTAACATTTCTTAACTTGTTATCTCAACTTCTTTCTCTCTTTTTACTTTTTTCTTAAAATAATCAATCTTCAGAGACAAATACATCCTAATGCTTCTCCAAGCCACGGCGTCGCTGCTTCTTGTAGCAGGTTCAGCTCTGGCTGGATCAGTTGCAAGGGCGGATAAGAATGCAGTGATCTACGGTTCCAAAGGAACGGTGTCTCTTTCATCCGATGGAAAGAAGCCTCATATCATGATCCTCGATTATGGCGAGAATGTCGAGGGTCATCCTACCTTTGAGGTTGTCTCTGCCTCTGGTGACACTTCGGCTTTTGAACTTACCTATGCAGAGTCCAAGTATGCATTTAGCAACTACCAGGTATGAACAGACAGTGAATGAATGCTGTCTCAACAGACTAACTCCCATCTAGAGTGATGGACCTCTTCCTCTGGCTGCTGCCATGGACACCTACCGTGTGAACCGATACAACATCTCCAAGCGCGAGACCTTCAAGAACCGTCTTGTCCAGGGAGCTTTCCGCTACCAGAAGCTGAACCTCTCTTCGCATGGAGAGCTGCGTCTCAGAAAGGTCGGTGTGAAACCAACCGTTCACACCACGCCCCTCACCAAGCTCCCCGGAGGTTTCGAGTGCTCCGATGAGGACTTTAACCGTATCTGGCTCACGGGCGCCAGAACCGCTCAGCTTACTGAGATCCCCAAGAACACTATTCCCGACTTCTGGCAGGTTTCCAAGGAGGGATCTCTGGTTGAGAGCTCTGCGCCTCAAGCGCTGGGTAGTGCTGCCGCCGCTCAGTTGACTGCCTACCAGCTAGACTTCCAGGTCAAGCCTGTCACTGGTGAACTCACCTTCTCCGTCCTGTCAGACACTCTAAATGAAGCAATTATCGTTACTTGCGACGTCAAGACTGGCAAGGTCACGGCTACGGGTGCTTCAAAGTCTGGATCGATCCCGTCTTCTGCTGATGCCAAGGTCGGGGAGTGGATGTCTGTGCATGCCAAGGTGAACATGACCGAGATTTCTGTTGTCGTCAACAACAAGACTGTTCTCGATTTCACCCAGACAGACAAGTTCTACGGGTCCTTCGGCCTCGGCGCTCCTCTCGGTCACTCCGCTTACTTCCGCAATCTCAAGGCTGCGACTCTCGACGGCACTGAGATCTACTCTAACAATTTGACCGATCCTAGCTTCTTGAAGGACTTTTTCATGGGAACGAACCCCGCCGATACTATCGTTGATGGTTCCAGACGCGATAGAATTGCATACACTGGCGATCTTGACGTTGCACTAAGCTCGACCTATGCCAGCACGTACGGCAAATCTTTTGTTGAGGGCTCGCTCGATCTTCTTGGCTCTTACCAGGCGACACCCGGATTCTTCATCCCGACTGCCAAGATCCAGCAGGAGCCCCTCAAGGAACTTCTCGGCGTCAACATCACTGGTCTTATCGGCTACTCGTTCAACTTCCTCAACGCACTTGCCAAGAACTACGAAGTTCTAGGCGATAAGAAATTTGCCAAGGAGTGGGCTCCTCGCACTACGGCTATGCTGGACTGGGCGCACTCCCAGTTGAAGAACGGTCTTTTCACACTTGATGACCCTACTTTCACTGGAGATTGGAACTACTATGATCCTCCTCAGACCGGCGCGAGCTCCAAGTTCAACGCTCTCTATGCCTACAGCTTGCAGCAGACTCAGCCTCTGCTCAAGGATGCTGGGGTCAACACGACCGTCTACCAGACTCGCCTTGATAACCTGCGCAAGGCTATTCACTCCAACCTTTGGAACGATACCCTTCAAGCTTATGTTCTGTCCAATGAGATCACCTCTGGTTTCGCGCAAGACGCCAACGCCCTCGCTATCCTCGCTGGCATTCCCCAGAGCCATAACATCTCAGCTACCTCTCTGCTCTCTACCATGAACAAGGAACTTCAGCTCAAGGCTGGATCTCTGGCCTTCAGCAACGCTACCGCCAAATCTGGTTTCGCTCAGAAGATCAGCCCCTACTCTTCCGCCTACCACCTCCGCGCTGCCTTCGAGTCCGACGATGACGTGATCGTCAAGCGTTTGTTGAAGAGTCTTTGGGCACCCATGGCGGACCCTGCCCATGCCAACTACACCAATTGCTTCTGGGAGACTCTTAACCCGGATGGTACACCTGGTCTGGGAATAATCACTTCTCTCTGTCACGGCTGGGCTTCTGGACCAACTGCTGAGCTGAGCCGACATGTCCTTGGTGTTCAGGCTGTTGAACCTGGTTACAAGAAGTGGGATGTTAAGCCTTTGACTCTGGGTCTGGATTGGGCTAAGGGTCGGGTTCCCACTGAGCACGGAAACGTTGAGGTTGATTGGAAGTTCATGTCTGGTCTTTTGCAGATGACTGTTCGTGGACCCAAGAATGGTAACACAGAAGGTACTGTCTACCTTCCTCGACCTCTGCTTACTTCTCTTGAGAACAGTGTTATCAAGGTGAATGGCAAGGTTGTCAAAGGTGACAAGTTCACTGTACCTTGTGGACAGAAGATCACTATCAAGCAAACCAGCGCTTGATTTTCGGATTCTCATTATAGTTATTCATTATGAATATTATATTTTAGCCTTGGTGTAGATCCATCCTCGAGCTTGTTTCAGTAGACTATGTAGAACAGATGAAGAACACCATTGGACTATTGGACAAAAGAGTCGTTCGATGCCATATCTCTTATTAGTAGTAGGAAGATGAAATGTGTTGTGGTCAAAATGTGAAGGGGTAAAGAGCCCCCATCTTAGCGCAGGTAGCTAATACAACTCCATTCACGAGAGGACCTTGGTTGTGCACATTAAGTGATAATTACTTGTTTCTGAGTTGAACTGGCTGCTTCTAGCTAATGCAGGCCCCCTCAGATCTATCCAATTCCCGACCATGCTGATAAAGCTACCATTCTCCATTACCGTACGTTTCATATCAAGCAGAATATAAAGGTCGTTTCAAGCAGTCTGAATCTATAAATAAATAGTATCTGGAGACTCTAATAGGTTCATCTAGTATCTAAGACGAACACTTTAACTGATTCCTGCCCTTAAAGACTAATCACACGCACTCCCAACCCGTCTTAATAAATTCCATATCCTCTAGGTCAGATGGTAATATTGAGTCTGGTCCAGGTTGAGAGGCGAGAAAAGAAGAATGTTCTGCAATGATGTAACTCTCAAACTCCCCAGGTCGTTTAAGGCTCGCGAGGCGGGTCAGGAGATCATTTCCCTGGAGGCTAAGATGATAGCGAAAATTCCAATATCTATTCCCTTGGATCATAAGCATGTTGAGGAGCCTCTTGCCGGACTTTGCACATCTAGGTGATTTCGAGAGAAGTGATTCCCGCACACGCTGGACAATCAATCTTGATTGCCAAATATAGAACTCTGGTGCGTCAAATTTGAAATAGCTCATCGGTGACTGCGTCCACTGCCGCCACTCATCCATCGTCATGTCGCATGGTTTGACCATACTTTCAGGTTGACCCCAAGCACGCAATTCGCTCGGACCGAAGCTGGTTTTTACTAGAAAAGGCTTTAAGAATATGTTTTTGAAGTCAAACATATCCTGAAATAGAAAGCCTTCTGACCCATAGGAGATATTGCAAAAGCACTCGTAGCGTAAGAAGGACTCAACAAAGACCCAAGTAGCGTAAGGGGGAATTTCTGTGAGTGATAGACCTGCTTCCCAACCATATATTGACCGCTTTTTGAAAACATTGCAAAGTTCTGGTATTAGACCCGTTGCAGCTGCCAAGATCGGCAGGTGTGACTTCCATTGTGGTGGCGTCTCCATACAGTCTTCGGAGAGAATAGAGGTAAGGATGGGGTCAAGTTTGTTCTCGATGTCTGCTCTAGGCTTCCCTCTGAGTTCTGCTCGCAACTTTCGGAGTCGAATAAGCAGCATGAGTAGAGGAATGGAAGCTGGATGACCGTAGTGAATGTAAATTCGTGGAAGGTGAGATCTTATGATGATGGCGTGATCCGCTCGGAAGTGCTGCCATGCCGTGGGCGAAGCTCGCGTCAGCGACAATAACTCGTCTACACCAAGCAAGAGCATGATTTTAACGTTCATCTCTACGGGAAGTCGTCCGAAGGGATCGAACCCCTGAGGGGCGGAGTCTCTTTGTTGTGGCATTGTGGGTGATGGGCGGCGATGGGGGAACAAAACCTGGTGAAGAGCAGAGGAACGAAACGTTTATGGAGCTTTATATGAAATGTGTTTGATGACTCACATAGAGAGATAGTGTATATTTGACTCATACTTGGGTGAATGACGGAACGCAGGAGCCTTAAAGTGTGATATAGAGTTTCTCCTCGCAGCCGCAAAGGTTATCTTGACTCATGACAAGCTCACAGTGCCTTACAGCAAAGGTATCACTATAAGGAGACCCACAATTGATCCATTATCCATGTAATATATATATTTAATGCATGTCAATTCTCTCCAGCTTTATCTGTAAGCTAAGCTGAATAGGCTCTTTCCCTATCTCTTTACTATCCTTATACGAGACAAAAGACCAGTCGATCGACTGAACGAGATATCGAGCATCTCTAACGGCTGCTATCACAGTCCTGGTGTTTCATTGAGTGTTCAGGAAAAATCACTGAAACTTCCACTTCCGCGCGATATGTAACATTTCATCCAAGTCGGGATGGTGTGCCATTTTGCGGTCGGGCTGGGAAGCGACCACAGAAGCATATGCCTCAACGATGTAATCCTCCAAGGCTTCGGTCTTGAGGCATAAAAGACGAGTCAGAAGCATATTGCCTTGTAAGGCAAGGTGAAAGCAAAAATGTTTATCCTCACTCCGTTTCCTCTTGAGAAAGTCACAGATTTCAGACTGTTCTGTGGTAAGAGGTGATTTCTTGCGACGACTTGTGGTCCTGGTTTGCTTTTCACGAAGTGATATGTCCACAGACGTGATGAGCTCATCAAACCAATGTGTGAATTTATATGGAGCTTTGAAGTCAAACCTCGTGACCTCATAGGGGTCCCAGGTCATCCACTTATATGGCCCACGGCCGTGAACCGTTCGTCTATATGACGGCGCAAGATCGATTGGAACAAGAGCTTCTTCACCTGCCATCAAGGGCCCGAGAAAGATAGTTCTCAAGTTCCACATATCTTGAGACAAAAATCTGTCAGGGTGATAGAAGATGCAGCAGAAACATTCAAACCGTAGGAAGGATTCAGTAAATCTCCATTTCCCCCAGTAAGGTACCTTGTCGAGCTCCTTTGGAGAACTGTTCTGCCGGTGACCACGCCACCTAAAGAATACCTCTCTCAATTCAGGAATCATATTTGTTGCCATTACAGGCAGGTTTGACTCCCATCCTAACGGTATCTCCATAAAGTGCAGAGAAGGGATTGAGTCAAAGACAGGCTTGAGGTGGCTCTCAACCACGTCTCTAGATTGCCCCTTGACCTGTGACCGTAGTAATCGAAGACGGGCGAGAAGTCTAAGTAGTGGGATAGCTGCCGGATCGGCATAGTGATCATAGAAACGTGCAATATGTGACCGGATGATAAAGGCATAGTCTTTTTTAAAATACCGCCTGGCTGCAGGAGAAGCTCTAGTGAGAGAGAGCAAGTCATGGACGGTAAGTGACTCCATGATGTAGATGTTGATCTCCAGCGGGAGACAGCCGAAGCTGCCAAGCACCGGTGGAGTGGTCTCTTGTTGATGTGGCATCTTGACTGGGATGGAATAAAGCCTGCAAGGGGGAGAAGCATCTTTCGTCGTCTTGTCGCAGGCTTATAACAAAAGCATTTTATGACTCATTTTCAATACAGAAGGACGGTTTGACTCATTGTTGGTTGAATGACGGGATGAAATAACCTTAAGGTCTGTTATAGAGTTCTTGCTCCCAGGTGTAGAGGCTGTCATTGGGCGCACCGCGCCACAGGTGTAACTCACTTCTTATGTACGCCATACAATTGATTCGTGTAGATAGTTGACTCAATATTGGCAAATGAAACAATGTGAGGCAGCCAGAGGTTCTGACCCGTATCTGTACCAAAAAATGTCCCCTCATAAGAAGGTCATTAGAGGATTATTGAAGGAATTGGTCATGTCTCACATTAATCTGAACAGCCCCAGCTGTCACCACAAGAGTCTCCATACTTCTATGTAAGGTATTCAGTACACGGAGAGCAGTCCGAGTGGCCTGTACTGTCGTGTATCCCTTGTTGCATCATAAGCATAGGATAACATCGTCTTATTATTCCCTATCCCTTCGAAAGCTCCTTCAGCGACAATTAGCGGGTTCCGGCAACGTCCGACGGCCCTCTCCGCATCAATTTACCAGCAACCTTTGCACAGTAACTATACGTCAATTCGGTCGATCTATATCATGTGAGAGCTTTTTCTTGTCTGCATGAAGTCCAGCGAAGTATTCTTGGGTGGCCCCAACTAGTAAAGCGTGCCATCACTAATAACCAGGATCGGACTGCATTTGGTCTCGGGTCGCAGCTCCGCAGCCAAAAGCCGTCCAGACTTCCAACTTCCCGCCTCCAGCATCTGAAGAAGACTCAGACTGACTCCTCGGGGCTCGTACTTCTCCTTGAGCATCTTGTGAAGCTCGTCCAGGAGTGTAACAGTCAGAGAACGCCACTCAACGATGACATCATCAGAGGCTTCAAACTGCGGAAGCTCTTGTCCCGAGCTTTCCTTTCCAGCTTTCAAGTCGTCAGGCTTCAGCTTCAAGACCCCGAGATCGACGAATAATCCGCCGTTTCGGTATTCAGGCAGTCCGGTGCCCAGATGCATGTTCTCCCAAGTGAAGCCTAGCTGTCTCTCGAAGATGACGGAGAGCGAGTAGGCCAACCATTGAGTGAGCTTGTGGAATGGTTGAATCTTGCTCTTGGGGTCCTTATCGCCATTGCTGTCGGCGATTTCGGATAGAAGTTGGAGAGGCCATGCGTCTCCAATCGGTTGGCCATTAAAAACGGTGCGGTTTCCGGGCCACGAAGGGATGAGGAGGTCCTGCAAGCAGAACCAGAGCTGCTCGTAGTCAAGAGTCTTCGATCCGGAGGCCTTGGATGTGAGGTAGTCTAAAAGATAACGTCAGCCTCGAATATTCACTATCTGCTCGTGCTTACTCACCGACTAAGTTACCTGGGCGACCGAGCTCTCCGAAGACTGTAGGGTGCTTCAACAAATTGGAACCAACAGCTTGAAGTAGCTTCACCCGCGATGACACTCCAACCATAGGATTCTCAGAAGATACCTGGAAGTGCTGTTCAAAGCTGCTGTCTTGCAGTTCAATCAAACCCTTCGCTAGAACAGCCAGTTAGCCCATGGAGAAAAGAAGCTCGCACAAAACATACCGTCAACCTTCTCTTTCAGAGAACTGTCAGAGCTGAAAGATCCAGCTGTAAACATGTGAAGCGACGCCACAGCGATGCCCTCACTTCTGACAACAACCTGTCCAGTCTCAGGCTCTTTAAATCGCCAGACATCACCCGCTCCAGCGTCAAGAAGAACCGACACAAAGAACAAGTCGACCAAGCGTCGGGTGATCTCGGTCTGATCGACTCCATCTTCGCTTGACCATCGCTTCACGAGGGCATCGACGCGCGCGACGTCTCCAACCTCGAAATGCTGCCAGCGCCCGTGAGGAGGAATAGTGTCGTACTTGTCAGGACCGAAATCACGCTTGGGATTGATCGTATCAGCTCTGAAGGTATTTCTGATGATTTAGTATCACTTACATCGATCACTTTGGATACGTAATCAGCGACCGCTCCCATCCGGCCTTCGTCATAGTCGAAGTGCTTCAGATTCCCTTGCTTTGCTGATTCAAAGACCTTGGACGCTTGGTCTCGGACGGCTTGGAGGGAGAGAAGATACTTGAGGTCGCTATCCATTTTGAAATAAATTCGTGAGTGATTTCAGGGTTGAGTGTTTGTTTTGTGCTGCTTTGTTGTTGTAGCTGTTGGTTTAAATGCTGCTGATAAGATATGACAGATAACAAACAATCTTCGGCGGACTCCGAAAAGGCGGGGTTACGTCGAGGTGTTACAGGGCGGGTCAAGCACTATCCAATGGCTTCATCGGTCTCACTCCACTAAACAACAAACAAAATCTCCATGGATCAAATTTGACAACGATTGCACATGTGATTTCATGTGAAGTAGCTTACCATGGGCTATTACTGTAGCTTATATCACTTTTGAGAATTGTGCCCAGAAGGAGATAGGACGGTCTCGCCTCTGTCAGCATTTCAACCACAAAGTGTCAGAAGATACACGCCGCTATTCTCCCATCATTCATTTTGTGCAACTGGGCCACGTCATACTGGCGGTCTAGATGCAGCAAGCCAGCAAATGTCGCCGTGCTTTTGGAATAAAGGCAGGATAAATGGCTGAACAAGTATAATTATGTTAAAGAGGAATTAAATAGGCATTGAGTAGCCGTAGAGATGAACTAATTATCTCAATTGTGAGGTCCAATAAAAGCCTTACCCTGCAGAGCGAGGTGAGCCCAATGGATCCAAATCAGATTGCCACCAATTTCTATCTGCCCAACCCACCGCTAGATCACTTTCCAGCGATACTTGAGATGATACAAGAACTGTTTTAATCCTTATGATCGACAGCAGGCCCAACCTTTTCCGATACATAGTCACTCTCAAGGGCAAATTCTAGTGACAACATTAGCAAGCCTGTTCCGGAAACAGTCGAATAAGGGAATACTCACGGTCAGCTTTGGTATACTTGAACTTTCTTGCTGGTACTCCGTTCTCGAACAGAATGTCGATCTCACCAAAGGTACGGTCCTTTGTTTCGGGAAGACGGAACCAGCACCAGATGAGACAGAGTGCATTAGTTCCGGCGTAGAAAAGACCTGTCTTCGCACCCCAGCCCCAGCCTGGACTCATTGTTAGCTTTCTTCATATGGCCATTGTCTACCATTGCACATGGACTTACCAGACGCCGAAATCATCCTTGGCGTAACAGAGTTATTGAAGATGGCGGTTAGGTTATACACAAACCTTCCAATGACAATAGTCTTATACCTAAGCCGTCCAGAAGGAGTCTCAGCCACAATGGGATAGCACACCGGCCCAATGGTGATCATGTTGCAAAGAGTCGAGACCACAAACAGTAGGCCAATAGCAAGGTAAGCGTCTTTGCTGGTCGACCATCCGAGCGCTCCGATAGCAATAAGGCAGCAGAACATAAACACGAGGCCACTCATATAGATAGTCGCGCGTCCGAATCGAGGGAGGAGAACCCAGCAGATCATGCCGCCAATGATGTAGCATGCGGAGAGGGAGATGTTAAGGTTAAATGACTGGACTTGGGACCAGCCTGCGGCTTGGAGGAAGACGACGACGAACCCGAGAATGGCGTTTCCGCAGAGGATCTGGGCGGCCCAGACAACGCAGTTCTGTAAACAAGTTAGAGTGAAGCGACAAACAAGCGAAAAAGAGAGGTCTTACAATTTCGGTTCGACGGAGGTTGGTGCCCTTGAAGCACTCGAGAATCGAAGCTCCACCAGTCTCTGCCTTTTCCAAAGCAGTGGTATGTTGGATATACGCCAAGCTCGCCTCAATCTCTCCCTCTCTATCTCCATCATCTGATGCAAGTCGTCGGAGGGATGTCTTCGCGAGCTCGAGTTTACCACGACGGACGGCGTTCCAGGGAGACTCGGGAGCGAAGTACGCCACGAAGAATAATGGTACGGGCCAGACCCACTGAAGATAGAAGGGCAGCTTCCAGGCCAAGTTACCCTCGATGTTTAGGCATGCGCGGACGACGCCTGATGAGATGAGGATACCGAGGCCCCAGCACATGCAGACCCATGCGGTGACGTATGGACGGAGGATCGTGGGGACGACTTCGCAAGCGTAGGTAGTAGACAGAGTCTAACCGGATAATCTGTCAGTAGATTCATGAAGTAGAATTGGCTCGTGCTTACCTGGAAAACACCCCACGCAACACCGCAAAGTGCTTCACCAAACGCAAGGATAGACAGCGACGGCGCGAAAGCAAGAATGAAGATGGTGCCCACAAGATACGCCATGAAGACCATCATTGTAGTTCGAGCACCGAATTTATCTTGCGCCCAAGCGTTGATCAGAAGACCAGCCAATTGTCCTACTTGCGACGAGTTGGAGAGACCGGATTGCCAAGCAGGTGAGATGACCTTCTTGCCCTCTACAGCGCTGTACTCGCCGAAATGGTCTTGGAACTGGGTAAGACCGTAGAAGGATCCGAGCTGTCACAATTGAAGTTAGCTGAGGTCTAGGAGCTAGGCGTAGGTCTATTGCGTACCATCACCAGGTCATAACCCTCCATGACCAAGCTGATTGACAGGATCAAAGACCAGAATACAGCCTTTCTGTACTTCTTGAGGGCCTGGCGAATGGTGAGATCTCTGTCGGCGGCGTTTCCATCTTGAGCGCGTTGAATGAGCTGGATGGTGTGAGGGTCGCCGAGGTCAAGACCCTCAAGCGTGTGCTTATTCACAACGATGTTGTCTGTGCCCATGATTCCGACGTGAAGTTGTCAATGAATAACTTGTAGACCGCGGCTGGAGATCTATTAATGTTTAGGATTGCTGCTGCTGCTGATCTTCCGTTTTCAGCATGAGGGGTCGGCATCCCCCTTATAAGTCAACACTGTAAAGCGTCAACCCCATGGGGAACTCACCTTTGTCGCTTTGACCCCAAAGTACGTAGTGCGGAGAACCATGAAGTCTGGACCGTATTTGACATAATGTGGTGCCACAACTGCTGAAGAAACAGGGCCTAACGATAGCAGAACCAATTGGCGTCTTTCACAGACCAAGCCTCGTGGCCCATCCCACCGGAAATTCGACAAGACATGCCATCCCACCGCGAACTTTATTCCAAGACATTCATCTATCCCACCGGAGATTCGTCTAGCCATTGGGAATACTTGTAGAATTATATAAGCACTTTAATTGACTAAACGCGACGCATCATTAACGAAAACACGATATCCTTAGAATGATTCTAGGGAGACATTGCCAGCTACCTAGCCTAGGTCATGCTACTCCGGCATAATACCAAACCATGCTGCAGCCGGAGCCACCAAATCAAGATCGTCATCACCAGGTACCTTTGAAGCTGATGCCGACTCGATTTCCTTGTTCTGGTCATATCAGAGACGCGTGAATGTTATATAAAAGGAAGAAAACGGCAAACTAGTGGCTTGGAGGCGGCATATGGCGAAGTAATCTTGAGGTGGACTGAGAACTTGCGGCATAAGAGGCGACGGGTGCACCAATAATTTTGCTGATATTTAATAGAGCAGTTACTAGTATAGGTATAGCTAGTGAATCAGCGATCGTCAATGGAGCCACAGAATATGCTGGGAGTATTGAGGTGCCATAGGAAAAGGACAAGACTACTGTCGGGTGATATGCTGAGGGTGAAACGGGAAGTAAGATATGAGACAAGCAAGCCAAAGCCAATGTGACTATAATGTTACGTGATAATATATATTCGATTGCTGCTCTGGAAAAAGACAATCGCTGAGGTACCAACTAGTCTTCCTCCAACTTATTCTTCTTAAGATCCTGCGCCTCATGCTCAGCCGGGACATGACCGTCGAACACAGCAGCGATAGCTTCGAGACTTGGGCCCTTGGTTTCGACGAAGAACTTCCAAACAACAGCAAGCTCAATAGCAAGCCAGGCAACATAAACAAAATAGAACTTCCAAGCCAGTGCCTGAAGACCAATAGGGTTGACCATGGTGTTGATAAAGTTGCTCGCCTTTCCGAAGAACATGAGGAGCGAGAAACCTTTGGCACGAATGGGATAGGGAAGGATCTCGACAGGGTACGAGTAGAGGAGCGCGTTGAAGGCCAAGTTGTAGAAGAAGTAGAAGAGGAAGAGCATAGCAATGACGGCCTTTCCTGCGGCGGCGTTGTGATCTTCGTTGAAGAGACCGGCGCAAAGGGTCTGAGATGCAAAGATACCGAGCATGCCTCCCACAGAAATGAGAAACTGGGTTCGACGCTTCATGTAAGCGGTGAGGAATGCTGACGCGACTGAGGTGAGCCAGTTGAAGATCATGAGGCAGCCATTGAGAATGTTACGCTCGCGAGGATTGGTGACACCGACGGTTTCGAGAACACGAACAAGGTAATAAGAAACGAGACCATTGCCAGACCACTGACTGAAACAGCCAAGACAGACTAGGATAAATACTCGCTTCCGGTTGCCAGGTGATGTCAAGAGATCTTTCCAGCCTGTCTCATTGCTGACCTCAGCCTCAATGACATTTCGCATCTGGATAAACTCGAGCTTGACAAGTTCATCGTCCTCGTTCCCATTAGCATGCCACTTCACCAGCAGAGCCTTTGCTTCTTCACTGCGACCATTCGCGATGAGCCAACGAGGAGACTCAGGAAGAAGAAAGACACATGTGATGGGAAGCAGAGCTGGTGCAGCCTGTAGAAGAGACGGGATTCTCCACGCCCATTCACTAGGAATGCTAAAGGTTCCAAAGGTCACCCAAGCAGCGAGGATAGCACCGATGTACCAAGATGTCTGATATAGGGATGTGATGACTTGTCGTTCCTTGGGATGGGCGAGTTCACCGATGAGCATGGGGGCGTAGGCGTTTGCAAAGACGAGGCCGAAACCGATAATGAAGCGGGAGACGAGAAACATGGCAACTGAACACGAGTTAGATGCGTCAGGCAGTGATGGCTTGAATACTTACAGTGAACAGAAGCACCTTGGATGACGGCACCGATAATCATGATGACAGCGCCGACAAAGATACCCATACGTCGTCCCCAGCGATCACCGACCAAGCTGATAAAGGGCGTCGCGACGACACATCCGAGGGGGAGGATTGCAGACATGATACCAAGCAATGCACCGCGAGGTTGACCAAAGTCTGGAAGCTCTTGTCAGCAAAAGGTCTATCTCAGAACAGGCCTGGAAACATAGGCGACTTACAGTTATCCCAAGGGGGCACAGCTTGAAGACCAGACATCATACTTGCATCGAATCCCAGTGTGATAGCAGCTGCCAAACAAGTTGGAATGATGAGGAGATACAGCCGGAGAAGGTTCTTGTTCTGGTAGAATGGAGGCGCGGTGGCAACGAGTTCCTGGATTCTCTGGTCGAGGTCGAGGATCTGCTCGTCGACGATATGGCCTGCATCTTCAGCCATAGCGACGTCCGTTTTGCCTTCAAGACTATTCTTGCCCATTTTGAGATCTGGACGAGTTGAACAGAAGAAAAATGATGTTGAGCCAGTAATCGACGACTCTTAGATGAAACCTGTTGACCTTTAATATACTCACCGTTACAACAGGACGGGGCCCTCATGCCCCTGGAGTAGCATTGCACTGCGGGGATCCCCGACAAAAGTCTGCCTGACTCAACGACCCCACGGGGCTTGAGGTAGCATGGAGTCATCTCCACAGGCTGGGAGACGCATGCTTAGCGATATACGAATTTTCGGGCCGTACCCGTTGTTACATGACTCGTGCAACGGATGCTTCCCGTGCGATGCGTGAATACCCCTCATGCTCTTATGAGAGTCGCACCGGAGTTTACTACTTACTAGCTCGGTGCTAATTGTGTCAAACTTATTATCACGCTGAGCTATACTTGCCTCATGCCCTCTTATTACTGAGGTTTGAATGTGACCAATCCCAGTTACACCAAACCGACTACAGGTCAATAAACAATCATGACAGCCTCCAAAACCACCATCGACCTCATTTCCGAGCTCACACTGGACGAAAAAGTCAGTCTTCTAGCAGCCGTTGACTGGTGGCGCACACCAGCCATCAAACGAGACAATGTCTTCATTCCCCATATCAAAATGTCCGACGGGCCCAACGGCGCTCGTGGAGAGAGCTACGTGAGCGGTATCACAGCAGCTTGTTTTCCCTGCTCAACCGCCGTTGGCGCAACCTTCGACCAAGGTCTCGCATACCGACTTGGCAAAGAGATCGCGAAAGAGACCAAGACGAAATCTGCCAATGTTCTTCTCGCGCCGACTATGAACATCATCAGATCTCCGCTCGGCGGGAGAAACTACGAGACCTACTCTGAGGATCCGTACCTCATTGGGACTTTGGCCTCGGCGTTTGTTCGAGGCTGCCAGAGCGAAGGCATAGCAGCTACGCCGAAGCATTTCGTCGCCAATGAATCTGAAAAGTCGAGGACGAAGATGACGTCTAATATCGATCGTCAGACCTTGCGGGAGATTTATATGCTTCCCTTCCAGCTGGTGATGCGCGATTCAGATCCCTGGTGTTTTATGACCTCATACAACCGCCTTAACAGAGAGTATTGCGCGGAGAGCCACTGGCTACTAGAAGAAGTGCTGCGTAAAGAATGGGGATTCTCCGGTCTTGTGGTTTCAGATTGGATGGGAACATACTCAACTGCTCAGGCACTCAACTCTGGTCTGGATCTTGAAATGCCAGGCCCGACGAGATGGCGAGGACAGAAGCTTCTGAAGGAGATTGAAGCTGGTGCTGTGACCATGGAGACTCTTGACAAGAGTGTCAGTAGGGTCATTGAACTTGCGCAAAAGACTGGTCGCTTTGAAGATCCGGTTGAGAAGCCCGAGCGTTCGGTACAAGACCCAGAGTGTCTTGAATTCATCACCTCCATCGCAGCAGATGGAATGGTTCTCCTCAAGAACGACGACAACTTCTTACCACTCCCCCCAAAAGCTTCAGTGGCTGTTATAGGTCATCATGCTCTTCATCCCAGCATCGGGGGCGGAGGCAGTGCCAAGGTCTTGGCTCAGCACATCATCTCACCTCTCGAGGGTCTCAAGGCCCAAGGCGTCGACTGCCGTCATGCACCAGGCGTTCCGGTCTTTGGTGCCCTACCACACGCAGAACCAGAGACGATTTCGCCTGTTCAGCTGCGCTGGTTTAATAGCTCGGTAGTCGGTGAGAACGTCGCTCATGAGCAGACGATCGCGTTGCCTGAGTACATGATCAAGGAGGCTTGGCCTGCGTACCTCGACCAGGAGTACTGCACTAGTATGTCTTTTGCGCTGCGCCCAGCGACAAGCGGGAGTAATGTGTTTTCTGTCATCACAACGGGAAAGGCAGATGTGTTTGTCAATGGCGAGAAGGTCTTCCATCGTCCACAGGAGCCAGTCCTTCTTCCCGAGTCCTTCTACTTTTACAAAGCCAAGATTGAGCGACGCTTCACCCTCGACATGATAGCTGGCCAGGAGTACAAGATCGAGTTGCACTCTTGGGCGGCTGACCCGGAGGTGCTCTCCAAGATTGGAGGAACCATGTTTCAGGGCGCCAGTCTTCGCTTTATGGAGCACGTCGACATCCCTGGTGCTATTCAAGACGCCGCAGAGATCGCGGCATCTTCTGACGTGGCGGTTGTCTTTGTTGGCACAACGAATGAGCTTGAGTCTGAGGGTTACGATCGCGATACGATGGACTTGACGTCTCATCAATACACCCTGATCAACGCTGTGGCAGCTCGCAATCCTCGCACCGCCGTCGTCAATCTCTCTGGCTCTCCCGTCACAGTATCTCCCTTCATCGACCAGGTTCCCTACTTTCTCCAAGCTTGGTTTGGAGGTCAAGAGTGCGGCCATGCCATCGCTCGCGTTCTGCTCGGACAGGTGAACCCCTCGGGCCGACTGCCAATGTCATGGCCTAAGAGGAATGAGGATAACCCAGCGTATTCGAATTTCCCATGCGATGATAACTTGGAGCTTAATTACGAAGAGCGTCTGAAGGTTGGATACCGCTTCTACGATGATGAGGATGCTCCAGAGCCGCAGTTTCACTTTGGAGACGGGCTTTCTTACACGACGTTTGAGTTGGCTGGCCAGGTTAGTGCGAACTCCAAATTCGGTAACCCGGAGACAACAGAGACTTTACTTGTGTTGGAAGTCAAAAACACGGGGATAAGGGATGGTAAGCAAGTGGTACAATTGTATGTGAGTCCCCCGCCATGCGACGGGAATCCACGACCAGTCAAGGATCTCAGATCTTGCTGCAAGGTTTTTGTCTCCGCTGGGCAAACAGAGAAGGTTAAATTTAAACTGGGCAAGTACGCTTTTAGCTACTTTGAAGCCACAGTGGATAAGTGGAAGATACCTCAAGGCGAGTATCTTTTGCATGTCTGCTTCAGCTCCGCAAAGACACTCCAGACGGTCAGCGTTACGAATCCTGAAACGCAATACTGGACAGGGCTGTGAGGCAGCTGGGTTTTCTTTTGCGGGTTGTAGTTAAGCTGGCCAACTAGATAGAGGAAATATGAACTCGTCTCCAAATCCAAGACCACCATACGTTGGCATGCCGCCATCAAGACTCCAGTCCCAGTTATCCTGAAACAACGATGCCATGAAATCGACCTGTTCTTCCTGTACATCCGTGGTAGTAGGGATTTCTTGATCTCCGTTCTCATCGGGCTGTCCCTCGAGGCTGACGGATGGCCTTCGGGATGGCGCCCGGGATGGAACGACGGAGTTGCGTATTGCTAGAGAAGCGTCAGCGAATTTCTATCATTGAGTAAAACACCAACTTACAGAAATATGCAGACCGTGCTTGTTCCTTTAGAACAAGCAAATGGTCCAGATAACCTCTCGCACGGGCATTCTCCCTACCGAGAACTCGCAGAAGCACCATCGTGTTCTCCCACGTCGCATCGAGCTGCTGCTGGTTAAAGTGCTTGCTCCCCCCAACTTGAGCGCACTCCCCAAGAATAATTATACCGCCACACGTCATAAGATCTAATTGACACGTTCTTCAGTATCGCCACTACGGAGTTGACAGCAGTAAGACTTACAGAATAGACTGAACCACCATGCACCCGTTGCTTCGACTTCCCGTGCAGCTAGTAGGGACGCCGATAGCTCATACGCCACCTGAACACACGTAGTAGCGCACTGGGCCTGGAAAGCTCCCTGCAGGGTATTTGCTTCGGTAGCGACCTCATCCAAGCCAGAGCCCGTGCCGCGTCGTTGGCGCGAGCGCCTCGCAGCAGCGCAGAACGCGCTGAAACTTGGTCGGTACAATAGAATCCTGAGATGAAGAAACCTCGCCTGCAGAACGTTTCTCTGACGTTTTATAATGTGACCCCTAGCACCCTGTGTTCGAACAATGTCGTTGTCCCACCATTTCAGATCAGTCACTAGAGAGGTCTTGAAGTCTTCAAGTAGGCCGTCTAGACGAACGAGGGCGCTGAAGTCGGAGGATGAACTTGGCCAGTAGATCGATGACAGGATCTTGCCCAGGATCTTGGCTAGTCGTATATTCTCTACTACAAAGAGGTTTTGTGATACTATTCCTCCGGGTTGGATGCAAGAGTTAGTGTCTGGGCAGATGAACTCGTCGTCGACTGCGGCGGGGACGAGGACGTCGTCTGTCATTTGTAGGACAGGTGGTCTTCCCAGGGTCATACAGACTGTCCTAAATACCGTCAGCATATAATATGCCCCGAACCATCAAGGGAACTTACATCTCCATTTGTAGGCATCCGTACCAGACTCTCCGACGTACTTCATTCTCCACAACAGATCTCTGATCAGCATGCCTCTCCGTATGCAGACCCAGCCCAACAGCTATCCGACAAGCAAGACCGATGATATTATAGCACCGAATCGGATACTCGCTCGATAGTGCATAGTGTCCTGCGAGGAGCAAAGCCTGCACATGCGACAAGTCACCTTTGTCAAGAATGTCCGTCTGCAGTAAACTCCTCATCCTTGAGCTGAACAGGGCCGAGGCCGACTCCTTCTCCGGAAGATCTGAGAACTCGCATCCCAGAGCAAACATTGCGTTTAAAACACAGAAGAAGGATGTTTCCGGGCATTGGTCGCCGCCCACGCCAATATCACCAGCTTGGCCCATCTCCACTCCCGAATAGCCCGTTGACGTCCATAACGCCTCGTACCGTTTTCTGAACCACGTAGAATGTGTCCAGGGATAGAATATGTGCACGCTATCAAAGTACAGATTCAAGAACTTGTCTGCTACCTGTCTCGGCGGTAAAGCGAACTCGGCGGTAAGCAGCGATGTCGCGGAACTCCGGCCCCGGTTCCGAAGTGGGGCGACTGGCCGATGACGATCGGGGTGGGGAACCTCTCGGAGAAGGGAATGGAGGGAGGACTGCCCGAAAAATTCATCCTCTTGACGGTTGAGAGTGAGAGTTGTGGCGCCCATTGTACTCACGGGGCTTGGGCCGCTTGTTGTGACGTGGATTGTACCGGGTCTGGGGCTTTTGGGGGTGAGTTCTGCAGCTTGGCGGAGCTGGTCGATCACCAGTTGCATGTCCTGTACTTGTTTTTGCAGTGATGCAATGTACCTAAATCTGCCATCAACAAAGAAACAGTTACTCATTTAGATGGGCGACTTACTCTTGCTCGCTAAGCTGTTTTGCCGTGCCCGCAATGACAGTGTAAACGCATCTTGTCGCTGGTTCCCCTCTCTTCCTGCAGGGATTACACACAGGCTTCGACCCATCGCATTTGATCTTCCGTTCACGACAAGTATCACATGCCAATGCGACTCTTTTTCGCTTGGCCGGACGCGCTACTATTTCTTCTTCCTGTGCTTGCGGAATGTCCATTGCGAAGAATACAGCGGGGGGAGTTGATGAAGCCGAGATTGAGGGGAGGGTCTGCCTTTTACGGGCCGTACCCGGTGTTTTTCGGTTGGAATGGTATGGGGAACGGGAAATATCCGTTGGACACTATCCGCGTTTAGGTTAGAGGGTCATTTTGGGACAGGCTACCCGGGACTTATAATCGGCTCATGGCCCAAATGTCATGAATGGTCCCACCGAATGACTACAGGTGCTGATTTATATTTTTTTATCCCTTGAATCCGATTTCATCATGCTGAAGACACCATATCGTGCCCTGCCGGGGTGCTTGAGAAGACCTTCATCACAATGTGTAGTCGGCCTGGCGTCGAATAGTCTTTCTCGATTCGCCCAAAATTCCAGTAGTAGCAAATCAGAATCCAATGGTCAAAGTCGTACACAAGAACAGCGAAAGAGACCGATGTTTCTTGCCTCGGCATTATCTGCAACAGCAACAACCATCGGAGGAACATTGCTATACACGATAGTTAGCCATGACAAGCAGAAAGATGATGATTCCCGTTATGCAAGCCGAGCAGAGATGGAAGTGGTAAGCCAAAAGCAATAATGATGTCGACCAAAGAGTTCTAATGGAGAGATACAGGCGGTTGAAGAGATACGAAAAGCACTCGGAGAAGATGCAGTTAGCATAGAAGGTGAGATTCTCCATTCTCACGGTTACTCGGATTGGTCCACCATCAACATCGACAGGCTACCAGTTGCTGTCACATTTCCCAAGACAACGGAAGAAGTTGCTATAATTGCAAAGATATGTCACAAGAGACGCGTACCGATGAGTATGTACATCACCGAGAATGACAGAGCGAGCATAGCTGATGGCCCAAGTTCCTTATTCTGGCGGTTCAAGTGTTGAAGGCCATTTCTCCGCGCCTTTTGGCGGGGTGAGTGTTGATTTTGTCAACATGAACCAGATTCTGGAGATGCACAGCGACGAGTAAGTAAATTCACATGGGATGTCTCCCGTATTGGTGCTAAATACATAGCCTGAATGTCGTCGTTCAGCCTTCTGTTCCATGGATGGATCTCAATGAGAAGATCAAAGACACCGGTCTATTCTTCCCTATCGATCCAGGCCCTTCTGTAAGTCTTCCCATTCGACAAAAGTGTGTTTCTTCTTACACATATCGCAGGCCCAGATTGGCGGTATGGTTGGAACAAACTGCAGGTCAGTGCACTCAGCTGAGAAAAGCATCCAGGTCTAACAGTCTGTTAGCGGGACGAATGCTGTCAAGTACGGTACCATGAGAGACTGGGTAGTCAATCTCACAGTGGTGCTAAGCGACGGAACAATCCTCAAGACCCGACGACGACCGAGAAAGTCATCAGCGGGCTATAACCTGAACTCATTATTCGTGGGATCAGAAGGCACCTTGGGTTTCGTCACCGAAGCTACGCTGAAGCTAGCCCCCATCCCTGAACACACTGGCATCGCGGTAGTCACATTTCCATCAGTCAAAGCGGCAGCGACCATGGCCATCGAAGTCATACGTCGAGGCGTACCGATCAGCGCCGTCGAGATCCTTGACGAGGTACTTATGAGCGTCATCAACAAAATGGGTGCAACATCTCGGAAGTGGAACGAAGTCCCGACGTTGTTCTTCAAGTTTAGTGGCAGTGATGCTATTGTCAAGGATAGTATCGCACAGGTTCAGAGTATTTCCAAGAAGCATCATGCAAATGGCTTCCAATACGAAAGTGATCCGGAAAAACAGAAGGCTCTGTGGTCAGCTCGGAAAGAGGCACTGTGGAGCATGATGGCACTTCGAGAAACAGATGGACATGTTTGGTCAACGGATGTCGCTGTCCCTCTGTCCCGAGTATCCGAGCTCATAGGTCAGTTCGCCTACTCGATTGCTCCCCTTAGGGATGTCACTAACCTTGAATAGACATATCCAAGAAAGAACTTGTGGAGCTAGGATTATTTGGTAGTATTCTTGGACACATCGGCGACGGCAACTTCCACGAAACAATCCTATTTGAGGAAAAGCAGCGCAAAGAGGTCGAGGACTGCGTCCACAAAATGGTCTCACGAGCGATTGAGATGGATGGGACATGCACGGTAAGCGATGCAACCTAACTGTAAGTTGACATATCTAACAATAATGCCTAGGGTGAGCATGGTGTCGGGCTTGGAAAGAAGGAGTTTCTTCGGGAGGAGGTTGGGGAGGTACCGATTCAGGTCATGAGAGCTATTAAGACGAGTCTGGATCCGCTGTGGTTGATGAACCCAGGAAAGATCTTCGACCGCAAAGATTAGACTAATCAAAAGCAGAGGAATTGAAGATGAACTGTTCTGCGTGTTGCACTTTTTCGGATGGTCGGCGACACAATAAGCGGCCATACCGGCCGTGACGATCAGCAGGTCTCAGTCATAAGCGGCGACAGTAAGCGGCGTGTCGAGTGGTAATCTTATAACCCGATTCGTCACATTTTCATTCTCTAAAGACCCTTTCAGGGCACCTTTGTGTTGCATCGCTTACGGTGATCCCGCAATTCGAGCGGGCCGTACCGGGTACAGTAGAATTATTACTCCGTAGTGTCTGTCTATCACTTCCAATCAGCTACGCCGAGTCGTATTCATACCTTACAAGAAGACACACAAAATTGACTATATAATCTTGCAGGCCACCTAATATTTCACAGATTCAGAACAAACGTCAGAGTCTATCTCATCAATTCTGCCTTACACATCTATTCATAACGGCATACCTACCGTCACACAATGGTTTCTCTCCGTGACATCGGTCTTCTGCTCCTCGCAGCCCCAATCGCCATGGCAGCACCAAAAGTCCCTGCCGAAGTAACCGTCAAAACCCTCCCCTTCTCCCAACCCGCCGACACCTCCAAAGCCCCCTCATCCTCAGCTGTCGCCTCCCCCGCCTCCGACGCCGCCCAAAAGGCAGCATGTCAACTCCCCCTCCGCTTCACCAACTTCGCCCTCTACTCCGACACAGGCTGCCAGAATGTTATCTACGATCCCTTCATGCTCACCTGGGACCCGTGCAAGGGCTATCAGTGGACTAATGCGCTGGCGAATGGGGTTATCTTTCAGAGCATGAGATGGACTGGCGGGAGTAATGCGCAGGACATGTACGCTTGCCAGCAGGGATTTTCGTGTAATGCGAACGTTGCGAGGATTGTACAGCAGAGCAATGTTTGTTCGTCTGGTGGAGGGTTGCATTTTGATAAGCTTGCTGTGAACCCTTAGATGTTGATGGCGATAAGACGATGTTGCTAGCCGGTATGAGAATGGGCTTCAAGAGTGCAAATACATTCCTTTATAAATAATAGGCCAATTAGGTGCATGAGATGCGACCCACTCTCGCAAATACTTGCCCTGCTTTATTTGCCAGCCAATAATCTGGACTCTTGATCCCCTCGGTTTGCTTTGTCATTCGGTCGAGTATCGGACGAACCTTGACAAGAGCCTTGAGTTGATGTCATATTAGAGCCAATTGAAGCACAATATGACAAATTGTTCCGGACAGAGTTGCATTTAAGGGGCTTTTATATAAATCAAGGCACAGCCCTGATCCTTCTTGTAGCTGCCAATGAAATCAGTATTAATACTGAATTATTGTCCATCGATCAGCTATCGTAGATTCTTTACAGCATGTCTCATACAATAAAGCCCAATGTCGCCGCCGTTCTCCCCGTCAAACAAGGCCGACTGACAGTCCAAAAACGTCCAGTTCCAACCCCCAGGGAGGGCGAACTACTGGTCCACAATGCTGTCGTGGCTGCAAACCCCTCAGACTGGAAATTCCAGACCTTCGGCCTCTCCAACAACTTCCCAGCCGTACTTGGCAGTGACCTCGCCGGTGTCGTTGTATCCGTTGGCTCTGAAGTAACACGCTTCAAACCAGGCGATCGCGTCATCGGCTTTGCGCTAGGTGTTATAAGCGAGAACATCGACAAAGCAGCGTTTCAGACTTACACCCTGCTCGATGAAGTGGCGACAGCTCATTTACCCAACAACATCAGCTTTGAGGAGGGTTCCGTACTTTCTGTCAGCATACTCACTGCGTCTATCGCGCTGTTCGACGGGCTCGGGATACCAATGCGGGAGAAGACTGATGAGGAAGATGGAGTGATTTTGGTATGGAGTGGTGCTTCGGCTGTAGGTGTTTCGGCACTGCAGATAGCACATGCGCTGGGATGGAGTGTCTACGCGACTGCAAGCCCAAAACATCACGGGTGGCTCAAGACATTGGGGGTGGAGGACGCATGGGACTATCGTGACCCACAAGTCGCGCAGAAGATAGCTGCAGCCTTGAAAGCTTCTGGAACAAAGATCCGCGGTGTGGTGGATGCCAGAGCTGAGGGAATCTCCTTCGATTCGGTCGCGGATATACTGACCGTAGCTGATCTGGCACCAGTGTGCAAAGCCACTGCGCTGATGCCGTGGCCGGAACGAATAGCGCTGTCAGCTGGTATTGAAGGACACCATACCAACTGCGTGGAGTTCACCGTCAATTATCCAGATATAGCAAGGTGGGTTTTCGGCGACTGGTTGTCCAAGGCTCTCGAAGACGGGAGAATTAAGCCTGCGCCCAGGGCTCGTGTTATAGATGGTGGGTTGGAAGCGACACAGAAGATGCTGAACCTTCTTAGAGCTGGGGCAAGTGGCGAAAAGTTTGTCTTGAAGGTTTAAATCATCCACTGTCACAGCAGCGAAAGCCAGCTAGTGTATCTATCTGCTATCAAGAGGCAGATGTGTCATTTGTTCTGAATTTTAGTCCCTTATACATTTTGATTTTAAATCGCCACGTCCAATACAGCTGAGACGCCTCTATCCAAACTCTCAACCGCCCCAACCAATGCACTCTGAAACTCCTCAACATTAGCAACTCTCGCGCCAAAGATGACCCCATTGCTCGCAGCCTTCGCGATACCCGCATAATCCGGGCTCGGCGCAAACGAAATATTCAACTCCTCATTCGTCGCCCTCGAAGCAGGTCCATCAGGATGAACCAGGAGCATAGATCTCTTTGGCGCATTCCATCCAAGGTTGTTCAACACGATGGTGAGAACGGGAATACCATAACGAGCGGAGATCCAGTAGACACTTGAAGGCACAGAGAACATGTATGACCCGTCGCCTACGATTTGCACAACGTAGCGTTTGCGCTTACCGGGAATGAGAGCGTCTGCTGCGTCAGCGGCGAGTTTGATACCTAGTGCACCGCCGCCGCTCCAGCCGAGACCGCCGCCGCCGCAGTGGATCCATTGGCCGGGGATGGTGGCACGGATCTGATCAGCGACGGAGATCATGTTTGTGATGGCCTCGACGGCCCAGATTGTGTCTTCCGGTAACTTAGCGCGTAGGGTTGAGCAGACGTAGTCTGTTGTGAGCTTGCCTGAGTCCAGAGGCTTGGCCTTCGCATCGAGCGTCTGGATACGCTCCTTGTACGATTTCTGAAGGGCTTGCTCCCGAAGATCAAACTCAGAAGTAGCAAGCTTCTCAGACAGCGAGGCCCGGAGATAATCTGTGATCTGCCTCAGAGAAGTCTCGGCATCAACACGATATCGCTGCTCAGCATCAATATAAAACACCAACATGCTCTCCTTCAACGGATCAACATCAAGATGAAAGATCCTCGCGTTACTTCTTGGCTTGCAAAGCTTGTTAATCCACGGGACATCACAGTCCAGGATAAGAAAAACATCCGCGCTCTGAATCGCCGAGTCAACGCCGTATTTCATACCCAGCCAACCAGGGTGATCAGCAGGGAAGCACATATCCGAGCATCCCGTATCAAGAACCCTCAGTCCTTTAATAGTATTCGCCAGCGCGACAAGAGGTTTAACAGCTGCATGGTTCCGGCCTGTGAAGCCGACGATGACGAGTGGGTCAGACGCGTTGACCAAAGCTTCTGCAATTTCCTGCACGGCTTCTTGAGGGAGAGCTGCAGGTGCAACAGGTTTCCAGAAGGCGGAGTTGATGGTGTATGGCTCGATTGTTTCCTCCATGACTTCACGGGCGCCCATGAGATATGAGGGTCCTTGGGGATGGCTTGTTGCGAGTTGGAGGGCGCGACGGACCATTTGCTTGACGTTTTTTCCAGTCTTGATTTCTCCGACATAACGGCAGTACTGTGAGACAATTTGCTTCTGGTCGGGAACATCTTGAATCCAGTGGCTATAATTGTCGGTCAAAGCTCAGTAACATGTAAGGATGGACTTACATAAATTCAGTCCTCGAACCAAGGAGCTCTCCCTCAATCGAATAAGGCGACAGTCCAGCAAAGATCAAAACTGGCGCCCTTCCCATAGCAGCGTTGTGAATAGCCGCCGCAAGAGCAGAAGTGCCTACATCAACGTGCACAATAACACATTGCGCCTCGCCGCTCAACCTGGCATATCCATCTGCCATGGACAGCGCAACCATTTCATTTGGACACGTGATGATTCTGGGAAATTTATCTTTCAATTCCCGCTGGCCTCTGACCATAGCCTCGAGAATACTGGGGTGGTCAGACCCGAGATTGACGAAGCAGTTCTTGACGCCTGCTTCGACCAGGGCCTCGAAGAAGGCGAAAGATGTTGTGCACCTGCGCTACGTTAGTCCTGCGTAGTATCATCTTGGTGGGTTACGTACATGCCGGGCTTTGCTGGTGCAGGATCCGTACGATCTGATTCTGTGGTTTGAGCCTCTAATCTCATTTTGTCACAAGTGTAAATTAAAGTGGTCGATGGTTTGGGTCAAATTCATGAGGTCTTTCTTGACGTTTAATGTTGCAATGCGGGATCCATCCGAAGAGGAGTTCCCCAGTCACGGTTGGTACCCGAGCGGGGGATCGGCTCTGGCAACTGACTTCGGCAGTGGAAGCGTGATCCCCACTTGCGGCATCACAACAAACCCCGAATCATGACCATGAAAGCGAAACAGGAGATGAGGATTATTTACATCTGATATGTCCTGTAATGATATTATCAGACTTTGAATTACGCATTATTGTATGGATCATCGCCATGCTCGCTCGGCTGTTCCTCTACATCATTACTGAGTCAAGCTTGTAATTCCGAAATCTCCGAATGATTCACCACAGCGTTCATATGGATCGAATCCAAATTTCCGGTTCGTGCCCGACCTCTAGAAGCCAAGAATTGTCTGCGTTGTAACGCATCCTTCAGCGCGCTAGAGGTTGGAGTACAGGGGTTTTCGTAACCGACGCACGCTTGGAGATACACATCCTCCTGGGGACTTGAGCTAGCTCGGGTATCACTCGTCAGAGCATAAACAAGATGTATCCCGCCTCCAATCAGACAACGAAAAGTCGTAGTCGCGGATTTAGCCACATGGGCAGTCGTCTAGCCGTTTGGCTTTCCCGGTCAACCTTAACAGTAGCTACCATTCGATTATCCTACCCGGAGTTCGGGAATGACCCGGGCCATTGTAGCAAGATGTATAATGAAGTATTTGGAATACGAGCCAAGATAGGCTATGCCGCTATCTCACTTCCTCGGATCTGCATGTAACCTGTTTATGATGCTCTGTATGGCCTTGCTACAGTACCCCGGAATTTCTCTTCCATCCCAGTCCCCCCCCGCCTCCGCACCCCGCACTTGGCTATACCTCTTCAGTGCGTCGATCTGGATCCTTTCGTCCAATACTAGAGACTCGAGGCTATCAATTGCTGAGTCGAGACGTAGGCCGCTCATTTCCATAAGAAGGAGGCATGCACCACCCTCCTCAATCCGCATCACACAGCCCAGCACCATCAATCCATACTCTCCTCTTTCATCATGGCTGACCTCAACGAGAAAGCTGCCTTTGACCATGCTTCCCTCAAGGGTGCTGAGTCCACTGCGGAGCAGACACCTGAGGAGTCAGAGGCTACCAAGAAGCTTTTGCGGAAGTGTGACTCTCGATTGCTTCCTCCCCTGATGGTCATCTATTTCCTCTCCTTTATGGATAGAACCAACATCGGTATGCCACCATGACGATAGACTCGCTTGGAAGAATTGAAGTTGATAAGATGATCTTTGAATCTAGGCAACGCAAAGATCCAAGGAATGACAGAGGATCTGAAGATGACTGGTGTCGATTACAACATGGCACTCTTTGTTTTCTTTATTCCCGTATGTCGATCGATCCGATATAGACATACCACATTCTGACTCGAACTTTGCAGTACATTATCTTCGAAGTCCCGTCGAACATCATAATCAAGAGAGTATCACCTTCCCTTTGGCTGGCGGGAATCACCGTACTCTGGGGTATGTTGCAGTACTCCAACTACACCGCTTAACAATTGGCTGATCATAATAGGCATCTCAACTGTCGGGATGGGCCTCGTCAAAAACGTCCAAGGCCTTATCGCTTGTCGCGTACTTCTCGGCTTCTTCGAAGCTGGCATCGTCCCGGGCTGCATCTATCTTATCAGCATGTACTACAGACGCTATGAAGTGCAATGGCGCATGTCGTTGTTCTTTAGCGCTGCCATCTTGGCGGGCGCCTTTTCTGGCCTTTTGGCCTTTGCGATTGCCAAGATGCATGATGTCGGTGGCCTTGAAGCGTGGCGCTGGTATGTCTCTCGACCCTCGATGGCTACAATCTCCTAATGGCTTGAGCAGGATCTTTATCCTCGAGGGACTTCTCACGGTAGTTGCCGGTGTCATTTGCAAATGGTGGATCCCCGATTGGCCAGAGACAGCTTCGTTTCTGAACGACGATGAGCGATCTAGACTTGTGGCTCGACTGGCTGATGATTCTGGCGATGCCAGGATGGACCATCTCAACAAGGCAGCCTGGAAGAGAATCTTGACTGATTGGAAGATTTATCTCGGCACTTTGGCCTACTTTGGCATCGTCAATAACGGCTACGCTGGCTCGGTAAGATCAATTCCCAATGAAACATGAAGAGCGCTGACACTGACTTTCACAGTTCTTCATTCCTACCATTCTCCGTGAGATGGGATACGCCGCCGAGCGCGCACAAGTGCTCACCATCCCGGTATACATCGTTGCAACCATTGGCTGTCTCTCATCCGCATACCTCGCAGACCGTATGCGTCATCGCTATGGCTTCACCATGTTTGGTGTCGTGATGACCAGCATCGGCTATATACTCCTTCTCCTCCAACACCAAGTCCCCACTGCAGCACGATACTTTGCGCTCTTCCTTCTCGTCACAGGCGGCTACATCACACAGCCCGTCGTTCTCGGATGGTTATCCAACACAATGGGCGGACATTACAAACGGTCCATCGCCTCCGCTTCGCAAGTTGGCTTCGGTAATCTTGGTGGTATCGTTGCTTCTAACGTATATCTTACACGTGAGGCTCCTGAGTACTGGACTGGCCTGGGGGTCAGTCTTGGTATGGTGTGGATTTGCGGTATTTCGTGTACAGCGTTTTACTTCCTTGCTATCAGGGAGAATAAGAAGAGGGATCGTGGGGAGAGGGACCATAGGCTTCAGGCTGCAGATGCTGATAACTTGGGTGATGATCATCCCCATTGGAGGTATGCGACTTAGCTAGAGAGAATGTATTGATGTTTTCCCTTCATAGATATGGCTGAATCCTATCAGCCTGAATTATGACCCCCTATGAGCATGGCAAATAAATTGTGTCTATGTACCAAGTATTGGTTAGTGATGGTTGGCTGCTGATGGCTACCTTTCGCCGTCCATTATTGGACTTATCAGCCCCGCCCACTGCCTTTTGGGGGCCCTTCAGGCTTTGTAATCCCCCTCTCCAGGCTAAACCTCAAGATAATTAGCCAGGTCAGTATTGGGCTCATTCCAACTCAGGCCTACTTTACCTTTATACACCATGCACTTGGCTGCGCTGCCTCTACGATAATGGACTCAACCGATCAAACTTGCGAAAGCCTTGGTATTCTCAATCGCCTACCCCTGGAGCTTTTGAACCAAGCCATCTACATTCTTCCTAACGCCGACATCAAGAATCTCCGCCTGGCGTGCTCTTATCTCAGGAGCATCTCTCTTCAACGTTTTAACCGGGTCTTTATATCTGCCAACTTACGCGACATTGAGGTCTTTACCTTGATTGCGAACCATGATACTTTTCGGTTCAAAGTCACCGAGATCATTTACGATGATTCACGCTTTGATCATTCTTGGGGGAGACGGTTTGTCGAGATGAATGAAGACTTGAAAGACACCACACAAGTGCTGTACTGGTTCAGAAGGGTTTACAGTTCCATCGTCGAAGCGATTGACGGCGGGGAAGAAATTTATCAGGCCATGCCTCATATCAAGGAAGCTTTCAAGACTCGCTGCACCCTAGCTGAGTCATATGAAGTATATCGCAAGCTTAAATCACAGCAAGACGAAGTCCTTGCCTCGGGCTGGGACGCTGAGGTTCTGAGATATGGTCTGTCGCGGTTTCCAAATCTAAAAAGAGTTACCCTCAGTCCTGCTGCGCATGGAATTCATGGAAGGCCGCTATATTACACGCCTACCATCAGATCTCTTCCGCAGGGCCTAATATACCCTCTGGAACGTGGTTGGCCCATGCCACCACCATTTGAGGAGCATCCCCTCGCGCCTTGGGATGAAACATCAAAGCAAGAGTGGCGTGGATTTTGTGTCGTCACGAAGCAAATCGCTCAACATATTCGTGAGAACCCGACGTTTGACCTCGCTGAGCTTGTTGTGGAAAGCCGGCAGCTTTGGACAGGAATTGACTGCCGTCTGTTTGAGAACCCAGCCAGTGATGAATATCACGATCTTGTCACCATCCTGAGTCACCCTCCGCTAAGACGTCTGGAGTTATCACTAGCCTGTAGTACTGAGCCCAGGCAAAACTGGCCTTCTTTCCGTTCCGGACTCCTCTTTAGAGCTCTGAGCAAAGCAAAGAACTTGCAAAGTATTCGTTTCTATACTAGCATTCCTTTTGTAAGCAGGAAATGGCACGACTTTGTGGATGGCGAACAAAATGGTATGCCTCTGCGGAGCATATTCTCAATCAATGAGTGGTGTAATTTACGTCACTTTGCCCTTTCTCGATCTTTTGTCAAACAAAGAGATGTTATGGCCTTCATCTCTACACTCCCAACCTCACTGGAGTCTCTGGAGTTGAGCTTTCTCAGCTTCCTTCCCCGCGAGGGAACTTACAGGGACTTGTTACAGGACATGCGCTGCAACTCGGGGTGGAGGGAGAGGCTAGTGCGTTGTCAGCCAAAACTCATTGTATTTGTTGTTGAGACTGAAACAGCAACGGATGGTGCCGCGGTAGACGTCAGCCGTGCTGTAATGGACTACATGTATAACCACGGAGAAAATCCCTTTGTAGAGGATCAGATTATGGAGGTTTTGGATGGCAAGGGGACAAAATCAATTTGCTTGATCCGGTGTATGACGAGGAATTGCATTACGACAAGATGACACCAGTCTAGTAATTGCCGCTCATACTTAAAGAACAATGCACCAGTGTCTCTATCATCTATCTTACAGTCCAACGTACATTTATGAGCCTGCCAAGCCTCGACAATCTTGCAATTCATATTGCGACACATTCTTGTCCACTCCACATCACGTTGTCTAGTTGAAACGAATGTCTCCCTTTGTCACGATACAGATGAGTACTCCGCATATGACAAACTTCAACTCAGGCCGAATGCATTTTAAGCCCAATTACAGCTGTTCGACTGTCGATGTTATTATCCTTATAGCTTTGCATCGTAAGTATCCACACAACAGGAATCGCAAGTGATGGCTTTGCATACCTCAAGGTCGCGACTGACCCAGTCTCAAATTGGATATTGATAGGCGCATCAACCGGGAGATGTGCCCAGACTTTCCAAAGACATCGAAGGAAAGTACCATGCCCGACCTGTTTTTTCATATTAGCCTAGTGATTTGCGGATGGTCAAAGATAGCATTTGGTAGACTCTTAAAGACGCGACTGCCTTGGGGTAGCAAAAACGTACAACCATGACATTCCCACCATTCTCATCATCCATGTAGTCTTTTTGGATGTCTAGAATAGAGGAAATCACATCCCTGGCGCGTCGTTCGATATCTTGTACTGATCTGAAAAACAAAAGTAAGAGTTAGCGATGCTTAAATAGAAGGATGCAACCTTACTCTCCATCCTCACATCCACCAGTCCAGATTGACCACTTTGTTGATGGATCAAGTCCCCGTTTTGCTCTTAAATCCCTAATCTGTTGAGTCGTGAACCCTTCGTAATCTCCATGGTCCCATTCTCTTAGATCCTCCGTAAAGGTGGCTCTTTGCCTCAATTCTGGGTGCTTTTCGGTAACGAGTTCAAAGGTTTCTCTGGCTCGGATTCTTGGGCTCACAAAGATATGCACAAGGCGTGATGGATCGATTAGTCTGTTAGGACCGACAAAGCTATCTCCAAGTGCAATCGCTTCCTTCTTCCCAGCCTCTGTGAGCTCTATATCTGTTTTGCCTGTATACTTTCCGAGCTTCGACCATTCTGTCTGTCCTATTCTCGAGGCAGACTCGATCATTAGCGACGGTAAGCGACAATGTTGCAGGCTTTGATATCCGACTTACCGTGTCTAATGAGAAATACGGACGGCGCCATTGTGGCTCTATTGTGGTAGCGAAACTAGTCTCGCAATGTGTACATGGGTAGAGCGATTAATGATTAATGAGGGGTTGAGTTACTTGTAGGCGGTAATAGGTGGCAAAACGCCCAGATGACTGCGCAGTTAGTCAGGCAACGGTCGGGGACTGGGCCGCTCTCCTCAGTCCTTCACGGATGGGCGAATCCAGGATGTCACCTTCTACTAATCACACAAGCTAGTTACACTCCTCTGTTGCGCCCCTCATATTCACATCTGCAAGTAGTCTTGATATGATCCCAGGCCCATACCGTCAAGAAAGTTCCGATGTCGAAACGCAACCACGACCTATATTCTAAATGTGCCACGAAAGTCTAATGTACCTTCAGCGTCGCCAGTTTCACGTACTTCCTTTTTTTCACAAGGTGATTTGTATTCAGTAACACAACTCATGTTTTTATACATAACAACAATCTCATTGCGACTAACAACCATTCGAAAACGACCGTCAAGCTACTAAATGAGCTTTAAAAGGAACGCGACGCTTCCGCAGAAATTCAAGGAATATATCAATGAAAGAAATAAGGCAAACGATAAGACAAAAAGGTTAATAAGACCAACATGAGGGATCAAGAAGCCAACCCTATTTACAGATACAGCGGCGACGGCCGAAAAGCGACCGGCGTCCATACCCATGCAGAGAACAGTTGTCGTCGAAATGTCTTGCAGTGGTTGAGGGCTGAGAGGCAAGGCTAGTCTCAAGCTGCTCAATCTTGACAGTCATAGCATTCATCTTGTCAAGAAGTTCGCTCTCTCTGTCCTCTCCAGCGGATATCTTTCTGCCATGTCCACTATAGTTTGAACTGAATAGTATTAGATCGCCTGTCTTGTCATTTCGAGGTGATACCTACCCTGCGGTTGTGTAGGAAGCAGTATTGCCCTTCCAGCTAGAAGGGCTAGAGTGGGGAGACTCATCGCTCTCATCGTCGTCGATGTTCTCGTTGAAGGAACATCGTCGTGAAGAGCAATTGTACCATGCACTTGGTACAGGTCCATTGCCTTCATTTCGTCGACTATGATGACCGCATCGACAGCGGGGGTTAGTAGGGAGGATACCCAGCATGTCATCCCAGGTGATGAAGCGACGTTTATGGCCGGCTTGACAGTAGTAGTAGGGACGACCAGCAGTAGCACTTCTTGTAGGATCAACTCTGCCGCGTCTAGGCGTGTTGGGGCATAGAGGGCAGTTTGGAGGCTGGACAAGAGGGAACTGGGGGGACGAGGTGTGTTGGGAAGGGTAGTAGGCTTCCATTGTATGAGAAATGTTGCTTAGAGGGTTGTATGGTTGTATGATGGTAGTTGGGAATATAGTGTTGCTTGTGATAGTGATCCAGGACAGCATGATAGCGCCTTTAAATGCTTTTTACGAATGCTTCTCGACGCGGAGTGATGTGTTTAGTAATACGTAGACATCGACCGCAATGCTATTCTTGATCACTAAAGACACTCATTTGTGGTCAGCTTGGAAGGCCGCGAGGCTGATTTCAACAATGATATAATGAAGAAAGCATGGCCCAGACTCCACGCATGTTGCAATGAGCAGATATGCGTGTCTCATTCTCTGCCATTGGATCTAAAGGCTTCGAAAGTATTTTCAGACACTATGTATCATTGACCTGGTTCCCGAGTGCCAACATAACTTCTTTACCTTCTTGCCTACTGTAGCTTTAGCTTGTTAAATGTCCAGTCTACGTTTCTGATTTTAGCTCTCGTCTTCAACACGTACTGCTCGCTTCGCCTCGTCGCGCACCAACGCCAAGTGTCTCAGGTTTACCGAAAGCAGTCACACCGCAATGTCAATCTCCAAGCCTCAAAGAATACTGAATTCTGATTTGAGGATCCCATTGCCTCAACTGAAAATGGGATCGAACTGCAGCCATCGGCATCTTCATCATCCACTGAGAGGTTCGTCGTAACCGCTAAACGAAACTCGACCGACATGTTTTCGTTTCCAATGGCGAATCCTGAATTCCAGCTTTCGGTGCGGCTGAATATTTGTCTGCATATGGGTTACTCGCTATGAGTTGGGCGGCAAACGGTTGGCTCTCAATCGTCGGCCAGAGTTCAGCTGATGAGGTTGACCAATCGACAGTATCTTCATGACTCTGTTGGCCGCGACCGTTGAATTGAGCGTTTATAATCAGTAATAAGCTTAAAATACACGACAGATGACGTTTTATTGAATCCAAAATGATGTTTCTCATTGGGCAACAAGTCTGTGGCTTAACCTGCATATGCGACCTCAAATTGGATATCAAGTCTACCGCTGCTTTACCATAGATGCCGGAACCTAATTGCGCCTGTGTCAATTAAAGGTGCTTCCTCTTGCGACTTTCAAGTTTTGTATTGCCTGGCTCCTCCGTTTACTTCGCGCATGTCTTTGTATTACATCGTCAAGGCTGGGTTTCAACTCAGCCAGAACTATCACAAAGCCTCCAGCCACGGGACAACGGGTAGATGTCGGAGACTTTCGACATAACAGTGCATCCCGATCATTCCTCCGACCATCCGAGGGGACAACTGACTGTCTCGATAATGTCAGCGCAAGAGGGAATTGTCTGAGTTGACAAGTGATCGTGTAAATAGCGCAACACCAACGCATAGACCCATGTGATAAGGGCCGTTTAGCATCGACAAAAGTTCATGAGTTATACCTAGCTGTAATAAATGGGTTGCTGCATATCATTGCCGTGTTTGTAGCGGACAATTATTGCGAAGCAGTTGCACGGCATCTTTATGCCGAACTTAGCGCCGATCGCGACTGATAACAGAATAGCATGGATATTCATGCATGGAACTGTCGTGTCAAGATCAGAGATCATCAGGGTCTGTTCATCCTCAAAACCTAAGTTAAATGCCTAATTCTTCTCTTTGCAAGTCCAGATGATCTTTTCAAGTGTTGAAGTTCTAGATATAACGTAATTACTTCCTACGTTGTAGCTGTCGGAGATTCAACCCCTGTCATTTTATACGGCACATCACGCCAACTCCCGCAGACCAGCTGTAAGAGATGCCGCTTAACATCCGGCCTCGGCGCACTTACCAGATCAAGGTTGATTACAATCAGGTCCTAGACTCAACTGCCCCCCAATCATCTCACACGAAGCCGCGGATATGCCCACATTCGGAAGCCAGGCTGCATCAGTGATAGCGGTATTATAAAAGGTTCCTTTCAGATAGGCAAGTGGTATAAACCCCGATAGACATGACTGCCGGGGCTAATGGTGAAATTTCCAGAAAAGGGAGGAGGTTTTGCGAAACTGCAGCTATAGAGATGTGATAGAATATTCCGCACTCGCGATACACATTAGTAGTTGTGGACTTCGCAGCTGATTATACGGAAGAACGGCATCGAGGATATCTGGATCTAGGGACCTACGCTTTGAGGAATAGTCGATTTGGACGAATGAGATAGATAGTAGAGCACATAGAAAATACTATACTCGCAAAATCTATATAAGTCTAAGGAAATGCCAAGAGAAAAGAATATCCAGAAGAATCAGAAACAATCAAGCTCATCTCATCTCTTCAAGTCCACCACTCTCAACTCAGCCTTCATCATGAAGTTCACTCTCTTCCTCGCTGCCGCCAGCCTTGCCCTCGCTGCTCCTGGCACCAAGCTCACTCCCCGTGACACTTCCCCCGTCGTCCCTCGCTCTGCCCGCCGAGCCAAGTACAGCTCTCACCCCAACCAGAGACTCGTCTCTCTCTCTGACGCTCGCACCAAGAACGATCAGTACTCTGGTAACTGGGCCGGAGCTGTCCAGATCGGCAGCGGCTACAACAAAGTCCAGGGCACCATCACCGTCCCCGAGGTCAGCGGTGCCGACGGCGCTGCTGCTTCTGCTTGGGTTGGTATCGATGGCGATACCTGCCAGACTGCCATTCTTCAGACTGGTATCTCCTTCTATGCCGATGGATCTTTCGATGCTTGGTATGAGTGGATTCCCGACTATGCCTACAGCTTCAGCAACTTTGACGTCTCTGTCGGCGATCAGATCCGCATGACCGTTGATGCTTCCTCCAAGACCAAGGGAGTTGCTACCCTTGAGAACTTGACCACCAACCAGAAGGTCACTCACAGCTTCACCAACACTCCTTCTACTCTCTGCGAGACCAACGCTGAGTGGATTGTCGAGGCTTTCCAGGAGGGCGGTAGCCAGGTTGACCTTGCCGACTTTGGCACTGTCACTTTCACCAACGCTGTTGTCTCCGGAACCAAGGGTACTTCTGGTCCTTCTGGAGCTCAGATCATTGACATCTCCCCTGACCAGGGTCAGACTGTCCAGGCTGTTGGTTCTATCACCAGCAACTCTGTTACTGTCAAGTATGTTGGTAACTAGAGAGCTAAGAAGGGCTCTAGCTTGATTTTTGACTGGAAATGATGCGGATGAGTTACATGAGCTAAGATGAGGAGATTTGGGTACATATTGCAGAAGTCATGGAGATTAAGAGGTTGGATCGAGTTAGTACTTCAAAGTATATATAAATTGGATCAAGTACATTTCTGAATTCTGACACCAAATAATTTTATCATGCCACAAGACGGCAGTAGGAGGAACCAAGCTTGCTTCCAGATCCAGCGTTCTCACTCAAGAAGAGGTATTTGTCTTTAAATAGAAGCATCTCATAGGAGCTCTAAGTCTGGACATCTGAAGGTCGCAGATAGTACAAGGTGTAGAGATAAGCTCTGTGGAGTTTGTATAGATAATAATTAAAATAGCATTCTCATCCACGATACAAGTGTTACTGGAATGACTCTGACATTTCTCTTCATCGGACTTGAGAACTTTCCCTACTACCGTTTGACTGGAAATCGCGAGGGATCTCTGGGGTCGTACTGTCCTGGAGCTTGACTGGAACCAGGCATGGAAGTCGAATTACCTGTAACATCGCCCTGATTAGCCCCCGTTCCACCACCAGCAGAATTGTTAGCGACGCTACGCTGGTTGACACGACGCAAGTCTATCCAAGTCAGCTTTGTACCGTAAGAAAGAACCAAAACATACCTCCTATTGGAGCTGACGATGCATCACTATCAGCCAGCGGATAGCGCTCCAAGATGGCTCTAGCAACTGAAGCGGCTGTAGCAGAGGCGTAGTCTTGCCAGTCTTTCTTTTTGTGAGTATCGGCATAGTCGCAAATTCCTTTGACTACAATGCAAGGAATATTTTCCCACATGCCTGCGCCTTCCATCTCAAACGCAATTATACCATATTTGGATGCCATGTCGTCGCGATCTGTGCCACTTTTTATAACGGAATTGCCTGAACCAATTCTACCAATGAAGAGTTGAGGAACATAATCTGCACCTGCAGGAAGATTTGTAGTCCGATGTCGTTGAATTAATTGAGAGGGGTCACACCCGATATCGATGCAAGAGGTCCTGATTCCAGGCATACAAACGGCATTTGGACTCTTGGCGCATTCGCTGCATGAGTTCCTGTGCTTGTGATGGTAATTTGGGGGATACACCTTGTCGTTCACCGCTCCGGGATATTGATAGTTGGGACCGCTCTTGTCTTTCCTTGCAACGTTCTGCAAATGTTTCAGGTGCCTTATGGCAGCTCGCTCTAGTCTGTGATCGACCATTTCTGTTTCAAACGCCGCAATCAACGATCGTATCTCCTTATAGGGACTTTCGAGCTTGTCCTGAACGTTCTTGTCGATAATGTAGTGGTTGGGATACTGTTTGCCGGAATCATATTGGACGACAGATTTGCTCATCACAACGTCTCCAAGGAAGGCATCCCTGTTCATGATGCGAGGCAGACCGCCACAGATGCCGACAAGCAGTGCAAGTCTCAGCCTCCTATACCTCCACCTCATTTTGACAGTAACTCTAGCCGCATTGATTGTGCCCATACCAGGTAGAGTGGCCAAGACGACATTGTGCTGTCCAATGCGACCGGTGAGGTATGTATTCTGCTCGTCACCCTTTCCATCGTCGCTCATTTTCGTCCAGATTTCGTCGAAGAGTAAAGTAACAGCGGCAGCCTCACGAGGGAGGGCGCATACTATTGCCACGTGAAAGCTCGTTTCGTCGACGCGAGTTTTTGCTGACGCCATTGTGTTTTTGATGATATGAGATGAGTTGATTGCAGAAAAGAGCTCATATGGATGATGTGAGGGTTTTTAAACTGATCAGGGCTCACCATGCGTACTTCTAAAGTAACCATTTGCTTGTAGCTCTATCATTGGACTAGCAGATGTTTTCTTTGCGCCGTGAAATGAGTTACCAGGCTTAAAATAGATTTGAGACTAATGATAGACGTGGGGACCTGGCCTGACTGGATAACTTAAACGCCGTCCCATAAGCACGGCCCGCGCCGCCGTTATCGGCGTCTAGCAACGCCAAGTGTCATCATTGCACGTAATGGATGGCTTACTCACTTGAAACATTATAGTGAAGAAGGAAATACCAAGAAGAAGTACGTATACCAATACTGATATAATTTTGCCGAGGTAAAGTGCGCATTATAGGGCTGTACGGCATTTTAAATCACAATCCGTGCTGTCTGGAACACAAGTCGAGACGTCGCTCGCGACCAATTTTTGTCAAATAATGCGAGATGTATAGAAACTCAAAAAAAATAGTTAAGAAATATCATTTAGTATATATGCGTAGCTTACCAACAATAGAGGAGTAACAAACGCAAATCAGACAGCCAGAAGCTTAGGGCACCAAACCAACACAGGATGGATATACGTTTACCACCATTGTTTAACAGATCCTAAACAGACTATGTTGAGACTCTCCATGATTGTCAGGCTGGTCCATCATTATCGGTGCATCCGATATTGTGCGTGATAGTGGCATATTACTTGACGGAACGAAACAATTAAAAGCCTCCCCATCAAGCTTAGGGTAAGCTGACGGAGGTTTCACTCGTCTAGTCTAAGCCTAGCGGCTGTGCCGTCATTACCCAATCAGACAAGTTGAAATTGAACGCTGTGCCACAGAGGGCTGATTCTAGTTGATCGTAAGGCTGTATCAATTGAAGACAAAATAATCTCGCACCTCCTCACCCTTGCATCTTATTTATGTCAAAGTCAACATGCGACTCATTAATACCACGACACTCGAGGTCGAAGAATTCTTTGATGTCTCCATTCCAGAATATGCTATCTTATCACATACATGGGGCGACGGTGAAGTCTCACTGCAAGACTGGGCCGATCGCAAGAACCGTCGCTTCAAGCCCGGGTTCCAGAAGATCGTCTGGGCCTGTACTCAAGCTGCCAAGGATCAGCTAAGTCACGTATGGGTAGATACCAACTGCATCGACAAGAGCAGCTCTGCAGAGTTATCTGAGGCTATCAATTCCATGTTTAGATGGTACCGACGATCTGCTGTCTGTTATGTATACTTGGAGGATGTCCCTGCCATGACCTTGGACGAATGCACCAAGCCGGATAGTGCATTCAGAAACGCAAGATGGTTCACAAGAGGCTGGACTCTTCAGGAACTGATCGCTCCGCCGAATGTTAGTTTCTTCTCTAGCAACTGGACCATGATAGCCACAAAGTCCGAGTTGGCACCCTGTATCACTGAGATCACAGGTATTCCTTGGTCATGTCTACTCAAGGGCAGGCTGTCAAAAGCACATCCACTACGGAGATACAGCGTTGCACAGAGAATGGCTTGGGCTTCGCGTCGTTCAACGACGCGTATTGAGGATCAAGCCTACTCTCTCCTCGGACTCTTCGATATCTCCATGCCGCTTGTATATGGAGAGGGCTTTGAAGCTTTCACCAGACTACTTGGAGAAATCATCCATAAATACGCAGATCATAGCTTCTTTGCGTCCCGACTGCAATATGTCGATTTTCTCCCTCGCTCACCTTGGGAGTTCTCCGACTCTCAGTCCGTGGTTGTTAGTAGCTCGCCGCAGCTGCAGAGGCATTACACACCAGGGGATCACTCGTACTCATTTCATCTGACCAACACCGGACTGCAGATCACTCTGCCCATTGTGCCAACCTTGGTTCCTAATTTCGTCTTTGGCGTGCTTGATTGTTGGGACATCGAGACCACGAGTACGACAACAACGCGGCATGTATCACGGATATGGATACCACTCCTTAGGAAGGGAACTGGCGAGTCGCAGCGGTATCTACGATTGATCTGGCCTCAAACGTTTTTCCCGGTGAAGATGGCTCGGAAGGACAGCATAATGTTTCACGAAGAGGAGGAACTTCTCCCCAGAGACGATCATGCATCAGATGATTCAAAAGAACCGTCCGATCACGTGGATACAGTGTCGACAGCGATGCAAAGAAGCATTTTGGTAAAGAAACCATATGCGACTATCCTCTCAGTCCCTACGTGGCAGCCGCGTGAAGCAGGGAGTCCGTTTCTCCTCTGCTTTCCCCGAGGAACAGCAGATTATCGTCTATACGGCGTCTTCCCCAGCGATGAGTCTGATACTGCGTGGGCATCGGAGACACCGCCTGTACTGCCACTGATAATGCCACGCCGTATTCACAGAAGCAACCACCAGGCACCCGATATCGACCTGTTTGGAAAAGGCAAAATGGACATTTACGCTGCAATGGTTGTGTTCAAGAAGAAAAGATCAAAACCTCCTAGATTCGTTGCTATCTTCCTATCCAATATTGCGCAGCGGGATAAAGAAAGGATGGTTTTCGAGCCTAGAGGCAAGGTGATCCCGAACTGGTCACCAACTGAAGACGCGGATTTGGAAGCCGTTGATTTCTCTACCTTTCCCGATGCTGACTTTGATGGCGACACATTGGTTACGGTACAGAAGATAGCTAGTAACCCCAGAACAATAGCTGCAGGTCGCGAGCTTCGTTTTGTAGGACTCACCCAGATCATCTTTGATAGAGAGAAAATGATGGAAGAGTTACGATTACAACGAGATAGTAACAAGACATCGCGGGGAATTTTGCAGCATTATGGTCGAGATTCGTCAGACGAAGAGGCTGACAATTGATCCGGTGCTCCATATTTGTATTCGAGTTAATGAACAATAAATTATGTGCTATGTACAGTTGAAGTATAAGTGAATGTGATACATATCCCCATCCAACACCGACACATTTAGCAGATCTGCTGGTAATCGCCAATCAACGGGCAGACCGTGACAGTCTTGCAGACTGGGTTGGGGTAGCCTGGGTAGTAGCCGGGACAGAACTCGGCAGTAAAGCGGGTGTCCATGTACTCTGACCAAGTGGCAGCGGGGAAGCACTAGAAAGGGTCTTATTAGCATTTGTTTCAGTAGAACGGTCAAACTGTCATATCAAGCCCCTCATGTGGATGAAAATGATAGAGCTTGAATGAAACACGCTTGGTGCGCTCTGAGTCGTAGTGGACTCGGGTGAAAGTAACTCACATAATCCTGTCCATCGACGTTGACGTTGCTGCCGGCGATGTATGGACAGTAGCCGTCGATTTTTGTTTGACCAGCGGCGTTGGCACAAGCGCAAGCTTTAACCTGTCTTCCAGCCTTGGCTGCTGGTGCGGCAAAGGCAGCCGGAAGAGCGAGAAGGATGGTAAGGAAGGTCTTCATTTTGAGGGCTGATGGTGAGAATAATGACAATGTAAAACAAATTTCTGTGTTGGCAACCAGTGAATAGTGGTTTGTAGAAACGGCAAGACTACTATTTGATACTCTTGTGAATCATGGCTTGGCAAGTTTGGATGTTGCATTCAAAGGTTCATCGTAAGCATTACAAACATTTGTATATACTGATTTGGAGATTTATCCGAGAATACGTTGTACATCAGATTAAGCATTGCCTGATAACATGACAAGTTCCTTGCAGAGAAACCTCCTCGGGTTGCACTGCACCTCGTATCTAGCAAGAATAGTCCGCGAAGTATAAAGCCCGTTTCCGGACTTTACACATATTCCTGACAGAACCAACTAACTAGGTAAGTTATTGCCACCGGCCCGTCCTTGACACCAACCGCACCAATTGCCATTCACGGAGCACTCCTTAATGGTTGCTGGATATAGGAGGACGCGGGGTTATGCATATTTATCCTAGGCGACCTCGGCCCAATACTACGCTAGAGTCGTAACATAAATTGGCTGGATAGAGTAGGTGGGATTTAAAGATGGCCTAAAATGGATTGTTTCTCTATGCCGGGAACATGAATGGTCGATTTGTCATATACGACCATGTAGTTATTGCGGAACATTGAGTGGTATGTCGCTGCATGAGCTGATTATCAAAGTAGGATACTTGGCATCAATGGAGCTACCCATATCTTGTTCAAAGGCTGTCTGTATCACGCCGCCTTGATGACTACAGCAATTCCTTCACCTCGGCCCTGGGACTGTTCTTTCGAGTCTTTTCCGAGAGCCTCCTCTGCCGTCCTTGTCTTCATCAAAGTAAGCTTGCTCAATGTTGGAGTCAAGTGATGCGTAAGGCTAGCGGGAAGGTAGAGGAGTGTGAAGGATGTTGCAAAAGTGGTCAAGACAGAAATGGGAGCACTTCTCTGTTTCGTCATCTCAGCCTGAGATTCACGCCGATCCTAGTTCCACTTCCCATCAATATCACAAGTCAGAATCATTTCGATATAGAACCATCAAAATGTCTATCAGATTCTATCGAAACTACCTCACGATAAATCAAACAGCCATCGAACATGCTCTCAAGGATCTTCTCGCGTTCGACCAAGATTACCGTGGCAGAGACAACCACCAAGGCTTGTAAACCCACGTTTCACCCAGAAGAAACCGCAGCTATGCCTCTCGAACCCCCGAAGTAATGACCGAAAGCTTGTAATCCATAACCTCCATGATACCTTTTTATTCAATCTTACTATACTTGCGACTTCTGAAATCCCTGGTAGACGTTAGGATTAGGTTAGCTGGAGAAGTCAGGTGTTGCTTCATCTCTAAATTCCAGGGAGAGATGAGTCATTGGGTCATTTCATCAGCAATCCGTTGTTCTTGCTAACTACATGCTTATTGGTCACTAGACTGCCCTTGAGTTCGCTTGTCTTGACGTCTGTGACTCTGCTCAGGTAAGCATTAACTTTGAGGCACTCGCTTCAGATAAGGGAAACTAAGATAAGATAAGCATGGTCCGGGTGATATGGGCCGATGTTTCCCCGACATCGAATATCTCGTTTAGTAAGTGAGTTAAACGAGCATTGTGCACTGTTAGCGTCCCGGTTTGCGGGGTCAAGACTAGGGTAGGCCACGTACCCAAGTTCGAGAAGGCTAATTCGAGCCCTGCTCAGGTACATAGACTGGAATATGTATATTAATCTTTGATACAATTAAAAATGCTGTAGAGTGAAACTTAATACCTTGCGATATCTTTAACGAAATATTGAGGTACTGTGGTGGAGTAAACGTCTTGCTGATCATTACATCGCTACCAAATTGCTTATCACTACCCATATCACGAGAACGCCCATTCCATTTGGTGACGAACCCGGACCGAATAATTACATGCTCGAATAGTTCAGATTGCCTTATTGTTTGCTGTTTACCTGCCTAACAAGATCTGATAAGTGCAGACTCACAGCTTCTGGTAGCTCGACGATGGAAAAGTGAGATTCTCCGTTAAGCCTGGCGAAGCTGAACCAATCATGGTGTTTTCGCGCAAATTCTTCATGTTGTGCAAGGTAAGCGGCTTCTCTGGGATGGCTGAAGATATGTCGGACTAGAGGAGGGTCTTCAATAGCCCCAAGCCGCTCAATCGGTGAGCCCCAGCGCTCATAATTCTTTTCCACCAGCCAGCAGAAATATGCCCAGTTCTCGAATCCGTCGGTGTCTAGATCACGCTCACAATGTTCCAAAACGTTCTTGTTGGAGGTGTTGTTGAGCCATTTCTTGATGAGGGGGGCCTGACCCTGGTACCAAGTCTCCTTGTTCTGCATCATCTGCAGGCCCTTTATGAACTCTGCAGGAGGCCGAGTGAGGATGAAATCGGTCAAAAGCACAGCCGGGACTCTTTGCTTTCCCAGACGCGCAGCCATTTCCATAGCGCACCAGCCTCCTTGGAAGTGAGAGATGGGAATGAATTTTTGGACCTGAAGGGAATCTAGAAGTGCGATCGTATCGTTTGCTTGGTCCTCCACGCTCCATTTTCCCGTGGATTCGTTGTTGGCGCCGTGACTCCTCCATAGAATTCTGATGACGCGGTACTTGCTCACCAAGAAGGGGAGGATGTATTGATAGCCGCGGTGGTCCTGACCCAAGCCTGGTAGACAGACTATTGTTGGATCAGATGTGACCATGCCTCGGTCTTCGAAGGACAGTTCCACGCCATTTATGGTCCGCGTGTATAGCATTTTGACTTACAGACGTAAAATATTAGAAAGGGAAAAGAATGTGAAGGTTTGCAACATACCTAGTTGGCGTTCTGACCATTCCTCTGAGTGTATCTCCACATCCACAGATCGGTATATCCGTAAACGACAAGGCCAATAGGGCATAGGCAAAGCCGCAAAGCTCCACCAAATGTTTCGCTTAATGAAACTAAATGCTCTTGTCCCTGTTACCCGATGTCACAGAATACCCCTACCTGCTGCACCTCGCATACAATCTCCTTTTTCATGAAAGCGCTTGCAATCTAGTCCCGGCTAAGGTCTCAGCCGCTGCGGGTAATACTCGATAGATAAATGTGGCATCTTCCCGCGGGAGCGGTAAGTGGCCTCAGGCCCCCTCATGATGATTGGTCAAAGCTCTATAGGCTGATCATCATTTTTACCTGAGTTTATGGTATGTCATGGCTTTGTCATTCTCCACAAAAGTGTCAGTTTCAGTGCCTAGTTGCATTTTAACCACAGCCGTGGGACCCAGTATCGCATAAAGGCCTATCAATATCGTTTAAGCTCGTTCCGCTTGCCATCGCCTGTACTGAAGTGGCTAGCGTAGAGCTCCCAATATGTAAACCCTCGGTTCTGGGTCTTCGAGCACAGTTTGTTGAAAGATATGGATGATATGATTCGTCCGGCTCGAAACACATGGGCCAACGGCCGGCACATCAGGAACTCTGCCGGCCCCGTTTTGGACTAGAATCATTCATTCGAACCCCTTGCATATATTACCTTCTCTGCTGTGCATCCTAGACAATTACCCGCATTCTAGAAGTTGACCTGTCTTGGTCCTTTACTTTTTTGTCGAGGATCAAGTTTCTCTTATCCTCTCAATTTAAAGGGCGACTGATCATCTTATTCAATCTACAACAACAAGGCGCCATTCGATTTTCCACTAGCCGCAATACCCATCGGCGTTTGTCCTTGCCTGTCTTTCGCCAGAGGATCTAATCCTTTCCCCACCAGGAACTGGAACCTCGCTCCCCTTCTGTATAATCGCCCTTGGCCAGTAACAGCATGAAGTAGAGACTCTCCTTTGATATTGATAACTGACCAGTCCACTCCCATCTCAGTAAAACGCGCCCAGATCTTCGGCTCTGTTTCCTCCACAATCTGTTCTTCAAGTTCCTTGTTGACCTTCCATCTATCCCCTCCCCATTTCTTCGACAGGGTATGCCTCTCTTCATCCATCTTTGCCCAGCTGAGATCAACCTTGAAGCTACTCGCACGGAAGTAACCGAATGCAGGCGTTTCCCCAGCCTTATTTCGCGCGTTTATGTCTGCTCCTTTCGAGAGCAATAGGTCAATTGTATTCTTGACGAAGCCCTGCCAGACTGCATCACCATAATGGTCTGCAACGAGAAGAAATGGTCTTCTGAAGAGTATGTGAAGCGGTGTATCGCCATTGGCATCTCTGGCTTTGACGTCGACACCCGCGGAGATCAAAAGCTTAACCTCGTCCCTTGGGTTTCCTGGCTTTTGGCAATCTATCGCATATTGAAGTGGGGTTCTACCATGCTTGTCGAACTGATATTGGAGCTCTGGTTCCAAACCGATTATATGCTGGACGAGGTCGATTCCACAATCATCAGCAGATACAAGATGCAGGATATTCCTGCCAGAATCGTCCCTGCAACGGAGATCGGCGCCTCTATCGATTAGTATTCGTGCAGCTTCTGCATCCCCCACTTCCAAAGCAGTTTGGATCAATGGGGTGCCCTCCCCATCTTGAAGATTAACATCGAGCAGTGGGTGCCGAAGGATCAAGTCGAGGTACACATTCCGCTTGTTGCATATCATGTTGGGGCCTGAGCCTCTTCTTTCCAAAACTCGATGAGCAATTGTAGTCTGAGGGTAGCGAGAATTTGGATCGGCGCCTTGTCTGAGCAGTAGCTCAACGATACGTCGGCAATCCGGGCGGCTCGTCATTGCAAGATCAAGAGGATACAGCTCATGGCACGAATTGGGATCTTGCCTCTCCGGCTTCATATGGCGCCCATCAACTGAGCGCCAGGCTGGTGTTTCTTTTCCGATTCTTCGAGCGTTTGGATCAGCACCAGAGGATAGCATCGACTCTACAGCGTCGACATCTCGGGCCAGGATCGCATTGGTGAGGCATGATTGATCAATGACAACCATATCGTCTATCGGCTTGTCCAAGGTGTCTAAGGACATCATCCGGTATTTAATCATGATACAAAAGTCTATTGAACGCCAATTGAGGAACTGTGACATATTTAAAGCTTGCCATGCCTGGCCTAATCTTATTCACACCTACCAAATTCGGTCATGGTCAATTTGACTACAGTGGTCGGACCATCTCACTAGGTAGGCAGAAGCCCACTAAATAGATTATTTGCATGTGAATATTTACAAAAGCTGCCAATTCGTACGAGGAGTGACAAACTTTACATAATGCCGGTTATAAAATCCTCATGAGGCTTCCTTTGAGCCACCATTAAGATGGTCAACCGTCTAAATACTTTGATATCTCATGAGCACTCTGCTCCGGACTGACGTCTTTCGTGTAAATAATATGCTTTGCCAACGTCTTGTTGCTTGGGTGATCCAAGAAGTGTCGATTGTAGCTCAACTCATGGCCTCTCCGCTCCTCCATGATCCTCAAAGCCTCATCCACGTCTTCGCACGGAACAATGAGGAAGACCCCTTTATATGGGGAAATTAGCTCCGCAACACGATCCAGTTCCTCCTTGTTCTCAAAAATGGAATGGCCCGCCCCAAAGTCGAGTATCTTGCCATAGAACCTATCCCCAGGCTTCAACGCATTTTGCAAGACGTCCACGACAGCTCTATATTCAAAGTACTTCCAGTACTTCAGCAGAGCCTCGACCCCCTCTTGTTCGTATACTTTGTTGGCATGGACATCGTCATAGTCGAATGGTGCATATAGCTCCTTGCGGTGTCGGTCGAGGCTGAACAATTCTTTGCTGAGTTTCTCTGAGAGGAGCTTTCCAATGGTTGTTTTTCCAGCACCTTCAGGGCCGATGAGGATGATTGTAGGGCAAGGGATGTCGGGCATGGCTTCGTAATCAAAAGGTAATCGAAGATGCGTCCTGTGCAACTTCATAAACTTAATAATATACAATCGCCTACTTGCTTTTGAAGATGCAAAGAAAAGAGAGTCCATCGTGACGTGTCTCGGGTAAGACGGTTATAACCAGCAAATGATTCTGTCGGGAAATCTACGGGTTAGATCCGATTGACCGTGCGTATCTCCGCGTAATTTTCCTTATCTGATGTACTGCATCAAGGTTCAACATGAATTGGCCTTATCTCAACCGATTTAACTTGACCGGATTAAGGTCTCTCAAACCTCGCTTATCTGCTTACTTCAGTGCAAATAGGCTGGTTATTACAGAATTATATTCCGACTAAAACTGATGTGTTGCTCTTCCCAAAGACTAATTCCATGGTCGGGTATTCACGGCTTCCATTATCGGTTCGGTTCGCTCGGTTCGCATTAACTCCATACCATGCATGGTTATAGCTTTAGATAGCACTCTTTTAGAAGCCCTGCCTGATCAAGAACTTCATGCACTAACAGCTGTTACTGTTGATCATACAAAGTAGACAGGTAAATCAGACTCGACCCTTGTGTACACCGGTAAGACTTCGCCAAGGTTCTCGAAAGTATTATCGAAAGTATTATCTTGGCACTCTGTGATGATAACTGGCCGACGAATTCTTATGATTCGAGAACTGTTGGAGGCTGGGGTATCAGCAGCCTTATCAAATGTCATTGTTACTGCTGACAACGAAACCTCCAGGACAAAGTCGTGCGAAATCCTGAGGGTGCTGTTCGAGGCTTCTTCGCACGCGCATGACTTGTGGCGTTTTGCAACCATCTTCGCGATGGGGCCATACTCGAAACTTAGTGTCGAAGTCGTCTCCTGATCACTCTGGAAGACCTTCCATTCGTTGCGAGGCCGTCCCTTTGCTATTGTGTGAGAGACGCTTTGCCTTTGCCTGCTAGACTCGCTCTCGTCTTGGTCCGCGTGTCGCCCGCAAATACCCAGTGGGGCCTCTACGCGCTCTTCAAGCCTCCACTCCACTCCGATTGCTTCCCAAGCGTAGATCTCACCTCCTTGCCCGTGCCTGTTTTTCGAGAGAGAAAAGTCTACCTGGGTTTTCTGGTTCAGTCTGATAATTTGTTCTGACGACAAACGTGCGTTCAGCGGGGTTCCTGAAATCGCTAGAGAAATGACGCGAAGAATTTCGGGTCGGTATAGTAAACGTTTTACTTCGAGGTTGTGTTTCCAGACAACGGGCTCTCCAGTGGCTAGAATGAGCTCTGCAGTCAGTTCGTACGTCAGGTCCAACAGAGGTGTGGTCACCGAAGGAGGCGTGTCGTTGTCAAGCCGCGCAGTGAAGATGAAGGGATATTTTCCATTGGCTGGCAGGATTTCGCTTTGAACGAACGCCCATCTTTGAAGCTGAACATAATCGTAAGCGCAGTCAGGGCAGTTGGAACGAAGGGGTTTCTTGTAGTGGCGATGGAGACGCAACGTCAGGTGGAATGTTTTGATGTCTAAATCTTTTCTCGTGTCGAGTATGGCTTCCCCTATGAGCGGTGTGCCAGGGGAAAGCTCGCTACTTTCTAGAATCAAGGGCACCGGTGTCTGAAGCTTCCATTGCATGCTGACAGCCAAACGGTTTGAGGCCAGCTTGCGTAGGCTTTTCGACGGGAGCAGCTTCGAGACATACTCAAGTGAGACCATTCTCAAGTCAACTTTCTGCAGTTAGACTCTGTGTAAGCGGTGGAACACAGATCTTACGAGATAGATATTCGAATAATCAGCTGTAATTCTTGTAATGATATTGATCCTTCAACTGTTCGCGGTCTGCTGTACTGCAAAGTTAGTATGCGGCGCATCGTGCATATTTAACTTTTTATCAGCTTACTCTTTACAGGAACTCCAAGTTCTGTGGATCTTTTATGCTCGACACCCCGACTTCCTGGGAGTAGCGAATAAATTTGGAAGTTGCGTCGGCGATGAGGCCTATGACGTAGTCTTCGGTTATTTTTAAAAGGCCCTAATATTTGCTCGCGCACTGGTTTCGGCACCTAGGTAGTGTTCTGCGATCTATAAGGACTACACGGTCGCATCCCGTAGCAAGAGATGATGTTCGAACAGATTGTGATCAGAATACGCAGGCCGCGGACCTAGAAATGAGTTTCCTGATAGAAGGAGATCAGATTGAGGGGCTGGACAGGCGGAAGCCGCGAGCTCGCATCGTCACCCTCGTGCCAGGTCTAGCCCAGGTAGGCAAGTAAATTCCAGTCTAGCCTCAGAACTAGCGGCCGTACTAGGTCAAATCAGAACAAGTCTTGCAAAATGTTGCCAACATTTAAGTTGCTGCCCCATAGAGGTGACCATTATCTATACGAGCTATTAGCAGCAACTTGCAATGGTTTTTTTTTTCTTTCTTTACTCTTATGTCTAGGAGATGCCACTTCAAAACTAGGATTGGTTAAGCCATCCAGATGATGCCGAATGCTCTCTCTGGCCCTACAAGCTGATCCACCACATGTTCACCGCAGCTCTGAAACACAAGAACCTCAACCTTCAAACCAACACTCCCGCGACATCTATTGCTGCTTCCCCAGACGCTGACGGCAGTTGGAGTGTCACTACAACTCGTGGCGCCACCAGGGCTCGTAAAGTCATTGTAGCTACCAACGCTTATACCGCCGCACTTCTCCCCGAGTATCGCGACAAGATCATTCCCTACCGTGTCATCTGCAGCCAGATCGTTGCTCCGGACCCGCCGCTTTTGGCAGACTCTTATGTTATTCGATTTAGTCCCACGGACTTTGATTATCTTATCCCTCGGCCAGACGGCAGCATTATTGTTGGGGGCGCTAGATCGGCCTACTTCAGATATACAGAGGATTGGTACGGCAGCGTGGATGACACGAAGGTCATCGAAAGAGCCCAAGATTACTTTGAAGGGTATATGCAGCGACACTTCCGCGGTTAGGAGAACAGCGGTGCACACACAGATCAAGTCTGGACTGTAAGTAAGTGTCTACGCTTATCTTGAACTCTTTTAGTTTCATGTTGACTAGCTATCTTACTTGCAGTCATGGGCTATTCAGCAGATGGACTTCCCCGCTTCGGCCGTGTGCCCGGACGAGAAAACATGTCCATCATGGGCGGCTTCACCGGTCACGGAATGCCGCAAGTCTTCCTGACCGCCAAGGGAATCAGTCGCATGGTCCTTCAGGATCTGGCGTTCTCCGAGACCGGAATTCCTAGACTTTTCGAGGAGTCGGAATCGAGGTTAACGAGTGATGAGAACATTTTGAAGGAGAGATTAATACGCAGTCAAGCCTCGCTAAGATGTAGTTACTGATAGCGTAGACGAGACTACGATACTGATAGCAAGGTAATAAGCGGAGGCTTGTCATATTACGGATTCATCTTAACGTACATGATAAGCGAGTGTTACAAACAAGCGAGTGTTACAAAAATCTTAACCCTTGAGACAGGAATCGTCATGAGAACACAACAAATCACGCAATCAAGTAAAACTAATCGCTTTCCTCTTCTCCAGACATCGAAACAACTATTTGACACGTTCTCGCATTATGCCCTACCTTGCCGCACGTTCCACAGTTCCTTTCCTTTACTTGCGCCGACCTTC